GGCTGAGGCTGAGGCTGTGGCTGAGGCTGAGGCTGTGGCTGAGGCTGAGGCTGAGGCTGAGGCTGAGACTGAGGCTGAGGCTGAGGCTGAGGCTGAGACTGAGGCTGAGGCTGAGGCTGAGGCTGTGGCTGAGGCTGAGGCTGAGGCTGTGGCTGAGGCTGAGCTGAGGCTGTGGCTGAGGCTGAGGCTGAGACTGAGGCTGAGGCTGGAGGCTGAGGCTGTGGCTGAGGCTGAGGCTGTGGCTGAGGCTGAGGCTGAGGCTGAGGCTGAGCTGAGCTGAGGCTGAGGCTGAGACTGAGCTGAGGCTGTGGCTGAGGCTGAGGCTGAGGACTGAGGCTGAGGCTGAGACTGAGGCTGAGGCTGAGGCTGTGGCTGTGGCTAAGACTGAGGCTGAGGCTGAGACTGAGGCTGTGGCTGAGGCTGTGGCTGAGGGCTGAGGCTGAGACTGAGGCTGAGGCTGAGGCTGTGGCTGTGGCTGAGGCTGAGGCTGTGGCTGAGGCTGTGGCTGTGGCTGAGGCTGAGGCTGTGGCTGTGGCTGTGGCTGAGGCTGAGGCTGAGGCTGTGGCTGAGGCTGAGGCTGAGGCTGAGACTGAGGCTGAGGCTGAGGACTGAGGCTGAGCTGAGGGTGAGACTGAGACTGAGGGTGAGACTGAGGCTGAGGCTGAGGGCTGAGGCTGAGGACTGAGGCTGTGAGGCTGAGACTGAGGCTGAGGCTGAGGCTGAGGCTGAGCTGAGGACTGAGGCTGAGGCTGAGGCTGAGGCTGAGGCTGAGGCTGAGGCTGAGGCTGAGGCTGAGGCTGAGGCTGAGGCTGAGGCTGAGGCTGAGGCTGAGGCTGAGACTGAGGCTGAGGCTGTGGCTGAGGCTGAGGCTGAGGCTGAGGCTGAGGCTGAGGCTGAGGCTGAGGCTGAGGCTGAGGCTGAGGCTGAGGCTGAGGCTGAGGCTGAGGCTGTGGCTGAGGCTGAGGCTGAGGCTGAGCTGAGCTGAGGCTGAGGCTGAGGCTGAGGCTGAGGCTGAGGCTGAGGCTGAGGACTGAGGCTGAGGCTGTGGACTGAGGCTGAGGCTGAGACTGAGGCTGAGGCTGTGGCTGAGGCTGTGGCTGAGACTGAGGCTGAGGCTGAGGCTGAGGCTGAGACTGAGACTGAGGCTGAGGCTGAGGCTGAGGCTGAGACTGAGGCTGAGGCTGAGGCTGAGGCTGAGGACTGAGGCTGAGGCTGAGGCTGAGACTGAGGCTGAGGCTGAGGCTGTGGCTGAGACTGAGGCTGAGGCTGAGGCTGAGGCTGTGGCTGTGGCTGGCTGAGGCTGAGGCTGAGGCTGAGGCTGAGGCTGTGGCTGAGGCTGAGGACTGAGGCTGAGGCTGAGACTGAGGCTGAGGCTGAGGCTGACGCTGAGGCTATGGGCTGAGGCTGAGGCTGAGGCTGAGACTGAGGCTGAGGCTGAGGCTGAGGCTGTGGCTGTGGCTGAGGCTGTGGCTGAGGCTGAGGCTGAGGACTGAGGCTGAGGCTGAGACTGAGGCTGAGGCTGTGGCTGAGGCTGAGGCTGTGGCTGAGGCTGTGGCTGAGGCTGTGGCTGAGGCTGTGGCTGAGGCTGAGACTGAGGCTGAGGCTGAGGCTGTGGCTGAGGCTGTGGCTGAGGCTGAGGCTGAGGCTGTGGCTGAGGACTGAGGCTGAGGCTGAGACTGAGGCTGAGACTGAGGCTGAGGCTGTGGCTGAGGCTGAGGCTGTGGCTGAGACTGAGGCTGAGGCTGAGGCTGAGACTGAGGCTGAGGGTGAGACTGAGGCTGAGGCTGTGGCTGAGACTGAGGCTGAGGCTGAGGCTGAGGCTGAGACTGAGGCTGTGGCTGAGACTGAGGCTGAGGCTGAGACTGAGGCTGAGGCTAAGGCTGTGGCTGTGGCTGTGGCTGAGGCTGAGGCTGTGGCTGAGGCTGAGGCTGTGGCTGAGGCCTGAGGCTGAGGCTGAGACTGAGGCTGAGGCTGAGGCTGAGGCTGAGGCTATGGCTGTGGCTGAGGCTGAGACTGAGGCTGAGGCTGAGGCTGTGGCTGAGGACTGAGGCTGAGGCTGAGGCTGAGACTGAGGCTGTGGCTGAGGCTGAGGCTGAGACTGAGGCTGAGGCTAAGGCTGTGGCTGTGGCTGTGGCTGAGGCTGAGGCTGTGGCTGAGGCTGAGGCTGTGGCTGAGGCTGAGGACTGAGGCTGAGGCTGAGGCTGAGGCTATGGCTGAGGCTGAGGCTGAGGCTGAGGCTGAGGCTGTGGCTGAGGCTGAGGCTGAGGCTGAGGCTGTGGCTGTGGCTGAGGCTGAGGGTGAGGGTGAGGCTGAGGCTGAGGCTGAGGCTGTGGCTGAGGCTGAGACTGAGGCTGAGGCTGAGGCTGAGGCTGAGGCTGAGGCTGAGGGTGAGGCTGAGGCTGAGGCTGAGGCTGAGGCTGAGGCTGTGGCTGTGGCTGAGGCTGAGGCTGAGACTGAGACTGAGGCTGAGGCTGAGGCTGTGGCTGAGGCTGAGGCTGAGGCTGAGGCTGAGGCTGAGGCTGAGACTGAGGCTGAGGGTGAGACTGAGGCTGAGGCTGAGACTGAGGCTGAGGCTGAGGCTGAGGGTCTGCTGCTGCTCCTGCTGCTGCTGCTGGAGGGTGGGACAGGGAAGTGCTCATGATCCAGACTAAGACTGGATCAGGGGTTTGTGATGGCGAGGTGTGATTGGTCCGTTTGGCCCCTCCTCAGGTTTGCCTGATTGGCCTTGCAGCTGCTCAGTTGGCCTGGATCAGAAGAGTCCAGCAGCTGCAGAAGGAGAGCGAGGGCCGCGAGCGCCCGGGGCAGAAGGACAGTGTGTGGCTGCCGGCATTTGCAGACTTCGACCAGGACTGAACCACCGCTGCTCTCTGTGTCACTGCATGTGATGATCATGTTAATAACATGTGATGATCATGCTATTAACACGTTATTATCATGCTATTATCATGTTATTATGTTATCATTTTATGTTGAATGTTATGATCATGTTGTTATCATGTTGTTATCATGTTGTTATCATGTTGTTATCATGTTGTTATTGTTGAATGTATGTTCTCAGTTGACCCAGTGACCTACTTTGTGTGGGCGCAATAACAGTAAATGGCTCTCTGCTCATACACCTGTGATCCCATCCATTTTCTACCCTTTAATCCATTTCTGGGTCAGGGGGGTGGCAGACCCTCTGCAGGTGGCGAGCCCACAGGAGGAAGGCTGCTCTGTAAGTGTGAGCATAGCTTTGATCTTTCAGCGGGGGCCTTGGGCAAAGTGGGGTTAACGACAGCAGACATCAGTGGGAGTTAGTGGAGAAGGTGTCGAGGTGGGAATTGAACCCACAACCTTCAGGCCTTTAGGCCTGAAGGTCGTGGGTTACTGTGAGCTACTGTGAGCTACTGTCGCCCCCATATTGTGCATATCTGTGAACCCAAATCCGTCTTGATCCTGGGCCTTGGGCGGAGCTTCCAAAGGCTCGGTCTATTCTTCGGTCGTGGTGTCGTCCCGGACCAGTTCTTTAGTTTCCTTCACTTTCACACAGAGCGCTGGGGTCCCCGCAGGTCTGTGGTGCGACTCCGGTGTGATGCTCAACTGCTCAGGTTCAGTGTTGACACGCAGCTCACCGTGACTCTCTGTATCTGAGACCCCAAATATGACACTTCCTTAGCTTCAAACCCAGAGCACAGGGCCTTCTCTGTGGTCTTAAACCCAGAGCACAGGGCCTTCTCTGTGGTCTTAAACCCAGAGCACAGGGCCTTCTCTGTGGTCTTAAACCCAGAGCACAGGGCCTTCTCTGTGTTCTTAAACCCAGAGCACAGGGCCTTCTCTGTGGTCTTAAACCCAGAGCACAGGGCCTTCTCTGTGGTCTTAAACCCAGAGCACAGGGCCTTCTCTGTGTTCTTAAACCCAGAGCACAGGGCCTTCTCTGTGGTCTTAAACCCAGAGCACAGGGCCTTCTCTGTGGTCTTAAACCCAGAGCACAGGGCCTTCTCTGTGGTCTTAAACCCAGAGCACAGGGCCTTCTCTGTGTTCTTAAACCCAGAGCACAGGGCCTTCTCTGTGGTCTTAAACCCAGAGCACAGGGCCTTCTCTTTAGTCTTAAACCCAGAGCACAGGGCCTTCTCTGTGGTCTTAAACCCAGAGCACAGGGCCTTCTCTGTGTTCTTAAACCCAGAGCACAGGGCCTTCTCTGTGGTCTTAAACCCAGAGCACAGGGCCTTCTCTGTGGTCTTAAACCCAGAGCACAGGGCCTTCTCTGTGGTCTTAAACCCAGAGCACAGGGCCTTCTCTGTGTTCTTAAACCCAGAGCACAGGGCCTTCTCTGTGTTCTTAAACCCAGAGCACAGGGCCTTCTCTGTGTTCTTAAACCCAGAGCACAGGGCCTTCTCTGTGGTCTTAAACCCAGAGCACAGGGCCTTCTCTTTAGTCTTAAACCCAGAGCACAGGGCCTTCTCTGTGGTCTTAAACCCAGAGCACAGGGCCTTCTCTGTGGTCTTAAACCCAGAGCACAGGGCCTTCTCTGTGGTCTTAAACCCAGAGCACAGGGCCTTCTCTGTGGTCTTAAACCCAGAGCACAGGGCCTTCTCTGTGGTCTCAAATCCAGGGGATATATTAATTTGTCTTAATATAATTCATCTTTTTGCATTTATATTCACAAAGCTGGTAAACTTATCTAAATCTGTTACTTTTCTGCGCAGCAAATTGGAAAATGGTTTTATAAAATATGCTTTATAAATAAAGCACAGCACAGAATTTTACTTGAGCCTGTGAATCTACAGCCTCAGTCCTGAGTCTACGGCCTCAGTCCTGGGTCTACAGCCTCAGTCCTGGGTCTACAGCCTCAGTCCTGGGTCTACAGCCTTTCGTTTAGCTGTTGTTAGCACAGGAGCTAACTGTTGTTAGCACAGGAGCTAACTCCTCTGTGAATTCCGCTGTTAGTTCTCCGTTTTCTTTTATCTTTCCTTATTTTAGATATTAAACTTTTTAAACTGCATTGACATGAGCCGTGGATGGACATGTGTTACTCAGACCTGGTCCCTCCTGCAGCCTCAGACCCTCAGACCTGGTCCCTCCTGCAGCCCCAGGCCCTCAGACCTGGTTCCTCCTGCAGCCTCAGACACTCAGACCTGGTCCCTCCTGCAGCCTCAGACCCTCAGACCTGGTCCCTCCTGCAGCCTCAGACCTGGTCCCTCCTGCAGCCTCAGACCCTCAGACCTGGTCCCTCCTGCAGCCCCAGACCCTCAGACCTGGTCCCTCCTGCAGCCTCAGACCCTCAGACCTGGTCCCTCCTGCAGCCTCAGACCTGGTCCCTCCTGCAGCCTCAGACCCTCAGACCTGGTCCCTCCTGCAGCCTCAGACCCTCAGACCTGGTCCCTCCTGCAGCCTCAGACCTGGTCCCTCCTGCAGCCCCAGACCCTCAGACCTGGTCCCTCCTGCAGCCTCAGACCCTCAGACCTGGTCCCTCCTGCAGCCCCAGACCCTCAGACCTGGTCCCTCCTGCAGCCCCAGACCCTCAGACCTGGTCCCTCCTGCAGCCCCAGACCCTCAGACCTGGTCCCTCCTGCAGCCCCAGACCCTCAGACCTGGTCCCTCCTGCAGCCTGGGCCTCAGACCCTGGGCCTCAGAATCTGGTCTTGTTACTGCAGATGGAATAAAATAACAGCTCTCGCTGATCAAACAAAGACATTATAAATGAAACAAGCGTTTTTATTTTCAAACAGAAAAATGATGAATTTCAACAGTTGGATTAACACTTTTAAAGACACAGACTGATCCCAGACTGAAGAAGAAAAGTCGAATTTAAAACATTAAATTCTCTAATATTTACAGAGCCCCGTTTCCACCAACCCCTACTGTCTTTTGTAACCAGCACCAGGTCTTGGTCCTGGTTCTATCCAGGCCGACCTGGTACTGAGACAGGCCTCCTCTCTGACAATGTTTAAAACCAGGTTAAAGACGGTTCTGTTTAACTGTGCTACAACTGAGGGATTTTATATTTTTATCTTTCTTTTTAATGTTCTGTGATAATTTATGATTTTAATGCTTTCTTGTTTTGTTCAGCACTTTGAGTTGCCTTGTGTATGAATTGTGCTATATAAATAAACTTGCCTTGCCTTGCCTTACTAATCCCTGTACATATTTTTGTTTTCTTGTTTCCTGTAAAATTATGTGTGCAGGTTTTAAAATAAAAATGTCATTCATTCATTCAAGTGTTCTGTGGTTGAGTGCTGCTTAAAGCCATGGTCGCCAAGGAATTTCCCCAGATACTGGTTTGTTGTGTGTAGGTTTCTAGGATACTGTGGACGCGAGGCTGTAGTTCATAGACACATGTTAAAAACTGATTTAAAATCCAGTGAACATTTCTCAACCTTCTTGAAAACATAAATTTAAAACATATATTTATACATAATTTAAAAGTGAAAATAAAATACATCTCATTTTTGATCAAAAACGAAGAAAGACACAGCAGCGGCTTTAGTGCCACAGGCTGTTAATGTCGTCACACCTGGTCTCTGCTGCTGCTGCTGCTGCTACTGCTGCTGTTACTGCTGCTGTTACTGCTGTTACTGCTGCTGTTACTGCTGCTGCTGCTGCTGCTGTTACTGCTGCTGTTACTACTGCTGCTGCTACTGTTACTGCTGCTGCTGCTGCTGCTGCTGCTGTTACTGCTGCTGCTGCTGCTGTTACTGCTGCTGCTGCTGCTGCTGTTACTGCTGCTGCTGCTGCTGTTACTGCTGCTGTTACTGCTGCTGTTACTGCTGTTACTGCTGCTGTTACTGCTGCTGCTGCTGTTACTGCTGCTGTTACTACTGCTGCTGCTGCTGCTGTTACTGCTGCTGCTGCTGCTGTTACTACTGCTGCTGCTGCTGCTGCTGTTACTGCTGCTGCTGCTGCTGCTGCTGCTGTTACTGCTGCTGCTGCTGCTGCTGCTGTTACTGCTGCTGCTGCTGCTGCTGTTACTACTGCTGCTGCTGTTGTTACTACTGCTGCTGCTGTTGTTACTACTGCTGCTGCTGTTGTTACTACTGCTGCTGCTGCTGTTACTGCTGTTACTGCTGCTGTTACTACTGCTGCTGCTGCTGCTGCTACTGCTGCTGTGAATCTTTTGGTTCTAGAACAAGAATCAGTATTTGGGATCAGATCAACCGTAAAAAGCCTGATGTTTCTGCACCCGTGTCCTGGTGTAAACAACACGCCTGTTCTTCCCTCAGAGCGTCTGGCGGTAAACGGGTCAAATGCCTCGGTCCCCCCTTTCGAACTATATCACCATCATTTCCATCCCGCCCCCCCCCCACGTACCTCAACCATCCTAAAACTGAGCCGTACGTTTTCCTTCTGCCCTTCTTCCATGGAATCTCTACACGACTTAGCGCATTAACAATTTATAACTTCCGGACTGATCCAACTACCACAAGTCTCATTATATCACAGCACATGGCACCTCATAACATTCCAAACTCCCTATATACACATCGTTTTTATAACAATGCCAAAACTTTAATTCCAACAACCTAACCCCCCTACTTAACCATCATTCATTATAACCCCTTTGCGATCACACAAGTCTGTCAGAGCTCGCATTACAGCTACCTTCTTCCTACACACTCTATACACCTGACGGGTTTGTCTCCCCGTGTAGGCATTCGAAACACTGTCCCCACGGTGAAGACTTCCTAAACGTCACAAGTTATAACACAGACGAACAGCTTACAGGTCCTCTCCCCCAGTGTGTATCACCATGTGTATTATCCCACGTTGATTCTTTGAGCAAATTTCTTTTACGGTGGAACAGCTGTACGTAACACAATATATCTCCCCACATATAATACTTCTCTATTCTCCACACATCACCACATAAACCCCCTACCTTTCCTCATACCTAAACACCCCCTATATCTAAAACCTATAACAACCTCCCCCTTACAACCTCTCCCCACCAAACCCCCCCCCCCCCCCATCCCCCATACCTTAAAAACCATATATCTAAATCATATCCCCACATTCTCAACCCCCCCCAAAAATCTCCCCCCCATAAAACACCCCCCCCCCCCATCTCCTCAATACCTTAAACACCACATATCTTCAACGATCATATACATACCCTTAATCTACAATACTATCCACCCCAATACCCCTCACTCTCCCTGTGCCATCATAACATAACCAATTACACCAAATCACCCTACCCCCCCCATCCCTCCTTAACATTTACCCTTAACCCCCCAACCCCCCCATCCCTTACCCATCCCCTCCCTTAACCCACCTTTACCCCTTACCCCCATCCCCCTACCTTACCCATCCTCCCCTTAACATATACCTTACCCGACCCCCCCTACTTACCCTCCCCTACTTTGCACATTTACCCCCCCTTACCCCATCCCCTAACCTTTACCCCCCATTCCTCCTTACCACCATTTACCTTACCCCCCCATCCCCTACCTAACCCTCCCCTCCCCTTACCACATTTACCCCCCTTACCCATCCCTCCTTACACATTTACATTCCCCCTTACCATCCTACCCCATATATATTCCCCCCATTAATACTCTTACCCACACCCCCTCCCCCCCCACATACATCCCCCCACCATATCCTAACACCCATCCATCCATTCATACCCCCTACCAACCACCACTACAACCACCACCTACAAATTACCAACCCACCCCCACACCCCCCCCCCCCCTATCCCAATTTCTATCCACCCCAACCACACAACCAACACCCCATTACTCTTCACACTCAATCATCACCAAATCATATCCTCTCACCCAAATTTCTACCCATCAACCCCTACATTCACCTCTTATTCACCCCCCCACCCATCCCCCCCCCCCCCCCCCTACCACTCCCCACAACCCCCCCAACACACCCCACCATCCTCCCCTTTCACCATCTTACCACACCACATCCCCCCCTCCTTCACCCCTCATTACCACCCACATCACTTCCCTCAAATCAATATCCCACCTCCATCATTACCCCCACATCCCATCCCCTCTTCCCCACCATCATTACCCACACCCCATCCCCCATCCCCTCCATCCACATCATTACCCCCCCCCAATCATCATCCCCCCTTTCCACCCATCAATTACTCCCACCCATCCCCCCATCCTCCTTCACATCATTACACCACATCCATCCTCCCTTCCCACCATCATTACCTCACCATCCATCCTCCTTCCACCCATTAATACTCCCCACCAATATTCCCCACCCCACACCCCCCAACACAAAAATCCCCCCCCCCCCCCCCCCTACCCCCCATCTATACAACCATCACCCCCAATCTCACCCAACACCCCCCATACCATCCAAAACCCTTCACAACCCACACACCTCCCTATACCCCCCCCCCCACCCCCCCCCCACACCCCCATCCAATCAACCCCCCCCCCCCCCAAACCTCCCCCACTACCCCCCAACACACCAGCCACCCCCCAACCCTCACCCTCTATCCCCCCCATCTCCCCCTACCCACCCTTCTATATATCTATTATCTCTATATATACCAACACCTTCCCCCTCCCTCCTTCTAATCACCCCCCCTTCATCCCATCCACCCCCCCCCCACCACACAAACCCATACCTCAACCATATCCACTTCATCCCCTAACCCATAATCCCCATAAAATCCCCACCCAAATACAAATCACACCCCCTATACCCATAACATAAAAATACCCTACCCTATCCCCCCCCCCTCATCCTTAACCATCTTTCTCACCCCTTTCTTACCCCCAAATAATATTCCACTTCATCCCCCCCCCCCCCCCAACCACAATTCCCCCGCTAACACCATAACCTACCCCCCTACCCACCTTCCTCATTTTCACTCACCGACTTCATCTAACCTTACATACCACCATACCCCCTAAATCTCCTCCAAATACCCATACAAACCACTACCCCCATACCAACACAACCACATAAACCCCCACCCTCCCATATACTCCCCCTCCTTCCCCCCCCCGCTCCTCACATCTTCATACCCACCCCACAACCCACCTACCACCCACACCTTCTGTCATTACACCTATGACCCACTTTTTTAAAACCCTTTTAAAAGCTGTCTGTATAACCCGGGTTAAAGATGTGTCCCGGGTTAAAGCTGCGTCTGTTTGAGCTCTGAACCTGCGGCCGCTGCTGCTAAGGCTTCACTTCCGCCTTAAGCTCCGCCCAAAGGCCTTTAGCTCCGCCCACATTCCGCTGAGAGATTAGAGCCGCGTGTTTGTCTCTGGGGAATTTCCACAGATCTTATCAGTAAGAGCAGAGAGCGTTGCCATGGAGACAGATAACCCTTTAGAGTCTGTATAACGTTTATCCACAGACAGTACATAACACAGGGTAATACAGGGTCAGTGTCACACAGACAGTACATATAACACAGGGTAATACAGGGTCAGTGTCACACAGACAGTACATAACACAGGGTAATACAGGGTCAGTGTCACACAGACAGTACATATAACACAGGGTAATACAGGGTCAGTGTCACACAGACAGTACATATAACACAGGGTAATACAGGGTCAGTGTCACACAGCAGTACATATAACACAGGGTAATACAGGGTCAGTGTCACACAGACAGTACATATAACACAGGGTAATACAGGGTCAGTGTCACACAGCAGTACATATAACACAGGGTAATACAGGGTCAGTGTCACACAGACAGTACATATAACACAGGGTAATACAGGGTCAGTGTCACACAGACAGTACATATAACACAGGGTAATACAGGGTCAGTGTCACACAGACAGTACATATAACACAGGGTAATACAGGGTCAGTGTCACACAGACAGTACATATAACACAGGGTAATACAGGGTCAGTGTCACACAGCAGTACATATAACACAGGGTAATACAGGGTCAGTGTCACACAGCAGTACATATAACACAGGGTAATACAGGGTCAGTGTCACACAGCAGTACATATAACACAGGGTAATACAGGGTCAGTGTCACACAGCAGTACATATAACACAGGGTAATACAGGGTCAGTGTAAACAAACACAGAGGTTTTTTAGTCCTTGATCATTCTATTAGTATGTGAGATTTCATAACACTTTTAAGCAACTTTTGTTAAAGTTAAACTCATCATTCTATCAATGTGCAGAAGCCAGTACTCTTCCCTTGTTGTGTCTATCTGAAGGCCAAGCTACAAGCACACCGTGGAAGCTGCTGATTGGAGGTCTCCATGCCAACGCTCTGTATAATACACTTGTATTCTGTTGTATCTGTTGATCGTGCTGTCTCTACCATCGACAATAAAACATGTCTTCTGTCTGAATTTAAGACGCGATCCCAGACTATGTCATCTTCTTCAGGTGGTGGAAGGATGCGGGCATTGTCTGTAACATCTACAGAACAGAAGACTACTTTTTTTTTTACACAAAAAGTGTTTTTTTTTAAGCCAAAACTGAAAAACCTCAAGAGAAACCATGCGTCTGGACCAGCACATGGACAATCTGCAGCACAGCCCCTGATTCCACTCAGGCTGTGAGCTGCTGAGACATGGATAATACCATCGTCCTCTTTTGCAAGGACATCATTTGGAACAATCTGGATTTCTGAATTTGGACATAATTTGGACTGAATTGGATTTCTGAATCTGGACACTAAAGCTGAAACGTGTGATTGAAAGACACGTCACAGAAGAATTCATGGCTCGACACAAATGCAGCCTGAAGAAACCAACAGGAGAAGTGGGAGAGACTGTTTTCAAAGCAATATCTGGAACCACCATCGACTGATGAAGTTTGGTATTTTACTGAAGATTGTTGACAAGTTTTATGAAAGATCTGAACATGTTTTATGAGTTTTTGAAGTATTCCGAGTTCTGAGTTTTTTGAAGTACCGAGTGAAGTACCGAGTTTATGAGTTTTTGAAGTATTGAGTTATGATGTTATGTTGCTGTTTATCGATCCTGATGGTCACACGGGAATGTATGACCAGAGGGGGGAATGTGAGATTTCATAACACTTTTAAGCAACTTTTGTTAAAGTTAAACTCATCATTCTATCAATGTGCAGAAGCCAGTACTTTTCCCTTGTTGTGTCTATCTGAAGGCCAAGCTACAAGCACACTGTGGAAGCTGCTGATTGGAGGTCTCCATGCCTCCGCTCTGTATAATACACTTGCATTCTGTTGTATCTGTTGATCGTGCTGTCTCTACCATTGACAATAAAACATGTCTTCTGTCTGAATTAAAGACGCGATCCCAGACTATGTCATCTTCTTCAAGTATTAGATAGCAATATGGCCTACGTGCAGGACTGTACAAGGACTCTACAAGGACTCCATGTTATGACTATGATGTGACTGTCTCTTTGTGACACGTATGTCTTTCGATGTGTGACGTGACAATGACTATATAAACTGTGTACTGCCTTTATTCTGTCTGAGGGAAAGAAACAGAGTAAACCAGTGGAACTTGAGAGAAACTTAAATAAACTTCCAGAATTTGGCACACCACGATCCGTCTCTGTCTGCTTAAATCCTAACAGATTTGGTGGAGAATGCGCGGCTCGGTTTGTGCCATTCTCTGGATTGTTTTGAGGGAGTTTTGCTCTGTTTCTTTTCCTCTGCGTGGGAGACCGGCTGTGTCTGGGAGCGGGGATTCCAGCAGGCTGGAAGAGCTGTTCCTGGATGCTTCTTGTCGCTTCTGTCACTTTTGTTTTTTAAATTGAAGATTCCGACGCGGAAAAGAGTTGGCAGACCTCTCGGACAGCCCGTGCGCACCTCTTTGACAAGAATAAGGTAAGCAGACACCTTTTTATATGTAAAGTCTGCATAATTGGATACTAGCTAAATTTTGGTCTGTTTTTGAGGTCTGTCGAACTCTCTAAATTGTGTTCAAATAAGTGTTGGCCATTAAAGTGAATAGGATCCATAAAGTGAAAAGTGTTGGCCATTAAAGTGAGGATCCAAAGTGAAACCATGGTGTAAAATTAAAAGTAATTATAAAAAGGGAAACGTGTTAAGGAGGCCTTTGTTACAAAAGCTTTGAAATTGACGAATTTCAGGCTGATAAATGACAAAAGTAAAGAAGGAACAATATTTCAGTGATCACGGTTTAAATTACATACAGAAAAAGGGAGTTTTTTTTTTTGGCGTGAACAGAGTTCACCGGAGAATGCAGAGTTTTATCTAAAGTTGAGCTATGAGAGCTTTCGTGAGTTATTTACATTTTTTGCAGAGTTTTATCTACAGTTAAACTATGAGAGGGTTGTATCCAACAGTTGTTTTTGTTTTTTAGAAAGAGATTTTGAGTTTAAACTAGTTTGCTACCTCGATAAAATAGAAGCGTAAACGTTAAAGACAAGAGTGCCTTTTGTTACTAGTGTGGAAAGTGATCACTTCTAGATTTGGATGACAAAAGTATAAAGAACAACATCAGTTATATTTGCTTAACAAAGTAATCTTGAAAGTTATTCTTCTGTATCTTTTTGCCTGTGTGTGTGCGCAGCTCTATCTGCTGCCGTTGTCAGGGAAACGGCCCCCTCCTTCGCTGCTCTGGCTCTGAATCTGAAGCAAAGCTACTGCTTTTAGGATTTAGGCTTTTCATAGTTGTTATTCCGTTAAATTTGCTAAATTTGCAATTGAACATTGTGTTAGACACAGTTAAACGTTTTTAAACACCATTAGTAAATATAAGTTTTGAATATTATATGTTTTTTGAAACCCAAATATTAGTGCTAAAAGCTGTGCAATTCTTTTTAGACCTAACATATTTCTAGATTCCATTCTTTTAAATCTGCTGCTTATTTTGTGAGTCCATTATTGTATCTGATATTTCATAGCTGTTAGTGAGAATTTTTTCATGTATTTTTTATTTTAGTTACAAAAGCCGTTTTTCAAACATTTAAATTAGAATCTGAGTTAAAAGTGATTAATGATTGTAGACTTTGTCTAAAAAGAAAGAGGGAATTAGGAATTAGGCTGTAAAAGTATTATTATTAAGTTAAACTGTGACCCAATTTACAGTCTAAAAGCTGCGAGTTTTGTGAGTTTTGTTTTGTCTATAGCTCTGGCCTTGCAGCTGCTGCTCACTGCAGGGCGAGCAGAGTTTGATTACGTCCGTTAATTCAAAATGTTTTTAAAAGTTTATTGAGTGCATTTGAAGAATGCAGCAATTATTTTAAATTAGAATATATGCTATAAATGTTCAAGTGTAAAAGGGAAATTCCATAAAGTGATTAATCCAGTTTAGTTAATCTTTTTGCTTTGACTTCATGTTTTCAATTTTTGTTTTAATGTTTTTCAAAATTCATTTTTACAGAGATTTTTCATACAGTTTTAGTTGCGATTTGAGTAATAATAATAATTCATTCTATTTTATGGCGCATTTCAAGAAACCCAAGCAAGCCAAGATTAAAAACATCACACAGTACAGAAGTACAAAATAGAATACATTTTTTAAAGTTTAAGAAGGTTTAAGAGATTTGAGTCTTGTTTTTTATATTGAGAGTTTCTGGTTTTAAATGTCATCATTAGTAAGATAATAAGTAATCTTTTATTTACATAGCGCTTGGGAAAGCCAAGAGCGCTTCAAAATTGTTTTGACTTCAGAGAGAAAAACAATCTCATTCACAATCTCTGTTGTTTTTAATTTGACTATAAGGTTGTTTTCCAGAACCAAGAGCACACACTGTACAGGGTCACTGGACTGCTGGACACTGGACAGCGCAAAGCCCACCCAGCCACAGGTCACAGATCAAAGAGCAAAGGGAAATGCCACCTCCTTGCCCCTCCCCCCACTACAGAAGTAAGTGGGAGTGAGACCGGGGCCATGAAAAGTGGAGGTTTCTGGAGACGTGATGGGTGGAGCGTCAGGGAGAGACCTAGAGGCAGTTGAAAGTGTGTCCAGTTGGTTTACATCACCACAGTGTGACCTTTGACACCTACAGGTGGTTCGAGGAGTCTTGAGACACAACCCCAAAATTCACACACACACACACACACACACATACACACACATACACTCACACATTCACATTTACATATAGATACATGAAAAAGCAGAACATGAGAAAAAAGCATTTTAAAAGTTTACTCCAATGTAAACACATATTTTTAATTGTCTATCACTTGAATCTTTAGTTGAATCAGTATTTTTTGAGACCAGAAATGTTCATTTGAATTCTATATTGTCATGGACATAATTGACGTCTGTCCTGACACTTTTGATTTGTTGATTTTGTACTGTGTGAAGTAATTACATTGATGAGAATTAGATCTGATAAAAACACAAATTAGAGAAGTAAACTGCGCTTGCTTTTTGTCTGAGGGACATTAGCAACAGCATGAATAGAAATTGTCTTTAAAGTAGAATCAAAATGACTTAACCATAGAGAGTAACTACTGCATAACAAGCTGTGTACAGGAACTGAGACACTGCACCATTGACCAGAAGTGCATCGCAAATGACCTGATGTGCTTCAACTGAAAAGACTGTATCTGGAGATCCTGATGTGCATCTGGAGAGACCAGAACCATAGCTTGGACCCTACTGATGTCAAGGATGACATCTCTATGACCTGACCTGATGACGACTGAGACTCACCCTCAGGGGACCCTGAGGACCTGAGGACCTGAGGACCCTGAGGACCTGAGGATCTGAGGATCTGAGGATCTGAGAGAGAAAAAACTGGGGAGTGATGTTTATATTTTTGAAATCATACATTGATGAGTGCTAAATGAGAGAGATACTCATGATTTCTTCTTTTGTTTTTGTTTGTCCCTAGCTTCTGGACATCTGATGATCTATTGGACACAGACATTTGCAGAACAAGAACCAACCAATGAAAACGTCTATTGCCGATGCTATTGCTACAACCAGAACCACAACTGTGACAAAATGCAATATACATGTTAAGTATTCAGACATCTGACAGACAAAAGACGCGCTTTTTTAGTCAGGAGACCGAGCAACTGCATTAAAACCCTGACTCACTTCCGTATAGTGACCACTGCTGTTCACTACATTTTCGAGATGCATTGTGGGAAAATTCCAGTGCACTACTTTTTCTCTCTGGACATTCGGACACCCCTACAAAATGGCGTGACCACTATATAGTGCACTATATCAGAATCAGAATCAGAATCAGAATCAGAATCATTTTTATTGCCAACGTAAGTAACGGGAGGTCACAGACTTGGAAATTGCTTTGGCTCAGTGCAACAGTCAAAAAGAGATAATAAAAATAAGAATAAAAAACACTTCTAAAGAATAAATTTAAATTTAAAATAGAGTTACAGTTACTATTTACAATATACAAGTGCACATGGTGCACACAATGTAAGGTGACAGCAGTACAGTGAAGTAAAGTGACGTATGATGGGCAGTAAAGTGACTTTATAAAGGGCGGGGGGACAGGTTAAGAAGTGTTCAAGAGTCCAACAGCAGAGGGGAAGAAACTGTTCTTGTGGCGGGAGGTTCTAGTCCTGATGGACCGCAGCCTCCTGCCTGAGGGGAGTGGTTGGAATAGTCCATGTGCAGGGTGAGAGGGGTCGGCTGTGATACGACCAGCCCGGCCTCGAGCTCGGGCGACGTACAGGTCCTGCAGCGATGGAAGGCTGCGGCCGATCACTTCCTCTGCAGAGCGCACAATGCGCTGTAGTCTCTGTTTGTCCCTGACTGTGGCTCCAGCGAACCACACGGTGACGGAGGAGGTGAGGATGGACTCGATGATGGCCGTGTAGAACTGCACCAACATCTGTGCAGGCAGCTTGGCTTTCCTGAGCTGCCGCAGGAAGTACATCCTCTGCTGGGCCTTCTTGATGAGAGAGCTGATGGTCGGCTCCCACTTGAGGTCCTGGGTGATGGTGGTGCCCAGGAAACGGAAGGACTCCACAGAGGTGATGGGGGAGTCCATCACGGAGGGTGGGGGCGGGGGGACAGTGCTCTTCCTGAAGTCCACAATCATCTCCACTGTCTTCTGGGCGTTCAGCTCCAGGTTGTTACCACTGCACCAGGACACCAGCCGGTCCACCTCCCTCCTGTAGGCGGACTCATCGTTGTTGGAGATGAGTCCAATGAGGGTGGTGTCGTCCGCGAACTTGATCAGCTTCACGGAGTCGTGGCTGGAGGTGCAGTGGTTATATAGTGTATAGTGTGGACATTCGGATACAGCCTACACCTTTTTATTGGTGATTGGGGTCAGGGACTAGAGAGACGGGCCCAAGCCCCGCTGATCCAAGATGGCGTCCTGTTCAAATGAATGGCTTGTGCTCAGTAGCTCATGGGACTTCACGGGGACCAGGAGATTAGCAGAACTCGCCCATATTTGGGCATCGTCTGGTCCTCCCGGTTCTGTGCAGTGGATGAACTCCCAGGATGCTTTGTGCCAAATACGCGTGTGTGGGTCTCATGCACGTGCACAGAGGGGCTCGGCCTCTGACCAATCAGAGCAGCAGCAGAGCGGAGCCAGAGCGGGAAGGAAAGGAGCAGAGTTTGTGGCAGGTCCCCCAGATCCAGGTCCGAGTCCCCCCAGATCCAGGTCCGAGTCCCCCCAGATCCAGGTCCGAGTCCCCCCAGATCCAGGTCCGAGTCCCCCCAGATCCAGGTCCGAGTCCCCCCAGATCCAGGTCCGAGTCCTCACAGATCCAGGTCCGAGTCCTCACAGATCCAGGTCCGAGTCCCCACAGATCCAGGTCCGAGTCCTCACAGATCCAGGTCTGAGTCCTCACAGATCCAGGTCCGAGTCCTCACAGATCCAGGTCCGAGTCCCCACAGATCCAGGTCCGAGTCCCCACAGATCCAGGTCCGAGTCCTCACAGATCCAGGTCCGAGTCCCCACAGATCCAGGTCCGAGTCCCCACAGATCCAGGTCCGAGTCCTCACAGATCCAGGTCCGAGTCCCCACAGATCCAGGTCCGAGTCCCCACAGATCCAGGTCCGAGTCCTCACAGATCCAGGTCCGAGTCCCCACAGATCCAGGTCTGAGTCCCCACAGATCCAGGTCCGAGTCCCCACAGATCCAGGTCCGAGTCCTCACAGATCCAGGTCTGAGTCCCCACAGATCCAGGTCCGAGTCCCCACAGATCCAGGTCCGAGTCCCCACAGATCCAGGTCCGAGTCCTCACAGATCCAGGTCCGAGTCCTCACAGATCCAGGTCCGAGTCCCCACAGATCCAGGTCCGAGTCCTCACAGATCCAGGTCCGAGTCCCCACAGATCCAGGTCCGAGTCCCCACAGATCCAGGTCCGAGTCCCCACAGATCCAGGTCCGAGTCCTCACAGATCCAGGTCCGAGTCCTCACAGATCCAGGTCCGAGTCCCCACAGATCCAGGTCCGAGTCCTCACAGATCCAGGTCCGCGAGTCCCCCCAGATCCAGGTCCGAGTCCTCACAGATCCAGGTCCGAGTCCCCACAGATCCAGGTCCGAGTCCCCACAGATCCAGGTCCGAGTCCCCACAGATCCAGGTCCGAGTCCCCACAGATCCAGGTCCGAGTCCCCACAGATCCAGGTCCGAGTCCCCACAGATCCAGGTCCGAGTCCCCACAGATCCAGGTCCGAGTCCCCACAGATCCAGGTCTTTCTGATCTCGAGTGAGGATGAAATGTAAATAAAGTTTGAGCGGAATGTTCTGTGTGATGTTGTCTTTACATTATTCATCCTTTAATCACGTTTCAATACGTTTTAATTTGAAGACGCGGTCTGTGGGCGGGGCTTATTGCGGAAGTTAGCTTTTGTTTCCGGTGTTAGCTCGTGTGCTAACGCTAACAACAGTTAGCTCGTGTGCTAAAGCTAAGCAGAGTAAGATGAGTGAGAGGCGCAGTCTGCTGAGAGCTGCGGTGAATGAGCGGCTGGCTGCGGCTGCAGAAGAGATCTTTGTGCTTCTGGAGAGAACTATAGCGGAGTATGAGGAGGAAGTGTGTCGCTCCAAAGAGCAGAACCAGAGGAACCAGCAGCTGCTGGAGGCTCTGCGGCCCAGAGTCCTGCTCCCCGGGGATAAAGGTAATTGTGTAAACCATGGCCCGTTACTCTCGCGTTTTTCTAATCCTCATGTTGACTATCACTAACTATAACCGGGCTCATGATCGCTTTCGGGTCGAGATTGTCCGAATAATCGATAATCAAGTTTAATGTGTTCTCGCTCCTTTTGAAACATCACAGGACATCCCTCGATCCAGAAATGGATTAAGGGGAAGAACATGTTGGATGTTGTTTTGCTTTTCTCTCAGACATATTTAGCCATAATTGTGTGTCACTGTTTCAGTTCTTGAAACGACAAAAACATATTCGTCCTGTAATTATTTGATATGTATAATGTGTGCAGATGGTAGGAGCCTGTAGCACCACATGGACGTGGACACATTCTACTGTCACCTCTTTCCAAGAAAAATGATTCAAAGTCAGGTTGAGTTGATCAGGAAACAGTTTCCATCCTCGACCCAAAGGATCGTAGAAATGTGTTAATGTTTACTATTTAAAGTTCCATGACCTTCCATCTGACTGAGGTCACAGACTGAGGCCCCGGTCTGAGGTCACAGACTGAGGCCCCGGTCTGAGGTCACAGACTGAGGTCACAGACTGAGGCCCCGGTCTGAGGTCACAGACTGAGGCCCCGGTCTGAGGTCACAGACTGAGGCCCCGGTCTGAGGTCACAGACTGAGGTCACAGACTGAGGCCCCGGTCTGAGGTCACAGACTGAGGTCACAGACTCAGGCGCCGGTCTGAGGTCACAGACTGAGGCCCCAGACTCAGGCCCCAGACTGAGGTCCGCAGTGTTGGTCCTCACGGTGGATGAGCTGAATGTTTGATCTGACCTCCTGAATGTTTGATTCTTCTTGTTTCAGTCGTAAAGACCAACTCCACTTTATCAGACTCAGAGACGAGAGTGAAGCAGGAACCATCAGAACTGGGCCTCAAACAGGAGGAAGAGGAGAGCCTCAAACAGGAGGAAGAGGAGATCCTCAAACAGGAGGAAGAGGAGAGCCTCAAACAGGAGGAAGAGGAGATCCTCAAACAGGAGGAAGAGGAGAGCCTCAAACAGGAGGAAGAGGAGATCCTCAAACAGGAGGAAGAGGAGAGCCTCAAACAGGAGGAGGAGCAGCTCCCACACTTCACTGCTGTGTGTGTGAAGAGTGAAGAAGAACAAAGGGCACAAAGGGAAATCTATTATCTTGACAATGATGAAGACGATGATGAAGACTGGGGACATCCAGGCAGCAGTTCTACTGCACAGATGCAGACAGAGGCTGAGGGAGACCTCTACAACCAAGTCCACACACACGGACTGTCAGGGACCGGACCCAGAGACCTGCTGTCAGGGACCGGACTGTCAGGGACCGGACTGTCAGGGACCGGACTGTCAGGGACCGGACTGTCAGGGACCGGACCCAGAGACCTGCTGTCAGGGACCGGACCCAGAAACCTGCTGTCAGGGACCGGACTGTCAGGGACCGGACTGTCAGGGACCGGACTGTCAGGGACCGGACTGTCAGGGACCGGACTGTCAGGGACCGGACTGTCAGGGACCGGACTGTCAGGGACCGGACCTAGAGACCTGCTGTCAGGAACCGGGCCGGGAGCAGAGAGGAAATACGAGTGCCTTGTTTGTAAGAAGAGATTTGTGCATGAAGTCCATCTGCAGGTCCACAGCAGGACTCACACCGGAGAGAAACCTTACAGATGCTGCTTTTGTGCCAGGATGTTTTCAGACAGCTCTAACTTAAAAAAACACATGCGAATCCACACAGGAGAGAAACCTTACAGCTGTTCATTTTGTATGAAAACATTTACACAAAAATCAACACGAGATCAACACGAGAGGGTTCACACCGGAGAGAAGCCGTTCCAGTGTTCGCTCTGTGCCAAAACGTTTGCCGTCAAAGGAAACCTCAGAACCCACATGAAAGTCCACACTGCAGCTACTGGCATCGTGTAAACAGACCCATCCAGGACCAGGGGGGCCCGATGAGACTTTAGTGATCTCTGATAAATGTGACATTTGGCACAGACAGAATCACTCAGATTTGTGCAAAGACAGAAGTGTGACACATGTTAAAGTTAAAAATAGACTGTGCAGGAGATGATTATGTACAATAAAAAGTGGCAATAGTGACTTATTCAACAGTCTCCTTCAGCTCCTCCTCAGTTCTGTGCAGTGGACCACAGACTGGACTGGGAGTCCACCTGGACCACAGACTGGACTGGGAGTCCACCTGGACCACAGACTGGACTGGGAGTCCACCTGGACCATAGACTGGACTGGGAGTCCACCTCTGCATGACTCCCTCTGACTCCCTCTGCATGACTCCCTCTGCATGACTCCCTCTGCATGACTCCCTCTGACTCCCTCTGCATGACTCCCTCTGAATGACTCCCTCTGACTCCCTCTGCATGACTCCCTCTGCATGACTCCCTCTGCATGACTCCCTCTGCATGACTCCCTCTGCATGACACCCTCTGCATGACTCCCTCTGCATGACTCCCTCTGCATGACTCCCTCTGCATGACTCCCTCTGCATGACTCCCTCTGCATGACTCCCTCTGCATGACTCCCTCTAACTCCCTCTGCATGACTCCCTCTGCATGACTCCCTCTAACTCCCTCTGCATGACTCCCTCTGCATGACTCCCTCTGCATGACTCCCTCTAACTCCCTCTGCATGACTCCCTCTGACTCCCTCTGTATGACTCCCTCTGCATGACTCCCTCTGCATGACTCCCTCTGCATGACTCCCTCTAACTCCCTCTGCATGACTCCCTCTGCATGACTCCCTCTGCATGACTCCCTCTGCATGACTCCCTCTAACTCCCTCTGCATGACTCCCTCTGACTCCCTCTGCATGACTCCCTCTGCATGACTCCCTCTAACTCCCTCTGCATGACTCCCTCTGCATGACTCCCTCTGACTCCCTCTGCATGACTCCCTCTAACTCCCTCTGCATGACTCCCTCTGCATGACTCCCTCTAACTCCCTCTGCATGACTCCCTCTGCATGACTCCCTCTAACTCCCTCTGCATGACTCCCTCTGCATGACTCCCTCTGTATGACTCCCTCTGTATGACTCCCTCTGACTCCCTCTGCATGACTCCCTCTGACTCCCTCTGCATGACTCCCTCTGCTGACTCCCTCTGCATGACTCCCTCTGTATGACTCCCTCTGACTCCCTCTGCATGACTCCCTCTAACTCCCTCTGCATGACTCCCTCTGCATGACTCCCTCTGTATGACTCCCTCTGACTCCCTCTGCATGACTCCCTCTGCATGACTCCTTCTGACTCCCTCTGCATGACTCCCTCTGCATGACTCCTTCTGACTCCCTCTGCATGACTCCCTCTGCATGACTCCTGACTCCCTCTGCATGACTCCTTCTGACTCCCTCTGCATGACTCCCTCTAACTCCCTCTGCATGACTCCCTCTGCATGACTCCCTCTGTATGACTCCCTCTGTATGACTCCCTCTGCATGACTCCCTCTGTATGACTGACTCCCTCTGTATGACTCCCTCTGCATGACTCCTTCTGACTCCCTCTGCATGACTCCTTCTGACTCCCTCTGCATGACTCCCTCTGCATGACTCCCTCTGAATGACTCCCTCTGACTCCCTCTGCATGACTCCCTCTGCATGACTCCTTCTGACTCCCTCTGCATGACTCCCTCTGCATGACTCCCTCTGACTCCCTCTGCATGACTCCCTCTGCATGACTCCCTCTGAATGACTCCCTCTGACTCCCTCTGCATGACTCCCTCTGCATGACTCCCTCTGCATGACTCCCTCTGACTCCCTCTGCATGACTCCCTCTGCATGACTCCTTCTGACTCCCTCTGCATGACTCCCTCTGAATGACTCCCTCTGACTCCCTCTGCATGACTCCCTCTGCATGACTCCCTCTGCATGACTCCTTCTGACTCCCTCTGCATGACTCCCTCTGCATGACTCCCTCTGAATGACTCCCTCTGCATGACTCCCTCTGCATGACTCCTTCTGACTCCCTCTGCATGACTCCCTCTGCATGACTCCCTCTGCATGACTCCCTCTGACTCCCTCTGCATGACTCCCTCTGAATGACTCCCTCTGACTCCCTCTGCATGACTCCCTCTGCATGACTCCTTCTGACTCCCTCTGCATGACTCCCTCTGACTCCCTCTGCATGACTCCCTCTGCATGACTCCCTCTGAATGACTCCCTCTGACTCCCTCTGCATGACTCCCTCTGCATGACTCCTTCTGACTCCCTCTGCATGACTCCCTCTGACTCCCTCTGCATGACTCCCTCTGCATGACTCCTTCTGACTCCCTCTGCATGACTCCCTCTGACTCCCTCTGCATGACTCCCTCTGCATGACTCCCTCTGCATGACTCCCTCTGCATGACTCCCTCTAACTCCCTCTGCATGACTCCCTCTGCATGACTCCCTCTAACTCCCTCTGCATGACTCCCTCTGCATGACTCCCTCTGCATGACTCCCTCTAACTCCCTCTGCATGACTCCCTCTGACTCCCTCTGTATGACTCCCTCTGCATGACTCCCTCTGCATGACTCCCTCTGCATGACTCCCTCTAACTCCCTCTGCATGACTCCCTCTGCATGACTCCCTCTGCATGACTCCCTCTGCATGACTCCCTCTAACTCCCTCTGCATGACTCCCTCTGACTCCCTCTGCATGACTCCCTCTGCATGACTCCCTCTAACTCCCTCTGCATGACTCCCTCTGCATGACTCCCTCTGACTCCCTCTGCATGACTCCCTCTAACTCCCTCTGCATGACTCCCTCTGCATGACTCCCTCTAACTCCCTCTGCATGACTCCCTCTGCATGACTCCCTCTAACTCCCTCTGCATGACTCCCTCTGCATGACTCCCTCTGTATGACTCCCTCTGTATGACTCCCTCTGACTCCCTCTGCATGACTCCCTCTGACTCCCTCTGCATGACTCCCTCTGCATGACTCCCTCTGCATGACTCCCTCTGTATGACTCCCTCTGACTCCCTCTGCATGACACCCTCTAACTCCCTCTGCATGACTCCCTCTGCATGACTCCCTCTGTATGACTCCCTCTGACTCCCTCTGCATGACTCCCTCTGCATGACTCCTTCTGACTCCCTCTGCATGACTCCCTCTGCATGACTCCTTCTGACTCCCTCTGCATGACTCCCTCTGCATGACTCCTGACTCCCTCTGCATGACTCCTTCTGACTCCCTCTGCATGACTCCCTCTAACTCCCTCTGCATGACTCCCTCTGCATGACTCCCTCTGTATGACTCCCTCTGTATGACTCCCTCTGCATGACTCCCTCTGTATGACTCCCTCTGTATGACTCCCTCTGCATGACTCCTTCTGACTCCCTCTGCATGACTCCTTCTGACTCCCTCTGCATGACTCCCTCTGCATGACTCCCTCTGAATGACTCCCTCTGACTCCCTCTGCATGACTCCCTCTGCATGACTCCTTCTGACTCCCTCTGCATGACTCCCTCTGCATGACTCCCTCTGACTCCCTCTGCATGACTCCCTCTGCATGACTCCCTCTGAATGACTCCCTCTGACTCCCTCTGCATGACTCCCTCTGACTCCCTCTGCATGACTCCCTCTGCATGACTCCCTCTGACTCCCTCTGCATGACTCCCTCTGCATGACTCCTTCTGACTCCCTCTGCATGACTCCCTCTGAATGACTCCCTCTGACTCCCTCTGCATGACTCCCTCTGCATGACTCCTTCTGACTCCCTCTGCATGACTCCCTCTGCATGACTCCCTCTGAATGACTCCCTCTGCATGACTCCCTCTGCATGACTCCCTCTGCATGACTCCCTCTGCATGACTCCCTCTGACTCCCTCTGCATGACTCCCTCTGAATGACTCCCTCTGACTCCCTCTGCATGACTCCCTCTGCATGACTCCTTCTGACTCCCTCTGCATGACTCCCTCTGACTCCCTCTGCATGACTCCCTCTGCATGACTCCCTCTGAATGACTCCCTCTGACTCCCTCTGCATGACTCCCTCTGCATGACTCCTTCTGACTCCCTCTGCATGACTCCCTCTGACTCCCTCTGCATGACTCCCTCTGCATGACTCCTTCTGACTCCCTCTGCATGACTCCCTCTGACTCCCTCTGCATGACTCCCTCTGCATGACTCCCTCTGAATGACTCCCTCTGACTCCCTCTGCATGACTCCCTCTGCATGACTCCCTCTGCATGACTCCTTCTGACTCCCTCTGCATGACTCCCTCTGACTCCCTCTGCATGACTCCCTCTGCATGACTCCCTCTGAATGACTCCCTCTGACTCCCTCTGCATGACTCCCTCTGCATGACTCCTTCTGACTCCCTCTGCATGACTCCCTCTGAATGACTCCCTCTGACTCCCTCTGCATGACTCCTTCTGACTCCCTCTGCATGACTCCCTCTGACTCCCTCTGCATGACTCCCTCTGAATGACTCCCTCTGACTCCCTCTGCATGACTCCCTCTGCATGACTCCCTCTGCATGACTCCCTCTGACTCCCTCTGCATTAATGCTCTACCACCTGAGCCCTTGTCTATGGTTTTATATCACACTGAGGATTTTTCCGCTAAATAAACAGATTTAAGACAAACGTGTGAGTGACGTCATAACAGACGAACATGAGTTTTTATGAACGACCGTGTCTGTCCGTTAGAGGGCGTCAGTGAGTTTTTTCATAGAACACGAACAATTTTGTTCAGGTTATAACAATATGGTGTAAATGTCTTTCGTCCCCACTGTACGTTGTTGACGTTGGATCTTCGTTTTTTGTTTTTTTGTGATATAGAAGACTGCACGATGTACATCCTGTCTGTAAAACAGAGAGATGTGAAAAAAATAAAAAGTTTAGGAGGCGGGGCTTACAGCGGAAGCCAGATGCAGTGTTAGCTCCTGTGCTACAGCTAACATTAGCTCCTGGCTAAAGCTAACAACAACATGTGGACGAGGCGCAGTCTGCTGAGAGCTGCGGTGAATGAGCGGCTGGCTGCGGCTGCAGAAGAGATCTTTGTGCTGCTGGAGAGAACTATAGCGGAGTATGAGGAGGAAGTGTGTCGCTCCAAAGAGGAGAACCAGAGGAACCAGCAGAACCAGAGGAACCAGCAGAACCAGAGGAACCAGCAGAACCAGAGGAACCAGCAGAACCAGAGGAACCAGCAGAACCAGAGGAACCAGCAGAACCAGAGGAACCAGCAGAACCAGAGGAACCAGCAGAACCAGCAGAACCAGAGGAACCAGCAGAACCACAGGAACCAGAGGAACCAGCAGAACCAGAGGAACCACAGGAACCAGCAGAACCACAGGAACCAGCAGAACCACAGGAACCAGCAGAACCACAGGAACCAGCAGAACCACAGGAACCAGCAGAACCAGAGGAACCATCAGCTGGAAGCGGGTCAGTGTGCATGTGTCTTGTATTGACTCGCTTCTTTTGGGGCCAGATGTGACTCGTCAAAGACACAAAGTAAACACAGTGTAAACACAGAGTAAACACAGAGTAAACACAGAGTAAACACAGTGTGAACACAGTGTAAACACAGAGTAAACACAGTGTAAACACAGAGTAAACACAGTGTAAACACAGTGTAAACAGTGTAAACACAGAGTAAACACAGAGTAAACACAGTGTAAACACAGTGTAAACACAGTGTAAACAGAGTAAACACAGTGTAAACACAGAGTAAACACAGAGTAAACACAGAGTAAACACAGAGTAAACACAGTGTAAACACAGAGTAAACACAGTGTAAACACAGAGTAAACACAGTGTAAACACAGAGTAAACACAGTGTAAACACAGTGTAAACACAGTGTAAACAGTGTAAACACAGAGTAAACACAGAGTAAACACAGTGTAAACACAGTGTAAACACAGTGTAAACACAGAGTAAACAGAGTAAACACAGTGTAAACACAGAGTAAACACAGAGTAAACACAGTGTAAACACAGTGTAAACACAGTGTAAACACAGTAAACACAGTGTAAACACAGTGTAAACACAGAGTAAACACAGTGTAAACACAGAGTAAACACAGTGTAAACACAGAGTAAACACAGAGTAAACAGAGTAAACACAGTGTAAACACAGAGTAAACACAGTGTAAACACAGTGTAAACACAGAGTAAACACAGAGTAAACACAGAGTAAACACAGTGTAAACACAGATTAAACACAGATTAAACACAGTGTAAACACAGTGTAAACACAGAGTAAACACAGAGTAAACACAGAGTAAACACAGATTAAACACAGATTAAACACAGATTAAACACAGATTAAACACAGAGTAAACACAGTGTAAACACAGTGTAAACACAGAGTAAACAGAGTAAACACAGTGTAAACACAGAGTAAACAGAGTAAACACAGTGTAAACACAGAGTAAACAGAGTAAACACAGTGTAAACACAGTGTAAACAGAGTAAACACAGTGTAAACACAGAGTAAACACAGAGTAAACACAGTGTAAACAGAGTAAACACAGTGTAAACACAGTGTAAACACAGTGTAAACACAGAGTAAACACAGATTAAACACAGATTAAACACAGTGTAAACACAGTGTAAACACAGTGTAAACACAGAGTAAACACAGAGTAAACACAGAGTAAACACAGAGTAAACACAGTGTAAACACAATGTAAACACAGATTAAACACAGATTAAACACAGTGTAAACACAGTGTAAACACAGAGTAAACACAGAGTAAACACAGAGTAAACACAGAGTAAACACAGAGTAAACACAGAGTAAACACAGTGTAAACACAGTGTAAACACAGTGTAAACACAGTGTAAACACAGAGTAAACACAGAGTAAACAGAGTAAACACAGTGTAAACACAGTGTAAACACAGAGTAAACACAGTGTAAACACAGAGTAAACAGAGTAAACACAGTGTAAACACAGTGTAAACACAGAGTAAACACAGTGTAAACACAGTGTAAACAGAGTAAACACAGTGTAAACACAGAGTAAACACAGTGTAAACACAGTGTAAACACAGTAAACACAGTGTAAACACAGAGTAAACAGAGTAAACACAGAGTAAACACAGTGTAAACACAGAGTAAACACAGTGTAAACACAGTGTAAACACAGAGTAAACACAGAGTAAACACAGAGTAAACACATGAACTCAGCCTGTTCCGTATCCTTTCTGCATAAAGTGACCGACAACCTGGATTACAGTCACATGTTAGACCTTTACCCTGTTCTCGCCCTGTTCTCGCCCTGTTCTCGCCCTGTTCTCGCCCTGTTCACGCCCTGTTCTCGCCCTGTTCTCGCCCTGTTTTCACCCTGTTTTCACCCTGTTCTCACCCTGTTCTCGCCCTGTTCTCACCCTGTTCTCACCCTGTTCTTACCCTGTTCTCGCCCTGTTCTCGCCCTGTTCTCACCCTGTTCTCGCCCTGTTCTCACACTGTTCTCACCCTGTTCTCACCCTGTTCTCACCCTGTTCTCACCCTGTTCACACCCTGTTCTCACCCTGTTCTCACCCTGTTCTCGCCCTGTTCACGCCCTGTTCTCGCCCTGTTCTCGCCCTGTTCTCACCCTGTTCTCGCCCTGTTCTCGCCCTGTTCTCACCCTGTTCTCGCCCTGTTTTCACCCTGTTTTCACCCTGTTCTCGCCCTGTTCTCGCCCTGTTCTCACCCTGTTCTTACCCTGTTCTCGCCCTGTTCTCGCCCTGTTCTCGCCCTGTTCTCACCCTGTTCTCGCCCTGTTCTCGCCCTGTTCTCGCCCTGTTCTCGCCCTGTTCTCACCCTGTTCTCACCCTGTTCTCGCCCTGTTCTCGCCCTGTTCTCGCCCTGTTCTCACCCTGTTCTCACCCTGTTCTCGCCCTGTTCTCACCCTGTTCTCACCCTGTTCTTACCCTGTTCTCGCCCTGTTCTTACCCTGTTCTCACCCTGTTCTCGCCCTGTTCTCGCCCTGTTCTCGCCCTGTTCTCGCCCTGTTCTCGCCCTGTTCTCACCCTGTTCTCGCCCTGTTCTCGCCCTGTTCTCGCCCTGTTCTCGCCCTGTTCTTACCCTGTTCTCGCCCCTGTTCTCGCCCTGTTCTCGCCCTGTTCTCGCCCTGTTCTCGCCCTGTTCTCGCCCTGTTCTCGCCCTGTTCTCGCCCTGTTCTCACCCTGTTCTCGCCCTGTTCTCGCCCTGTTCTCGCCCTGTTCTCACCCTGTTCTCGCCCTGTTCTCGCCCTGTTCTCACCCTGTTCTCACCCTGTTCTCACCCTGTTCTCACCCTGTTCTCGCCCTGTTCTCGCCCTGTTCTCACCCTGTTCTCAGAATGATTTGTTTTGCCATAACACAAAGTTACAAACGACAGAAAGCTTTGGCTCTGTATAAAAGATATAATATATTATTAAATGACTGCTGAATACTTCACAGACTGTTGTTGTGTGGATTCTTACATTGAATCTGTTTTAGTGAAATCTAAATAACTCCTGCTTCAGCCTCAGTCCTGCTTCTTTAAGGGTCCTCCTCTGGAACAGGAGGCAGAGGCTGTGTGTGTGTGTCTGTGTGTGTCTGTGTGTGTCTGTGTGTCTGTGTGTGTCTGTGTTTGTGTCTGTGTGTGTGTCTCTGTGTGTGTCCGTGTGTGTCTGTGTGTCTGTGTGTGTGTCTGTGTGTGTGTCTGTGTGTGTGTCTCTGTGTGTGTCCGTGTGTGTCTGTGTGTGTCTGTGTGTGTCTGTGTTTGTGTCTGTGTGTGTGTCTGTGTGTGTGTCTGTGTGTGTGTCTGTGTGTGTGTCTGTGTGTGTGTCTGTGTGTGTGTGTGTGTCCGTGTGTGTCTGTGTGTGTCTGTGTTTGTGTCTGTGTGTGTGTCTGTGTGTGTGTCTGTGTGTGTCTGTGTCTGTGTGTGTCTGTGTGTGTCTGTGTTTGTGTCTGTGTGTGTGTCTCTGTGTGTGTCCGTGTGTGTCTGTGTGTGTCTGTGTGTGTGTCTGTGTGTGTGTCTGTGTGTGTCTGTGTCCGTGTGTGTCTGTGTTTGTGTCTGTGTGTGTGTCTCTGTGTGTGTCCGTGTGTGTCTGTGTGTGTCTGTGTGTTTGTGTGTGTGTCTGTGTGTCTGTGTGTGTGTCTGTGTGTGTGTCTGTGTGTGTGTCTCTGTGTGTGTCCGTGTGTGTCTGTGTGTGTGTGTGTCTCTGTGTGTGTCCGTGTGTGTCTTCATGTGTCTCTGTGTGTGTCCGTGTGTGTGTCTCTGTGTGTGTCCGTGTGTGTCTCTGTGTGTGTCCGTGTGTGTCTTCATGTGTCTCTGTGTGTCCGTGTGTGTTTCTGTGTGTCTCTATTGTTCATGTGTGATGGTTACATGTTTTATGTTGTGTGTGTTGCTATAGAAGTGTGTGTCTTCTCCTTTGGACAAATGTAGAGCGTATCGATATGGAGTTCTTATGTTTTAATGATTGTATTAAAATATGACCTTCTCTTTTTAGGGGTTGAAATCCACTGGTTCAGATCGATTCAGGAAACTCCAGAGACTCTACGCGTGAGCGACGAACCCTCAGAACTGGGCCTGAAACAGGAGGAAGAGGAGGCAGAGGAGAGGCTGAAACAGGAGGAAGAGGAGGCAGAGGAGAGGCTGAAACAGGAGGAAGAGGAGGCAGAGGAGAGGCTGAAACGGGAGGAAGAGGAGGCAGAGGAGAGGCTGAAACAGGAGGAAGAGAAGCTCCCAGACTTCACTGCTGTGTGTGTGAAGAGTGAAGAGCAGTCCTCACTGATTGAAGAAGACAGAGAGGAAGCACAGGGACAGCTCTGTGGAGGAGCAGACATCAGCTCACAGACACATTTACACTCAGAGACAGAAGAACAGAGACACCACTCTTACACTGACCATGATGAAGACCCTGATGAAGACCATGATGAAGACCATGATGAAGACTATGATGAAGACTGGGGACATCCAGGCAGCAGTTCTACTGCACAGATGCAGACAGAGGCTGAGGGAGACCTCTACAACCAAGTCCACACACAGGGACTGTCAGGGACCGGACCCAGAGACCTGCTGTCAGGGACCGGACTGTCAGGGACCGGACTGTCAGGGACCGGACTGTCAGGGACCGGACTGTCAGGGACCGGACTGTCAGGGACCGGACCCAGAGACCTGCTGTCAGGGACCGGACCCAGAGACCTGCTGTCAGGGACCGGACCCAGAGACCTGCTGTCAGGGACCGGACCCAGAGACCTGCTGTCAGGGACCGGACTGTCAGGGACCGGACTGTCAGGGACCGGACTGTCAGGGACCGGACTGTCAGGGACCGGACTGTCAGGGACCGGACTGTCAAGGACCGGACCTAGAGACCTGCTGTCAGGGACCGGACCCCGAGACAGAGGAGCAGAGAAATCTCACTCTTGCTCCGTTTGTAAGAAAACATTCACCTTTAGGAAACAACTCACTTCACACACAAGAACTCACGCAGGAGAGAGACCTTACAGCTGTTCCATCTGTAAAAAAACATTTCCTCGTAAAGATCATTTAGATCGCCATGAAAGAGTTCACTCAGGAGAGAAACCTTACAGCTGTTCGTTCTGTGAGAAAACATTTTCCCAGAAAGGGGATTTAGATCGACACGAACGACTTCATACAGGAGAGAAACCTTACAGCTGCTCAGTGTGTGCAAAAACATTTGCTGTCAGGTCAAACCTAAACGTCCACATGAAGTGTCACAGACTGTAGCTTCTCACAGGAGGAACCATGAACAAGAGGAACCATGAACAAGAGGAACCATGAACAAGAGGAACCATGAACAAGAGGAACCATGAACAAGAGGAACCAGGAACAAGAGGAACCAGGAACAAGAGGAACCAGGAACAAGAGGAACCAGGAACAAGAGGAACCATGAACAAGAGGAACCAGGAACAAGAGGAACTAGGAACAAGAGGAACCAGGAACAAGAGGAACCAGGAACAAGAGGAACCAGGAACAAGAGGAACCAGGAACAAGAGGAACCAGGAACAAGAGGAACCATGAACAAGAGGAACTGTCACTCCCGTATTCGTCCCGGAAACCGGATTCGTCCGGAAGTTCAGTTTGATCCAATGAGCAAACGCAGCAGTAGATTACGTCACAGAATCTGGATGGAAGCGGAAGTAAATATAAAAAACTACCTATTCATGCCTAAACTTAACCAGCCATTCCCATAAAATAACCTTAACCCTAACCTTAACCATCTTACTCAGACCACCTTAACCCTAACCTTAACCATCTTACTCAGACCCACCTTAACCCTAACCTTAACCATCTTACTCAGACCACCTTAACCCTAACCTTAACCATCTTACTCAGACCACCTTAACCCTAACCTTAACCATCTTACTCAGACGCCTAAACTTAACCAGTCACCACTTAAGGACTTTACACTTTTTGACATGCGCAAACTGAACTTCCGGACGAATACGGTTTCCGGGACGAATACAGGAGTGACAGGAACCATGAATAAGAGGAACCATGAACAAGAGGAACCATGAACAAGAGGGAACAGTTTAAGTAAAGTCTACGGCTGTATCTGAATGTCCACACTATACCCTATTCACTCACTCACTATATAGTTCGGGACTATATAGCGACTGAGTGAGTGAGTCAGTGCACTCATTCTGTTGGCGATTCGGACACATGCACACTATTTTTAGCCGCGGCCCACATCACACCCCTGTCACATGTCATTGGATCAATATAATTTTATATATAAATAAAAGTATATTAAAATATCAATATTTGTCTAATATACATGTATAAAATGTTTTTACAATTTATATTCATATTTATGAATTTTGGTTGACGTCTTTCATATTCACGCCACCTGACCGGCTCCTCTAACACTGGTGAAATGGCACCTCCACTGAATTTTGCGGTGTTTTTCATAACTATTATACAAGTTATCATAATGCGAATTAAACACCGCCGAACAGAGAGAAGGCAAAGACAGGCGATGAGGGCTCTTCGTTCATTAGCAAGGCGTCGTGTAAGTATTGTATTCGTCCTTTGTCTATATAGCATTAGCACCATCTACTGGGTAAATTATAGTACTTTTGGTGTACTTACTAATTAAAATACTATTCTCAGTCAATGAGAAACACATTAGTCATATACATTTAGACATATTTCAACAAGAAAACACATTGTATAGACACACTCACTTAAAATGCAAGAACATTAAAATATTTTATTGGTTGAAAGAACACAAAACCATAGCAAGGGAAATGGATTAAGTACTCATTTTTTCTAAATGAAAAATGAGTACTTAATCATTAAACAATAATAGAATTTGCTTGGCCATGGGGCACAGGGCTTCTGTGATTTTTGTGTGTGTTATTAGGTGCGAGTGATGTAGTGAGGGTTTCTACTTCAGTTGTCTCAGGGCAGCTCCAGCTCCCTGCAACACACAATACATTTGGCAAAATCAATGCCAGGGCACAAAAGAACATGACTTCAGCTATATAGTTTCTGTAAGCCCTCAGTCGTACAGGGATTAGTCAAAGCAAAGGAAGGTTTCTCACCCATCATCTGTACTTCTTAGCAAGTTTTCCCAACGTTTCGTCCTCAACCTGGGGACTTCTTCAGGGAAGAAGTCCCCAGGTTGAGGACGAAACGTTGGGAAAACTTGCTAAGAAGTACAGATGATGGGTGAGAAACCTTCCTTTGCTTTGACTATATACTCTTCATTTTTATTTACATTTTTAAATCTCAAAATGAAAAATGAGTACTTATTCCTGTGTCTGCACTCATAACTAAAAGTGCAGATACAGAATTAAAAAATGAATCTAGAAGTATCATATTAAGTTTAAGAGAATTTTTGTTTTGTTTTAGGGTGAACCACCGGTGTACTGCCGACTGAACCACCATGTACCCCTAGTCAGCATGTACTTAAATGGCCAGTCTGACCTTCGCCCCGATTTTCGTCTCACTCGAACCACCATCACCCGTCTGGTTAGCCACCTGAGGAGTGCTCATCACCAGGGCTGGAGCCAGGACATGGAGGTTTTGGTCTTCCTCTTTTGGTTGGCCAGTGGCACCGCGTACCGTGTTGTCGCCAGGGCATTTGACATGCCCCAGTCCACAGTCCACGATGTGATCCACAGGGTGGCCAACCAGATCCTTCAAATGCGTGGCCAAATAATTCATTTCCCTTCCCTGGAGGAACTTCCCCAAGTTGCAGCTGGGTTTCAGTTGCTGGCTGGATCAGCTGCTCTCAATAATGTTGTGGGGAGCATCGACGGCTGCCACATCAGAATAAAGCCCCTTCAAGAAAATGCACAGTGTTATTTTAACAGGAAATTGTTTTATTCTATTCAAATGCAGGCTGTGTGTAATCACCGTGGCTTATTTATTGATTTGTTTGTTGGCTACCCCGGATCTGTGCACGATTCTCTAGCGCTTAAAAACAGCCCCCTCTACGTCCACCGGCTCTATCCCCCAAATGGACACGTCCTCCTTGGGGATGGGGGTTACCCTTGCCTCCGTCAGCCCATCACACTCCTCCCTCCATACAGAGAGCCTGTTCGGAGCCCAGTGGAAGCCCGCTTCAACCAGCACCATGCACGGGCACGATCTGTAACAGAGAGAGCGTTTGGCATGATGAAAGCAAGATGGCGATCCATTTTCTCTAAGGCACTGGAAGTCCAACCCACCTTTGCAGTCGAGGTGACTGCCTGTTGCGCCATCCTGCACAACATCTGCGTCAGCGATGGTGATCTCTGTGAGCCAGTGGAAGAGGAGCCAGGGCCTGATGATGAGCAGGACCAGCATCAGCAGCACCAGCCTGATCAGCAGTGTGGACAGGAGCTGTGTGGACAGGAGCTGTGTGGACAGGAGCTGTGTGGACAGGAGCTGTGTGGACAGGAGCTGCGTGGACAGGAGCTGTGTGGACAGGAGCTGTGTGGACAGGAGCTGTGTGGACAGGAGCTGTGTGGACAGGAGCTGTGTGGACAGGAGCTGCGTGGACAGGAGCTGCGTGGACAGGAGCTGCGTGGACAGGAGCTGTGTGGACAGGAGCTGTGTGGACAGGAGCTGCGTGGACAGGAGCTGTGTGGACAGGAGCTGCGTGGACAGGAGCTGTGTGGACAGGAGCTGTGTGGACAGGAGCTGTGTGGACAGGAGCTGTGTGGACAGGAGCTGCGTGAACAGCTGTGTGGACAGGAGCTGCGTGGACAGGAGCTGCGTGGACAGGAGCTGTGTGGACAGGAGCTGCGTGAACAGCTGTGTGGACAGGAGCTGTGTGGACAGGAGCTGTGTGGACAGGAGCTGTGTGGACAGGAGCTGTGTGGACAGGAGCTGTGTGGACAGGAGCTGTGTGGACAGGAGCTGTGTGGACAGGAGCTGTGTGGACAGGAGCTGTGTGGACAGGAGCTGTGTGGACAGGAGCTGTGTGGACAGGAGCTGCGTGAACAGCTGTGTGGACAGGAGCTGTGTGGACAGGAGCTGTGTGGACAGGAGCTGTGTGGACAGGAGCTGTGTGGACAGGAGCAGTGTGGACAGGAGCTGTGTGGACAGGAGCTGTGTGGACAGGAGCTGTGTGGACAGGAGCTGTGTGGACAGGAGCTGTGTGGACAGGAGCTGTGTGGACAGGAGCTGCGTGGACAGGAGCTGTGTGGACAGGAGCTGTGTGGACAGGAGCTGTGTGGACAGGAGCTGTGTGGACAGGAGCTGTGTGGACAGGAGCTGTGTGGACAGGAGCTGTGTGGACAGGAGCTGTGTGGACAGGAGCTAGCTGTGTGGACAGGAGCTGTGTGGACAGGAGCTGTGTGGACAGGAGCTGTGTGGACAGGGCAGCTGTGTGGACAGGAGCAGTGTGGACAGCTGTGTGGACAGGAGCTGTGTGGACAGGAGCTGCGTGGACAGGAGCTGTGTGGACAGGAGCTGTGTGGACAGGAGCTGCGTGGACAGGAGCTGCTGTGTGGACAGGAGCTGTGTGGACAGGAGCTGCGTGGACAGGAGCTGTGTGTGTGTGGACAGGAGCTGTGTGGACAGGAGCTGTGTGGACAGGAGCTGTGTGGACAGGAGCTGTGTGGACAGGAGCTGTGTGGACAGGAGCTGTGTGGACAGGAGCTGTGTGGACAGGAGCTGTGTGGACAGGAGCTGTGGACAGGAGCTGTGTGGACAGGAGCTGTGTGGACAGGAGCTGTGTGGACAGGAGCTGTGTGGACAGGAGCTGTGTGGACAGGAGCTGTGTGGACAGGAGCTGTGTGGACAGGAGCTGTGTGGACAGGAGCTGTGTGGACAGGAGTGCGTGGACAGGAGCTGTGTGTGGACAGGACTCTCTTGGCACTTCTGTATCTTACACATTCCATAAGGACATGCTCAACAGTTTCTCTGCCTCCACAGTGCTCACATTGTCCAGTCGGATGTTTTCCCATTAAACTTAATGTACCGTTCAAGTAGGTATGTCCTAATTTCAGTCGTGTTATCACGTCTTCCTCTCTCCGGCTGAATTCTCCTCCTATTACCTCTTGTCCCACTTGATGTTGCACATTAAAATAAAACCGTCCTTTATCCTCCTCCTCCCAGCTTCTCTGCCACATCTCTTTAATTCTAACTTTGATAAGACTTTTCACTTCTGCCTTGCTTATTCTAACAGGGAAATCCAGAGCCCCACTCCTTGCGCCCTTTTTAGCGTATCTGTCCGCCATCTCATTCCCTCTTACCCCTATATGCGCTGGTACCCATAATAACACCACTTGTTTCCCTGCTCTCTTTAACCTTTGCATTATTAGTGCTATCTCAAAAACTAAATCCTGTCTCGATTCTGACACCAAACTTTTAATACTTGACAGCGCACTACTGGAATCAGACGCTACCACTACCTTAGTTACTACTGTCGCATTTTCTTCAATCCAAATCATGGCCAATAACAAAGCCACCAGCTCTGCTGTGTATACTGCCAAGTTATCACTTGTTCTTTTACAGGTGTTTATTCCCAATTTAGGGATTACTACAGCAACGCCCACTCTCCCATCCTCCATTTTTGATGCATCAGTATAAATCTCTAGATGCTCATAAAACTTCTCCCAGATGTACATCTCTACATTGTTATTATTATAGTTCTTTTTCTTCAAAAGAGTTAAATCCACATGAGGCTCCAATAATTCCCACGGAGGGACAGCAGAACTTGGGACTACAGGACATACCTCTAGATTTCTTAGTCCTGCATTCTCCACCGCCTCCTCTATTACCCAGCCAAAACTGGCCAGTTGCGCTCTTTCCCTCTCCTGAGTTGGTTTTAAACTTCTCTGACAAGGATGATCTCTACTGCTCCCCTGCAAATTGGCCCAATACACTAAGGTCAACTGCAATCTCCTAAACTTCAGAGGCATCTCATTCACCTCCACCTGCAGTGCAGAGACTGGAGTGGATCTTGCAGCCCCACAACATAATCTCAAGGCTTTACATTGTACAACATCTAGCTTCTTTAAATTACTTTTTGCCGCAGAGCCGTATACCACACATCCAAAGTCTAAAGCAGACCTGATTAACGCCACATACACAGTTTTAATACAATTCCGACTAGCTCCCCAGTCCCGTCCTCTAAGACACCTCATTACGTTCATCACCTTTTTGCACTTCTCTATTACCTTATTAATATGGGCTGCCCATGTCAACTTACTATCAAACACTAACCCTAAGTACTTAAACTCATTCACTCGTTCAAGATTCTTCCCATATAAAGTAAGATTAATGTCATCTCCCACTCTTTTCCTGGTAAAAAACATGACTTTTGTTTTACTCACTGAAAATCTGAAACCCCATTTTGTTGACCAGGCTTCAACCATCCCGATAGCTTCTTGCAACTTTTTAACAATATACCGTACATTTTTCCCCCTTTTCCACACTATACCATCGTCCGCAAACAGTGACACTCCAATTGATGACTCAATGTCACAAAAAATTTCATTTATCATAATTGTAAATAATACTGGACTTACAATGCTGCCCTGCGGCGTGCCATTTTCAACCTCAAACTTTGAGCTACACTCTTTCCCTACTCGGACTGATATCTTTCTCCCTGATAAGAAATCTCGAACCCATTTCAACATCTTCCCCCGTACACCCATCTTATGCAATCTTATAATCAGCCCCTCCCTCCACATCATATCATATGCTTTCTCAACGTCAAAAAACACTGAGACAACGCACTCCTTGTTCACCTGCGCCTTCCTAATTTCGTCTTCTAAAAGCAAAGAAGGGTCTACTGTACTCCTACCCTTCCTAAAACCATACTGGTGATTCTTGATCAACGCATTCTTTTCCAGAAAATAGTCTAGCCTATCATTAATCATTCTCTCCATTACCTTCCCAACATGTGATGTTAAAGCTATTGGTCTGTAACTTTCTGCAGCAGAAGGATCTTTACCTGGTTTACAAATAGGAACTACAATTGCCTCTTTCCATTGCTCTGGCAGTCTACTCTCTACCCATACTTTGTTATACAACTTTAACAACACAATCTTACTTCTATCACTCAAGTTTCTCAGCATACAATAGCTTATGTCATCCTCTCCAGGGGTAGTATTGCCACATCTGCTTAATGCCCTGTTCAACTCCCAAATACTGAACTCATCATTAATTGCATTATCACACTCCTCCACATCCTCAAGACTATTCAAATTACATCTAACTGTTTCCCTCCTTCCTCTCCTTTCTTCTTCACTTAAATTTCCGTTACTATGGACTTTCACAAACTGCTGAGCTAAAAGATCAGCCTTGCCTTTATTAGTTAAAATTACACTTCCACCAGATGACATTGCTGGATACCCAAAACTAGCTTTACTTCCTCCCATTCTCCTAATTGTCCCCCATATTTGACCCACTGATGTTTGCCTCCCTAAAGTATCACAATATCGTGCCCAGTATGCTCTTTTAGTTTCTTTAACAACTCTCCTTACTACAGCGAGCTTCCGTTTATAGTCACACAGATTTTGGAAACAATGATTCCTCTTAAACACTTTAAAAGCCTTGTTTCTATCCTTAATAGCATTATTACATTCATCTGACCACCAAGGAACACTCTTCCTTTGAGCCTTTCCTCCTTTCTTCTTGATTGTCTGTTTGGCTGCCTCCAAAATTGCACTACATAGAGAACTATTAAAATCATTCACACCTCCATTAACATTTACTCTTTCCATTTCCCTATCACATATGTAACTAAATCTATCCCACTTAACACCACTAAAACTCCATTTCCCTACCCCCTCTGTGGTAACTTCTTCAACACTGAATCCCAACTCAACCTCTACAGGATAATGGTCACTACCTATAGTAGTCTCCTTATCAACCCTCCACTTACAATTCCCTGCAATAGACTCTGACACTAGAGTAAGATCTAGTGCAGATTCATTCCCATTCTGGAAGTTAATCCGTGTTCCACTCCCATCATTCAGACACACTAAATTCCTAGCATCCAATAATTCCTCAATCACTGCCCCATTCTCATCATTCCGTTCACCCCACAATGTGCTATGTGCATTAAAATCACCACAACATACTACTTTACCCTCTAGGTTATCATCCAGTTCCCGCAACGTATCCATTGTTAGCCTCCTACAGGGATTATAGAAATTCACCAGGGTAACTTTCCCCTCACTAACCCACACCTCTACCACAATAAACTCAAGCTCTGTCCCCTTCCTCACCACCCTATACTGCATTCCATTTTTAATAAAAACAGCACACCCTCCACCATTACCACCTTGTCTATCCCTACGCACACATTCATACCCCCTAATCACAAAATCCAATGATGGCCTGAGCCATGTTTCCTGAACACATATAATATCAGGTCTCCTCTCCTTGTTCTGCACATAACCTTTTAACTCCTGTCCATTAGCCATTAAACTCCTTGCATTCCATTGAATGATTTTCATACTACTCTCTCACTTCCCCCTCCCACAACCATTCTCTTCTCCTCCTCCAACCTTTTGTTCACCTGTTCCCAGGAAACACCTCTCATACCGAGGTACTTTTCCGCTCCTTTCACAATAATCTTAATTTTATCTGTTTTATGCTTTGCCTGATCTGCACAATTTATGACATATGCTAGAAACACCATCAAATTATCCACCGACACCATACTACCCTCACTCACACTCTGCTTCTTCCCTCTAGCATCACTCTGGTCACCACTCACTCCTGGGTCTTGATTTTGAACTTTCCTCACTGCATCTGCGTAAGAGACACCGCTCATAACCTTCACTCTCTGAATCTCCACCGCTTTTTTCCTTACTTCACATCCTCCGTAGGTTACAGCATGTTGCCCTCCACAGTTACTACATTTAAGAGTACTGTTTTCATTACACTCCTCTACTCTGTGCTCCCCACTGCATCTAGGGCACTTCTGCCTCCCCCTACAGACCGCTGCCACATGCCCATACAGTTGGCATTTATAACACCGGAGAGGAGGCGGAACAAACTCTCTCACGGGAAAACTCAAACACCCCACCTTCACTTTTTCAGGGAGTACTGCACCTGTAAACTCCAGTAAAACCGATAAGCTTTGCACACTCTGACCATCCACTCGCCTCATCAACCGTCTAATTCCACTGACACCTCCACCTAAACACTGCCTAAACCTTTCCAGGTCCTCGTCTAAGGGGACACCTGTTATGACCCCACGCACAGCCTTTTTTTCTCCAACTACTCTCCTTTCAGTCACTGCTATCTTGCACACATGTTCCAACTGCAACACTTTCTTTTTCTGCTCTTCCGAAGTACACACAATCAACAAACTCCCATCTCTCAGCACCTTTGCCACTTCTACCTCTCCTATTTTCTTTCTCAACTCCCTTGACAACACAACCAGGCTCACATTTTTTATGTCATTCTCCTGCCGAAACTTAAGAATTACTTTAGGATTCTGCTGCTCCCTAACTATCCTTTTGCGGCCCGAGATCCCCTCATCTGAACTATTCCCATCCAACCCCCGTTTCCTAACCTGGCTACTGCTCAATCCCCCTCCACTCCTACTCCTGTCAAACGCACCCGAACCCCCTAATTCCTGACTAAACTGCATCAAGTCCTCGTCATCGTCCGCCAAGGACGCCATCCCGGCCCAGTCACAGATCGGATTATGCCAACCACCAAGTGATATTTATCCAAACAAGTGTTTTATTAGCTGTATATAACCCGCACGATACGCTCCACTCCCAGCGTCTGCTCCTTCCTGCGCTCCAGTGACTCCTCTCTGCTTCGCTGATCCGCGATGTGGCTACAGCGGGGTCGGGAGCGCGCATTCAGCGACCGTGCGTGCGCATTCACCCTGACTCACTTCCGTATAGTGACCACTGCTGTTCACTACATTTTCGAGATGCATTGTGGGAAAATTCCAGTGCACTACTTTTTCTCTCTGGACATTCGGACACCCCTACAAAATGGCGTGACCACTATATAGTGCACTATATAGTGTATAGTGTGGACATTCGGATACAGCCTACACCTTTTTATTGGTGATTGGGGTCAGGGACTAGAGAGACGGGCCCAAGCCCCGCTGATCCAAGATGGCGTCCTGTTCAAATGAATGGCTTGTGCTCAGTAGCTCATGGGACTTCACGGGGACCAGGAGATTAGCAGAACTCGCCCATATTTGGGCATCGTCTGGTCCTCCCGGTTCTGTGCAGTGGATGAACTCCCAGGATGCTTTGTGCCAAATACGCGTGTGTGGGTCTCATGCACGTGCACAGAGGGGCTCGGCCTCTGACCAATCAGAGCAGCAGCAGAGCGGAGCCAGAGCGGGAAGGAAAGGAGCAGAGTTTGTGGCAGGTCCCCCAGATCCAGGTCCGAGTCCCCCCAGATCCAGGTCCGAGTCCCCCCAGATCCAGGTCCGAGTCCCCCCAGATCCAGGTCCGAGTCCCCCCAGATCCAGGTCCGAGTCCCCCCAGATCCAGGTCCGAGTCCCCCCAGATCCAGGTCCGAGTCCCCCCAGATCCAGGTCCGAGTCCCCCCAGATCCAGGTCCGAGTCCTCACAGATCCAGGTCCGAGTCCTCACAGATCCAGGTCCGAGTCCCCACAGATCCAGGTCCGAGTCCCCACAGATCCAGGTCCGAGTCCCCACAGATCCAGGTCCGAGTCCCCACAGATCCAGGTCCGAGTCCCCACAGATCCAGGTCCGAGTCCTCACAGATCCAGGTCTGAGTCCTCACAGATCCAGGTCCGAGTCCTCACAGATCCAGGTCCGAGTCCCCACAGATCCAGGTCCGAGTCCCCACAGATCCAGGTCCGAGTCCTCACAGATCCAGGTCCGAGTCCCCACAGATCCAGGTCCGAGTCCCCACAGATCCAGGTCCGAGTCCTCACAGATCCAGGTCCGAGTCCCCACAGATCCAGGTCCGAGTCCCCACAGATCCAGGTCCGAGTCCTCACAGATCCAGGTCCGAGTCCCCACAGATCCAGGTCTGAGTCCCCACAGATCCAGGTCCGAGTCCCCACAGATCCAGGTCCGAGTCCTCACAGATCCAGGTCTGAGTCCCCACAGATCCAGGTCCGAGTCCCCACAGATCCAGGTCCGAGTCCCCACAGATCCAGGTCCGAGTCCTCACAGATCCAGGTCCGAGTCCTCACAGATCCAGGTCCGAGTCCCCACAGATCCAGGTCCGAGTCCTCACAGATCCAGGTCCGAGTCCCCACAGATCCAGGTCCGAGTCCCCACAGATCCAGGTCCGAGTCCCCACAGATCCAGGTCCGAGTCCTCACAGATCCAGGTCCGAGTCCTCACAGATCCAGGTCCGAGTCCCCACAGATCCAGGTCCGAGTCCCCACAGATCCAGGTCCGAGTCCCCCAGATCCAGGTCCGAGTCCCACAGATCCAGGTCCGAGTCCCCACAGATCCAGGTCCGAGTCCCCACAGATCCAGGTCCGAGTCCCCACAGATCCAGGTCCGAGTCCCACAGATCCAGGTCCGAGTCCCCACAGATCCAGGTCCGAGTCCCCACAGATCCAGGTCCGAGTCCCCACAGATCCAGGTCTTTCTGATCTCGAGTGAGGATGAAATGTAAATAAAGTTTGAGCGGAATGTTCTGTGTGATGTTGTCTTTACATTATTCATCCTTTAATCACGTTTCAATAGTTTTAATTTGGATACGCGGTCTGTGGGCGGGGCTTATTGCGGAAGTTAGCTTTTGTTTCCGGTGTTAGCTCGTGTGCTAACAACAGTTAGCTCGTGTGCTAAAGCTAAGCAGAGTAAGATGAGTGAGAGGCGCAGTCTGCTGAGAGCTGCGGTGAATGAGCGGCTGGCTGCGGCTGCAGAAGAGATCTTTGTGCTTCTGGAGAGAACTATAGCGGAGTATGAGGAGGAAGTGTGTCGCTCCAAAGAGCAGAACCAGAGGAACCAGCAGCTGCTGGAGGCTCTGCGGCCCAGAGTCCTGCTCCCCGGGGATAAAGGTAATTGTGTAAACCATGGCCCGTTACTCTCGCGTTTTTCTAATCCTCATGTTGACTATCACTAACTATAACCGGGCTCATGATCGTTTTCGGGTCGAGATTGTCCGAATAATCGATAATCAAGTTTAATGTGTTCTCGCTCCTTTTGAAACATCACAGGACATCCCTCGATCCAGAAATGGATTAAGGGGAAGAACATGTTGGATGGATCTCAGACATATTTATCCATAATTGTGTGTCACTGTTTCAGTTCTTGAAACGACAAAAACATATTTGTCCTGTAATTATTCGATATGTATAATGTGTGCAGATGGTAGGAGCCTGTAGCACCACATGGACGTGGACACATTCTACTGTCACCTCTTTCCAAGAAAAATGATTCAAAGTCAGGTTGAGTTGATCAGGAAACAGTTTCCATCCTCGACCCAAAGGATCGTAGAAATGTGTTAATGTTTACTATTTAAAGTTCCATGACCTTCCATCTGACTGAGGCCCCAGACTGAGGCCCCAGACTGAGGCCCCAGACTGAGGTCACAGACTGAGGCCCCAGACTGAGGTCACAGACTGAGGTCACAGACTGAGGTCACAGACTGAGGCCCCAGACTGAGGTCACAGACTGAGGTCACAGACTGAGGCCCCAGACTGAGGTCACAGACTGAGGCCCCAGACTGAGGTCACAGACTGAGGTCACAGCTGAGGCCCCAGACTGAGGTCACAGACTGAGGTCACAGACTGAGGTCACAGACTGAGGTCACAGACTGAGGCCCCAGACTGAGGCCACAGACTGAGGCCCCAGACTGAGGCCCCAGACTGAGGCCCCAGACTGAGGTCACAGACTGAGGTCACAGACTGAGGTCACAGACTCAGGCCACCGACTCAGGCCCCAGACTGAGGCCCCAGACTGAGGTCACAGACTGAGGCCCCAGACTGAGGTCACAGACTCAGGCCCCAGACTGAGGTCCCAGACTCAGGCCCCAGACTGAGGTCCGCAGTGTTGGTCCTCACGGTGGATGAGCTGAATGTTTGATCTGACCTCCTCAATGTTTGATTCTTCTTGTTTCAGTCGTAAAGACCAACTCCAGTTTATCAGACTCAGAGACAAGAGTGAAGCAGGAACCATCAGAACTGGGCCTCAAACAGGAGGAAGAGGAGATCCTCAAACAGGAGGAAGAGGAGAGCCTCAAACAGGAGGAAGAGGAGAGCCTCAAACAGGAGGAAGAGGAGAGCCTCAAACAGGAGGAAGAGGAGAGCCTCAAACAGGAGGAAGAGGAGAGCCTCAAACAGGAGGAGGAGCAGCTCCCACACTTCACTGCCGTGTGTGTGAAAAGTGAAGAAGAACAAAGGGCACAAAGGGAAATCTATTATCTTGACAATGATGAAGACGATGATGAAGACTGGGGACATCCAGGCAGCAGTTCTACTGCACAGATGCAGACAGAGGCTGAGGGAGACCTCTACAACCAAGTCCACACACAGGGACTGTCAGGGACCGGACCCAGAGACCTGCTGTCAGGGACCGGACTGTCAGGGACCGGACCCAGAGACCTGCTGTCAGGGACCGGACCCAGAGACCTGCTGTCAGGGACCGGACTGTCAAGGACCGGACTGTCAGGGACCGGACTGTCAGGGACCGGACCCAGAGACCTGCTGTCAGGGACTGGACCCAGAAACCGGCTGTCAGGGACCGGGCTGTCAGGGACCGGACTGTCAGGGACCGGACTGTCAGGGACCGGACTGTCAGGGACCGGACTGTCAGGGACCGGACTGTCAGGGACCGGACTGTCAGGGACCGGACCTAGAGACCTGCTGTCAGGAACCGGGCCGGGAGCAGAGAGGAAATACGAGTGCCTTGTTTGTAAGAAGAGATTTGTGCATGAAGTCCATCTGCAGGTCCACAGCAGGACTCACACCGGAGAGAAACCTTACAGATGCTGCGTTTGTGCCAGGATGTTTTCAGACTGCTCTAACTTAAAAAAACACATGCGAATCCACACAGGAGAGAAACCTTACAGCTGTTCATTTTGTATGAAAACATTTACACAAAAATCAACACGAGATCTACACGAGAGGGTTCACACCGGAGAGAAGCCGTTCCAGTGTTCGCTCTGTCCCAAAACATTTGCCGTCAAAGGAAACCTCAGAACCCACATGAAAGTCCACACTGCAGCTACTGGCATCGTGTAAACAGACCCATCCAGGACCAGGGGGGCCCGATGAGACTTTAGTGATCTCTGATAAATGTGACATTTGGCACAGACAGAATCACTCAGATTTGTGCAAAGACAGAAGTGTGACACATGTTAAAGTTAAAAATAGACTGTGCAGGAGATGATTATGTACAATAAAAAGTGGCAATAGTGACTTATTCAACAGTCTCCTTCAGCTCCTCCTCAGTTCTGTGCAGTGGACCACAGACTGGACTGGGAGTCCACCTGGACCACAGACTGGACTGGGAGTCCACCTCTGCATGACTCCCTCTGCATGACTCCCTCTGACTCCCTCTGTATGACTCCCTCTGACTCCCTCTGTATGACTCCCTCTGCATGACTCCCTCTGACTCCCTCTGTATGACTCCCTCTGTATGACTCCCTCTGCATGACTCCCTCTGACTCCCTCTGTATGACTCCCTCTGCATGACTCCCTCTGACTCCCTCTGTATGACTCCCTCTGCATGACTCCCTCTGCATGACTCCCTCTGTATGACTCCCTCTGTATGACTCCCTCTGCATGACTCCCTCTGACTCCCTCTGTATGACTCCCTCTGTATGACTCCCTCTGACTCCCTCTGTATGACTCCCTCTGACTCCCTCTGCATGACTCCCTCTGTATGACTCCCTCTGCATGACTCCCTCTGCATGACTCCCTCTGTATGACTCCCTCTGTATGACTCCCTCTGCATGACTCCCTCTGACTCCCTCTGTATGACTCCCTCTGTATGACTCCCTCTGACTCCCTCTGTATGACTCCCTCTGACTCCCTCTGCATGACTCCCTCTGTATGACTCCCTCTGTATGACTCCCTCTGTATGACTCCCTCTGCATGACTCCCTCTGACTCCCTCTGTATGACTCCCTCTGACTCCCTCTGCATGACTCCCTCTGCATGACTCCCTCTGTATGACTCCCTCTGCATGACTCCCTCTGCATGACTCCCTCTGCATGACTCCCTCTGACTCCCTCTGTATGACTCCCTCTGCATGACTCCCTCTGACTCCCTCTGCATGACTCCCTCTGTATGACTCCCTCTGACTCCCTCTGTATGACTCCCTCTGCATGACTCCCTCTGCATGACTCCCTCTGTATGACTCCCTCTGACTCCCTCTGCATGACTCCCTCTGTATGACTCCCTCTGACTCCCTCTGTATGACTCCCTCTGTATGACTCCCTCTGCATGACTCCCTCTGTATGACTCCCTCTGTATGACTCCCTCTGCATGACTCCCTCTGTATGACTCCCTCTGCATGACTCCCTCTACATGACTCCCTCTGTATGACTCCCTCTGCATGACTCCCTCTGTATGACTCCCTCTGTATGACTCCCTCTGTATGACTCCCTCTGTATGACTCCCTCTGTATGACTCCCTCTGTATGACTCCCTCTGTATGACTCCCTCTGTATGACTCCCTCTGACTCCCTCTGCATGACTCCCTCTGACTCCCTCTGTATGACTCCCTCTGTATGACTCCCTCTGACTCCCTCTGCATGACTCCCTCTGACTCCCTCTGCATGACTCCCTCTGTATGACTCCCTCTGACTCCCTCTGCATGACTCCCTCTGCATGACTCCCTCTGTATGACTCCCTCTGCATGACTCCCTCTGTATGACTCCCTCTGTATGACTCCCTCTGACTCCCTCTGCATGACTCCCTCTGCATGACTCCCTCTGTATGACTCCCTCTGACTCCCTCTGCATGACTCCCTCTGCATGACTCCCTCTGCATGACTCCCTCTGTATGACTCCCTCTGCATGACTCCCTCTGTATGACTCCCTCTGTATGACTCCCTCTGTATGACTCCCTCTGCATGACTCCCTCTGTATGACTCCCTCTGTATGACTCCCTCTGCATGACTCCCTCTGCATGACTCCCTCTGCATGACTCCCTCTGTATGACTCCCTCTGTATGACTCCCTCTGTATGACTCCCTCTGCATGACTCCCTCTGACTCCCTCTGCATGACTCCCTCTGACTCCCTCTGTATGACTCCCTCTGACTCCCTCTGCATTAATGCTCTACCACCTGAGCCCTTGTCTATGGTTTTATATCACACTGAGGATTTTTCCGCTAAATAAACAGATTTAAGACAAACGTGTGAGTGACGTCATCACAGACGAACATAGTTTTTATGAACGACCGTGTCTGTCCGTTAGAAGGCGTCAGTGAGTGTTTTCATAGAACACGAACAATTTTGTTCAGGTTATAACAATATGGTGTAAATGTCTTTCGTCCCCACTGTACGTTGTTGACGTTGGATCTTCGTTTTTTGTGATTTAGAAGACTGCACGATGTACATCCTGTCTGTATGCTCTAAAATAGAGAGATGTGAAAAAAATAAAAAGTTTAGGAGGCGGGGCTTACAGCGGAAGCCAGATGCAGTGTTAGCTCCTGTGCTACAGCTAACATTAGCTCCTGGCTAAAGCTAACAACAACATGTGGACGAGGCGCAGTCTGCTGAGAGCTGCGGTGAATGAGCGGCTGGCTGCGGCTGCAGAAGAGATCTTTGTGCTGCTGGAGAGAACTATAGCGGAGTATGAGGAGGAAGTGTGTCGCTCCAAAGAGCAGAACCAGAGGAACCAGCAGAACCAGAGGAACCAGCAGAACCAGAAGAACCAGCAGAACCAGAGGAACCAGCAGAACCAGAGGAACCAGCAGAACCAGAGGAACCAGCAGAACCAGAAGAACCAGCAGAACCAGAGGAACCAGCAGAACCAGAGGAACCAGCAGAACCAGAGGAACCAGAGGAACCAGAGGAACCAGCAGAACCAGCAGAACCAGAGGAACCAGCAGAACCAGAGGAACCAGCAGAACCAGAGGAACCAGCAGAACCAGAAGAACCAGCAGAACCAGAGGAACCAGCAGAACCAGAGGAACCAGCAGAACCAGAAGAACCAGCAGAACCAGAGGAACCAGCAGAACCACAGGAACCAGCAGAACCAGAGGAACCAGCAGAACCAGAGGAACCATCAGCTGGAAGCGGGTCAGTGTGAATGTGTCTTGTATTGACTCGCTTCTTTTGGGGCCAGATGTGACTCGACACAGACACAGAGTAAACACAGAGTAAACACAGAGTAAACACAGAGTAAACACAGAGTAAACACAGTGTGAACACAGTGTAAACACAGAGTAAACACAGTGTAAACACAGAGTAAACACAGTAAACACAGAGTAAACACAGAGTAAACACAGAGTAAACACAGAGTAAACACAGAGTAAACACAGTGTAAATACACTGTAAACACAGAGTAAACACAGAGTAAACACAGAGTAAACACAGTGTAAACACAGTGTAAACACAGAGTAAACACAGTGTAAACACAGAGTAAACACAGTAAACACAGAGTAAACACAGAGTAAACACAGTGTGAACACAGTGTAAACACAGTGTAAACACAGTGTAAACACAGTGTAAACACAGAGTAAACACAGAGTAAACACACTGTAAACACAGAGTAAACACAGTGTAAACACAGTGTAAACACAGAGTAAACACAGTGTAAACACAGTGTAAACACAGTGTAAACACAGAGTAAACACAGTAAACACAGAGTAAACACAGAGTAAACACAGAGTAAACACAGTGTAAACACAGAGTAAACACAGTGTAAACACAGAGTAAACACAGAGTAAACACAGAGTAAACACAGAGTAAACACAGAGTAAACACAGAGTAAACACAGTGTAAACACAGTGTAAACACAGAGTAAACACAGTGTAAACACAGTGTAAACACAGAGTAAACACAGTGTAAACACAGTGTAAACACAGAGTAAACACAGAGTAAACACAGTGTAAACACAGTGTAAACACAGTGTAAACACAGTGTAAACACAGAGTAAACACAGTGTAAACACAGTGTAAACACAGAGTAAACACAGTGTAAACACAGTGTAAACACAGAGTAAACACAGTAAACACAGAGTAAACACAGAGTAAACACAGTGTAAACACAGAGTAAACACAGTGTAAACACAGAGTAAACACAGTGTAAACACAGAGTAAACACAGTGTAAACACAGAGTAAACACAGTAAACACAGAGTAAACACAGAGTAAACACAGAGTAAACACAGAGTAAACACAGTGTAAACACAGAGTAAACACAGAGTAAACACAGTGTAAATACAGAGTAAACACAGAGTAAACACAGAGTAAACACAGAGTAAACACAGAGTAAACACAGAGTAAACACAGTGTAAACACAGAGTAAACACAGTGTAAACACAGTGTAAACACAGAGTAAACACAGTGTAAACACAGTGTAAACACAGTGTAAACACAGAGTAAACACAGTAAACACAGAGTAAACACAGAGTAAACACAGAGTAAACACAGAGTAAACACAGTGTAAACACAGAGTAAACACAGAGTAAACACAGAGTAAACACAGAGTAAACACAGAGTAAACACAGAGTAAACACAGAGTGAACACAGAGTGAACACAGTGTGAACACAGTGTGAACACAGTGTAAACACAGAGTAAACACAGAGTAAACACAGTAAACACAGAGTAAACACAGAGTAAACACAGAGTAAACACAGAGTAAACACAGAGTAAACACAGAGTAAACACAGTGTGAATACAGAGTAAACACAGAGTAAACACAGAGTAAACACAGAGTAAACACAGAGTGAACACAGTGTAAACACAGTGTAAACACAGTGTAAACACAGAGTAAACACAGAGTAAACACAGAGTAAACACACTGTAAACACAGAGTAAACACAGAGTAAACACAGAGTAAACACAGTGTAAACACAGAGTAAACACAGAGTAAACACACTGTAAACACAGAGTAAACACAGTGTAAACACAGTGTAAACACAGAGTAAACACAGAGTAAACACACTGTAAACACAGAGTAAACACACTGTAAACACAGTGTAAACACAGAGTAAACACAGTAAACACAGAGTAAACACAGAGTAAACACAGTGTAAACACAGAGTAAACACAGTGTAAACACAGAGTAAACACAGTGTAAACACAGAGTAAACACAGAGTAAACACAGAGTAAACACAGTGTAAACACAGTGTAAACACAGTGTAAACACAGAGTAAACACAGTGTAAACACAGTGTAAACACAGTGTAAACACAGAGTAAACACAGTGTGAACACAGAGTAAACACAGAGTAAACACAGAGTAAACACAGAGTAAACACAGTGTAAACACAGAGTAAACACAGTGTAAACACAGAGTAAACACAGTGTAAACACAGTAAACACAGAGTAAACACAGAGTAAACACAGAGTAAACACAGAGTAAACGCAGTGTAAACGCAGTGTAAACGCAGAGTAAACGCAGAGTAAACGCAGTGTAAACGCAGTGTAAACACAGTGTAAACACAGAGTAAACACAGAGTAAACACAGTGTAAACACAGAGTAAACAGAGTAAACACAGAGTAAACACAGAGTAAACAGAGTAAACGCAGAGTAAACGCAGAGTAAACGCAGAGTAAACGCAGAGTAAACGCAGTGTAAACGCAGAGTAAACGCAGAGTAAACGCAGTGTAAACGCAGAGTAAACGCAGAGTAAACGCAGAGTAAACGCAGTGTAAACGCAGTGTAAACGCAGTGTAAACGCAGAGTAAACGCAGAGTAAACACAGAGTAAACACAGAGTAAACACAGAGTAAACACAGAGTAAACACAGTGTAAACACAGTGTAAACACAGTGTAAACACAGAGTAAACACAGAGTAAACACAGAGTAAACACAGAGTAAACACAGAGTAAACACAGAGTAAACACAGAGTAAACAGAGTAAACACAGAGTAAACACAGAGTAAACAGAGTAAACACAGTAAACACAGAGTAAACACAGTGTAAACACAGAGTAAACACAGTGTAAACACAGTAAACGCAGAGTAAACGCAGAGTAAACGCAGAGTAAACACAGTGTAAACACAGAGTAAACGCAGTGTAAACGCAGTGTAAACACAGTGTAAACACAGTGTAAACACAGAGTAAACACAGAGTAAACACAGAGTAAACACAGTAAACACAGTAAACACAGAGTAAACAGAGTAAACACAGAGTAAACGCAGAGTAAACGCAGAGTAAACGCAGAGTAAACGCAGTGTAAACGCAGAGTAAACGCAGTGTAAACGCAGAGTAAACGCAGTGTAAACGCAGAGTAAACGCAGAGTAAACGCAGAGTAAACGCAGTGTAAACGCAGAGTAAGCGCAGAGTAAGCGCAGAGTAAGCGCAGAGTAAACGCAGAGTAAACGCAGAGTAAACGCAGAGTAAACGCAGTGTAAACGCAGTGTAAACGCAGTGTAAACACAGAGTAAACACAGAGTAAACACAGAGTAAACACAGAGTAAACACAGTAAACACAGAGTAAACACAGTGTAAACACAGAGTAAACACAGTGTAAACACAGTAAACGCAGAGTAAACGCAGTGTAAACGCAGAGTAAACACAGTGTAAACACAGAGTAAACGCAGTGTAAACGCAGTGTAAACACAGTGTAAACACAGAGTAAACACAGAGTAAACACAGAGTAAACACAGTAAACACAGTAAACACAGAGTAAACAGAGTAAACGCAGAGTAAACGCAGAGTAAACGCAGAGTAAACGCAGAGTAAACGCAGAGTAAACGCAGTGTAATCGCAGAGTAAACGCAGTGTAAACGCAGAGTAAACGCAGTGTAAACGCAGAGTAAACGCAGAGTAAACGCAGAGTAAACGCAGTGTAAACGCAGAGTAAGCGCAGAGTAAGCGCAGAGTAAGCGCAGAGTAAACGCAGAGTAAACGCAGAGTAAACGCAGAGTAAACGCAGAGTAAACGCAGTGTAAACGCAGTGTAAACGCAGTGTAAACGCAGAGTAAACACAGAGTAAACACAGAGTAAACACAGAGTAAACACAGAGTAAACACAGAGTAAACACAGTGTAAACACACTGTAAACACAGAGTAAACACAGAGTAAACACAGAGTAAACACAGAGTAAACACAGAGTAAACACAGAGTAAACACAGTAAACACAGAGTAAACACACTGTAAACACACTGTAAACACAGAGTAAACACAGAGTAAACACAGTGTAAACACAGTGTAAACACAGAGTAAACACAGTGTAAACACAGAGTAAACACAGAGTAAACACAGTGTAAACACAGAGTAAACACAGAGTAAACACAGAGTAAACACAGAGTAAACGCAGAGTAAACGCAGAGTAAACGCAGAGTAAACACAGAGTAAACACAGAGTAAACACAGAGTAAACACAGAGTAAACACAGAGTAAACACAGTGTAAACACAGTGTAAACACAGTGTAAACACAGAGTAAACACAGTGTAAACACAGTGTAAACACAGTGTAAACACAGAGTAAACACAGAGTAAACACAGAGTAAACACAGTGTAAACACAGAGTAAACACAGAGTAAACACACTGTAAACACAGAGTAAACACAGAGTAAACACAGAGTAAACACAGAGTAAACACACTGTAAACACAGTGTAAACACACTGTAAACACAGAGTAAACACAGAGTAAACACAGAGTAAACACAGTGTAAACACAGAGTAAACACAGAGTAAACACAGAGTAAACACACCCTGTTCTTACCCTGTTCTCACTAGGGGTGGGAACCTAAGGGTACCTCACGATACGATACGATACACGATACAAAGCTCACGATAACGATATCACGATTATTGATATATTGGTCAGAAATATACAATATGCCAATTTATGGCATAAATAAAAGAAAAAATACTCTATTTCATGATAAATGGAATGGAGATGCGTAATGTAGCCATATATTAAGTATTGATACCAATTCAAAAAAAAGGAAAAAAAAAAAAAGATTTTTTTGTTGTTGTTGTGAAAATTGATATCGATACTTGGCAAATGCATATCGATAATCAAATCGCGGGAGAAAGTATCTCGATATATCGAAAAATCCCTAGTGTGTGTCTCTGTCTCTGTGTGTGTGTGTGTCTGTGTGTCTCTGTGTGTGTGTGTCTCTTTGTGTGTGTGTGTGTGTGTGTGTGTGTGTGTCTGTGTGTGTGTGTGTGTGTGTCTGTGTGTCTCTGTGTGTGTGTGTGTCTGTGTGTGTGTGTCTCTGTGTGTGTGTGTGTCTGTGTGTGTGTGTCTCTGTGTGTGTGTGTGTCTGTGTGTGTGTGTCTCTGTGTGTGTGTGTGTCTGTGTGTCTCTGTGTGTGTGTGTGTCTCTGTGTGTGTGTGTGTCTGTGTGTGTGTGTCCGTGTGTGTTTCTGTGTGTGTGTGTGTGTGCACTTGTTTTCAACTCCTGGTGGGGTCCATAACCTGAGATTCCACTGACGTCATGGGGACTGGTTTTACGTAGTGGGGCCCGAACACCGGACCCCACTGGTCCAAGCTTAATAATCAATGGGTAATGCTTTTCTAACAGTCCTTATGCAGTCTCTGTAAAAATATGGAAAGGACCCCTGGAGGTTTACTTTCCTGAAAAAAGTGTGTTATGTGTCGGAACCCTGGTGGTGGGTTGCGGAATATCAAGGAGGGGCACACTGGGGCAATTTCAGTCCAGCAGGCTGGAGCCAATCATGGAGCAGCACAACAGAGGCTGGAGCCAATCATGGAGCAGCACAACAGAGGCTGGAGCCAATCATGGAGCAGCACAACAGAGGCTGGAGCCAATCATGGAGCAGCACAACAGAGGCTGGAGCCAATCATGGAGCAGCACAACAGAGGCTGGAGCCAATCATGGAGCAGCACAACAGAGGCTGGAGCCAATCATGGAGCAGCACAACAGAGGCTGGAGCCAATCATGGAGCAGCACAACAGAGGCTGGAGCCAATCATGGAGCAGCACAACAGAGGCTGGAGCCAATCATGGAGCAGCACAACAGAGGCTGCAGCCAATCACAGAACAGCACACTGAAGCGCACGCTTACAAACCACTGGTAAGTGCTGACTACTCGTCATGACTTCAAATTGTTATATAGAATTATTACTAATTATTTGTTGTTTGTGCAGCTTAGTCAAGAGTCCCTAATTGATGAAGTCGACTCAGATTCTGACGATTTAACTGTCAAGAAGAAACCTGTAAAAAAGTATGGAAAAAGAAAAATCAAAAACACTTTTCTTCAAGACTCGGAAAGTGACGAACCAAAGGCAAATAAGATTGTTATCATGCAACTGCAAAAGAAGAAAAATGGGGGCAGAGTTTACAGCAAGAGACACTTCTGCCTCTACTGTTCAATGTCCTGCCACAAAATGTCCCGTCATTTGACTAGAAAACATGGAAATGAAAGTGACGTAGCCAGAGCATTGGCTCTACCTGTGAAATCTAAAGCACGTAAACTTCACTTTGATTTGATCAGGAATAGTGGAAACCGTGAGCACAATGTTGAGGTTTTAAAGGCCGGCATTGGAACTTTAGTCCCAGCTAAACAGCCAAATTCCCCAGTTAAATCCAGTGAGTTTTTGCACTGTATAGACTGTGGGGCATTGCTTAAGCGAAAGTGGCTGTGGAGGCATGTGGCCAGGTGCCGGCTTTCACAGAAAGATGCCCAGGCTAAACCAGGCTAAACCAGGCTAAACCAGGTAGAAGTAGGGTCCAGTCCCTCTGCTCCCTAGCCCAGCCTGTACCGGAGGGCATCAGCAAAAAGCTGTGGTCTTTAATTTGGGCAATGCATCAGGATGAGGTCACGGGTGTTGTCAAAGCAGAAAAGGGGATTCTGAGACTCGGAGAGCACCTGTACTTAAAACACGGGCATGATAAGACTAAGCATGATTACATTAGGCAGAAAATGAGAGAAGTCGGTAGGTTAATTAACGAAGCAAAAACCGCAGGGAAAGTGAAAACAATGAAGGATTTCTTTATTCCTTCCAACTTTAACCATGTGATTGATGCAGTCAGGTCTGTGGCTGGATATGATGAGGAAACAAATCAATACAAGACTCCATCTTTGGCCCTCAAACTCGGCCATAGCCTCAGAAAGCAGATATTCTTGAATGTGACTCAAAAATGGAGCATTGTGTTGATGAACTATTTATTAAAAACCTCCAACGAAGCCGGCTGCTTTTTGAGAAGAGGTGGGACGTCTGTGTTTCTTCTGCTGCCCTACAGACCCTCCGGCAAGCCAAGTGGAACACTCCGGACCTGCTCCCTCTGACTGAGGACGTTAGAGCCATGCATGCACATATTGAGGTATGTCGACCTGAATATGTGCAAACCCTAATAAGTGAGCCAACGTCTAAGCATTGGTCTAAACTGGCAGTTTTGACTCTTTGTGAGGTCATTATTTTCAATCGAAGAAGGGAAGGTGAGGTTTCAAAGATGCCACTGACAGCGTTTACCTTAAGAAGTAAGACTGGGATCCATTCTGACATTGCTCTGGGACTGTCCCAACTTGAGAAAAAGCTGTGTCAGCATTTTCAACGCATTGAAATTAAAGGGAAAAGAAGTGGGAAAGTGGTGGTTCTTTTGACTCCTGAAATGATTGCTTGGATGGAGGTGCTGGTGGAGAACAGAAGGGCCTGTTCCATCTCTGACCATAACCCATACTTCTTTTCCCGCCCGGGCGCAGACACCCACATCAGGGGATCAGACTCCCTACGCCAGGTAGCCAAAGAATGTGGTGCGGTGCATCCAGAGATGCTATCCTCAACCAAACTTAGAAAGCACATAGCTACTATGTCTACAGTTCTCAATATGAAAGAGAATGAAATGGACATACTTGCCAACTTCCTCGGCCATGACATTCGCATCCACAGGCAATATTACAGACTACCAGAGGGGACACTGGAGCTGGCCAAAATCAGCAAAGTGTTGATGGCCATGGAGCAGGGAAGAGTGACGGAATTCAAAGGAAAGAGCCTCGACCAGATACAAATTGAGCCTGAAGGTAATTCTTGATATTATTAAAATATGTATGATTTTTTTCCCCTAAAGGCCACTTGTATTTTTATTTTCTGTGCGACAGGGAGAGCAGTAGAGATCCTCTCACAAACGGACGGGCTAAAAGAAACTTCAAGCGGAGAACCTTCAACCATTCATCCAGATGCACCCCATGGTAGTGGCAGTGCCCCTTCTGGTAAGTGTACCAGGTGGGGGATTACAGCCAGGCTGCTTGGTCCTAACCCTGGGAGTGTATATTGCTAATATATTTTTATTTCTCTCCCTAGAACGTTAGAGAAAGCCATGGTCTGCATCTGAGGTGAAGGCTGTGGAGAAGACCATGACACCTTTCATACAGACTGGAAAAGTCCCTGGGAAGTCTCACTGCCTGGCCTGGCCTGGCCTGGCCTGCATTAATGCCTCACCAGATGACCTTAGACATCGGACATGGAGTGGCATTAAATTCTATGTCAAAAATAGAATCACTGCAATTCAAAAAAAAATGTTAAAATAAAATTCCTTTAAAAGAGTTGTTTGGTTTCTATTGACTGTTTTGTATTACTTAAAGTAGTCCCAGTAAAAAAAGATTATGTCTATGGGTCCCATTCTGAACGGCCCTGTCAAAGGGACCCACCAGGTAACAAAAACGTGTATGTGTGTGTGTGTGTCCGTGTGTGTTTCTGTGTGTGTCCGTGTGTGTTTCTGTGTGTCTCTATTCTTCATGTGTGATGGTTACATGTTTTATGTTGTGTGTGTTGCTATAGAAGTGTGTGTCTTCTCCTTTGGACAAATGTAGAGCGTATCGATCTGGAGTTCTTATGTTTTAATGATTGTATTAAAATATGACCTTCTCTTTTTAGGGGTTGAAATCCACTGGTTCAGATCGATTCAGGAAACTCCAGAGACTCTACGCGTGAGCGACGAACCCTCAGAACTGGGCCTGAAACAGGAGGAAGAGGAGGCAGAGGAGAGGCTGAAACAGGAGGAAGAGAAGCTCCCAGACTTCACTGCTGTGTGTGTGAAGAGTGAAGAGCAGTCCTCACTGATTGAAGAAGACAGAGAGGAAGCACAGGTCCTCTGTGGAGGAGCAGACATCAGCTCACAGACACATTTACACTCAGAGACAGAAGAACAGAGACACCACTCTTACACTGACCATGATGAAGACCATGATGAAGACCATGATGAAGACTATGATGAAGACTGGGGACATCCAGGCAGCAGTTCTACTGCACAGATGCAGACAGAGGCTGAGGGAGACCTCTACAACCAAGTCCACACACAGGGACTGTCAGGGACCGGACCCAGAGACCTGCTGTCAGGGACCGGACTGTCAGGGACCGGACTGTCAGGGACCGGACTGTCAGGGACCGGACTGTCAGGGACCGGACTGTCAGGGACCGGACTGTCAGGGACCGGACTGTCAGGGACCGGACTGTCAGGGACCGGACCCAGAGACCTGCTGTCAGGGACCGGACCCAGAAACCGGCTGTCAGGGACCGGACTGTCAGGGACCGGACTGTCAGGGGCCGGACTGTCAGGGACCGGACTGTCAGGGACCGGACTGTCAGGGACCGGACCCAGAGACAGAGGAGCAGAGAAATCTCACTCTTGCTCCGTTTGTAAGAAAACATTCACCTTTAGGAAACAACTCACTTCACACACAAGAACTCACGCAGGAGAGAGACCTTACAGCTGTTCCACCTGTAAAAAAACATTTCCTCGTAAAGATCATTTAGATCGCCATGAAAGAGTTCACTCAGGAGAGAAACCTTACAGCTGTTCGTTCTGTGAGAAAACATTTTCCCAGAAAGGGGATTTAGATCGACACGAACGACTTCATACAGGAGAGAAACCTTACAGCTGCTCAGTGTGTGCAAAAACATTTGCTGTCAGGTCAAACCTAAACGTCCACATGAAGTGTCACAGACTGTAGCTTCTCACAGGAGGAACCAGGAACAAGAGGAACCAGGAACAAGAGGAACCAGGAACAAGAGGAACCAGGAACAAGAGGTACCATGAACAAGAGGAACTGTCACTCCCGTATTCGTCCCGGAAACCGGATTCGTCCGGAAGTTCAGTTTGATCCAATGATCAAACGCAGCAGTAGATTACGTCACAGAATCTGGACGGAAGCAGAAGTAAATATAAAAAAACTACCTATTCATGCCTAAACTTAACCAGACATTCCCATAAAATAACCCCAACCCAGCCTTAACCCTAAACTTAACCATCTTACTCAGACCACCTTAACCCTAACCTTAACTATCTTACTCAGACCACCTTAACCCTAACCTTAACCATCTTACTCAGACCACCTTAACCTTAACCATCTAACTCAGACCACCTTAACCCTAACCTTAACCATCTAACTCAGACCACCTTAACCCTAACCTTAACCATCTTACTCAGACCACCTTAACCATCTTACTCAGACCACCTTAACCCTAACCTTAACCATCTTACTCAGACCACCTTAACCCTAACCTTAACCATCTTACTCAGACCACCTTAACCATCTTACTCAGACCACCTTAACCTTAACCTTAACCATCTTACTCAGACCACCTTAACCCTAACCTTAACCATCTTACTCAGACCACCTTAACCCTAACCTTAACCATCTTACTCAGACCACCTTAACCCTAACCTTAACCATCTTACTCAGACCACCTTAACCCTAACCTTAACCATCTTACTCAGACCACCTTAACCCTAACCTTAACCATCTTACTCAGACCCACCTTAACCCTAACCTTAACCATCTTACTCAGACCACCTTAACCCTAACCTTAACCATCTTACTCAGACCACCTTAACCCTAAACTTAACCATCTTACTCAGACCCACCTTAACCCTAACCTTAACCATCTTACTCAGACCACCTTAACCCTAACCTTAACCATCTTACTCAGACCACCTTAACCCTAACCTTAACCATCTTACTCAGACCACCTTAACCCTAACCTTAACCATCTTACTCAGACCCACCTTAACCCTAACCTTAACCATCTTACTCAGACCACCTTAACCCTAACCTTAACCATCTTACTCAGACCACCTTAACCTTAACCATCTTACTCAGACCACCTTAACCCTAACCTTAACCATCTTACTCAGACCCACCTTAACCCTAACCTTAACCATCTTACTCAGACCACCTTAACCCTAACCTTAACCATCTTACTCAGACCACCTTAACCCTAACCTTAACCATCTTACTCAGACCACCTTAACCCTAACCTTAACCATCTTACTCAGACCACCTTAACCCTAACCTTAACCATCTTACTCAGACCACCTTAACCCTAACCTTAACCATCTTACTCAGACCACCTTAACCCTAACCTTAACCATCTTACTCAGACCACCTTAACCCTAACCTTAACCATCTTACTCAGACCACCTTAACCCTAACCTTAACCATCTTACTCAGACCACCTTAACCCTAACCTTAACCATCTTACTCAGACCACCTTAACCCTAACCTTAACCATCTTACTCAGACCACCTTAACCCTAACCTTAACCATCTTACTCAGACCACCTTAACCCTAACCTTAACCATCTTACTCAGACCACCTTAACCCTAACCTTAACCATCTTACTCAGACCACCTTAACCTTAACCATCTTACTCAGACCACCTTAACCCTAACCTTAACCATCTTACTCAGACCACCTTAACCATCTTACTCAGACCACCTTAACCCTAACCTTAACCATCTTACTCAGACCACCTTAACCTTAACCTTAACCATCTTACTCAGACCATCTTAACCATCTTACTCAGACCACCTTAACCCTAACCTTAACCATCTTACTCAGACCACCTTAACCCTAACCTTAACCATCTTACTCAGACCACCTTAACCCTAACCTTAACCATCTTACTCAGACCACCTTAACCCTAACCTTAACCATCTTACTCAGACCACCTTAACCCTAACCTTAACCATCTTACTCAGACCCACCTTAACCCTAACCTTAACCATCTTACTCAGACCACCTTAACCCTAAACTTAACCATCTTACTCAGACCACCTTAACCCTAACCTTAACCATCTTACTCAGACCACCTTAACCCTAACCTTAACCATCTTACTCAGACCACCTTAACACTAACCTTAACCATCTTACTCAGACCACCTTAACCCTAACCTTAACCATCTTACTCAGACCACCTTAACCCTAACCTTAACCATCTTACTCAGACCACCTTAACCCTAACCTTAACCATCTTACTCAGACCACCTTAACCATCTTACTCAGACCACCTTAACCCTAACCTTAACCATCTTACTCAGACCACCTTAACCCTAACCTTAACCATCTTACTCAGACGCCTAAACTTAACCAGTCTCCACCAGGACTTTACACTTTTTGACATGCGCAAACTGAACTTCCGGACGAATCCGGTTTCTGGGACGAATACGGGAGTGACAGGAACCAGGAACAAGAGGAACCATGAACAAGAGGAACCATGAACAAGAGGAACCATGAACAAGAGGAACCATGAACAAGAGGAACCAGGAACAAGAGGAACCAGGAACAAGAGGAACCATGAACAAGAGGAACCATGAACAAGAGGAACCATGAACAAGAGGAACCATGAACAAGAGGAACCATGAACAAGAGGAACCATGAACAAGAGGAACCATGAACAAGAGGAACCATGAACAAGAGGAACCAGGAACAAGAGGGAACAGTTTAAGTAAAGTCTACACCTTTTTATTGGTGATTGGGGTCAGGGACTAGAGAGACGGGCCCAAGCCCCGCTGATCCAAGATGGCGTCCTGTTCAAATGAATGGCTTGTGCTCAGTAGCTCATGGGACTTCACGGGGACCAGGAGATTAGCAGAACTCGCCCATATTTGGGCATCGTCTGGTCCTCCCGGTTCTGTGCAGTGGATGAACTTCCAGGATGCTTTGTGCCAAATACTCGTGTGTGGGTCTCATGCAAGTGCACAGAGGGGCCCGGCCTCTGACCAATCAGAGCGGAGCCAGAGCGGAGCCAGAGCGGAGCCAGAGCGGAGCCAGAGCGGAGCCAGAGAGGAGCCAGAGCGGAGCCAGAGCGGAGCCAGAGAGGAGCCAGAGCGGAGCCAGAGCGGAGCCAGAGAGGAGCCAGAGCGGAGCCAGAGCGGAGCCAGAGAGGAGCCAGAGCGGAGCCAGAGCGGGAAGGAAAGGAGCAGAGTCCCCACAGATCCAGGTCCGAGTCCTCACAGATCCAGGCCCGAGTCCCCACAGATCCAGGCCCGAGTCCCCACAGATCCAGGCCCGAGTCCCCACAGATCCAGGCCCGAGTCCCCACAGATCCAGGTCCGAGTCCCCACAGATCCAGGTCCGAGTCCTCCCAGATCCAGGTCCGAGTCCCCCCAGATCCAGGCCCGAGTCCCCCCAGATCCAGGTCCGAGTCTTCACAGATCCAGGTCCGAGTCCCCCCAGATCCAGGTCCGAGTCCCCCCAGATCCAGGCCCGAGTCCTCACAGATCCAGGCCCGAGTCCCCCCAGATCCAGGCCCGAGTCCTCACAGATCCAGGTCCGAGTCCTCACAGATCCAGGTCCGAGTCCTCACAGATCCAGGCCCGAGTCCTCACAGATCCAGGCCCGAGTCCCCCCAGATCCAGGCCCGAGTCCTCACAGATCCAGGTCCGAGTCCTGACAGATCCAGGTCCGAGTCCTCACAGATCCAGGTCCGAGTCCTCACAGATCCAGGCCCGAGTCCTCACAGATCCAGGTCCGAGTCCTGACAGATCCAGGTCCGAGTCCTCACAGATCCAGGTCCGAGTCCTCACAGATCCAGGTCCGAGTCCTCACAGATCCAGGCCCGAGTCCTCACAGATCCAGGCCCGAGTCCCCCCAGATCCAGGCCCGAGTCCTCACAGATCCAGGTCCGAGTCCTCACAGATCCAGGTCCGAGTCCTCACAGATCCAGGTCCGAGTCCTCACAGATCCAGGTCCGAGTCCTCACAGATCCAGGTCCGAGTCCTCACAGATCCAGGTCCGAGTCCTCACAGATCCAGGCCCGAGTCCTCACAGATCCAGGCCCGAGTCCCCCAGATCCAGGCCCGAGTCCTCACAGATCCAGGTCCGAGTCCTCACAGATCCAGGTCCGAGTCCTCACAGATCCAGGCCCGAGTCCTCACAGATCCAGGCCCGAGTCCCCCCAGATCCAGGCCCGAGTCCTCACAGATCCAGGTCCGAGTCCCCACAGATCCAGGTCCGAGTCCTCACAGATCCAGGTCCGAGTCCCCACAGATCCAGGTCTTTCTGATCTCGAGTGAGGATGAAATGTAAATAAAGTTTGAGCGGAATGTTCTGTGTGATGTTGTCTTTACATTATTCATCCTTTAATCACGTTTCAATACGTTTTAATTTGGATACGCGGTCTGTGGGCGGGGCTTATTGCGGAAGTTAGCTTTTGTTTCCGGTGTTAGCTCGTGTGCTAACAACAGTTAGCTCGTGTGCTAAAGCTAAGCAGAGTAAGATGAGTGAGAGGCGCAGTCTGCTGAGAGCTGCGGTGAATGAGCGGCTGGCTGCGGCTGCAGAAGAGATCTTTGTGCTGCTGGAGAGAACTATAGCGGAGTATGAGGAGGAAGTGTGTCGCTCCAAAGAGCAGAACCAGAGGAACCAGCAGCTGCTGGAGGCTCTGCGGCCCAGAGTCCTGCTCCACAGAACTGAAGGTGAGCTGTGATGGGTATGGGGTATGGGCCTAATGCTTTCACTGGTGAATGTAAATGGTGGCGGTGCGTGCGTAAACTCAAACACTTTAAAATGATTTATCACGTGCCATTGAGACCAATATTGTTTTTGCTCAAGAGACGTCGAAAAAAGATTCAATTTTTTATTTATTTATTTCTTTTTTCTTCTGCTCTTTGAGCCTCAGTTTGTGAGAACCAAGGACTGCGTGTCTGAGGTCCTGAAATGCAGCATCCCCATGTTTAGTTCTGACTCTGGGCACCAGTAAGAGTCCAGTCCCTGTGCTCCTCAGAGTCCCAGCAGGAGTCCAGTCCCTGTGCTCCTCAGAGTCCCAGCAGGAGTCCAGTCCCTGTGCTCCTCAGAGTCCGGGCTGGTTCTTATGGGACCAACATGTCGCCTATGTACCTTGGTGCGAGGCCATGGAGAGACTTGAACACGATCAGCGCTACTTTAAAGTCTATTCTCTGAGCCACAGGAAGCCAGTGCAGAGACCTGAGGACTGGACTAATGTGGTCGTACTTCCTGGTTCTAGTCAGGACTAATGTGGTCGTACTTCCTGGTTCTAGTCAGGACTAATATGGTCGTACTTCCTGGTTCTAGTCAGGACTAATGTGGTCGTACTTCCTGGTTCTAGTCAGGACTAATATGGTCGTACTTCCTGGTTCTAGTCAGGACTAATGTGGTCGTACTTCCTGGTTCTAGTCAGGACTAATATGGTCGTACTTCCTGGTTCTTGTCAGGACTAATATGGTCGTACTTCCTGGTTCTAGTCAGGACTGGAGCTGCTGCATTTTGAATGTACTGCAGCTGTTTTACAGCCTGTTTGGACAGACCTGTGAGCAGGCCATTGCAGTAGTCTAACCTACTGGAGACAAATGCATGGATAAGAATCTCCAGGTCTGCTTTAGACACTATGTTTTTGATCCTGGCAATGTTTTTTATTGATTTGATTTGATGTGGCTATTAACATTTAAGTCAGAGTCCAGTATTACCCCTAGATTTCTGACCTTGTTTGAAGGTTTTAGGGAGAGAGACTGTAGATGACAGATGACGCTCTCTCTTTGTTTCTGGGGACCAAAGACAATCATTTCAGTTTTGTCTGCGTTTAGCTGAAGGAAGTTGTTTTGCATCCACTCACTGATCTGTTGGATACAGTGAAGGAGTGAGTCCACTGGTCCATGTTCTCCTGCAGTCAGTGAGACATAGATCTGAGTGTCGTCTGCATAGTTATGATAGGACACTTTGTTTCTGCGTATTAACTGACCTAACGGCAGCATGTAGAGATTGAACAGAAGAGGTCCCAGGATCGACCCCTGTGGTACTCCACAGGTCAGGGCCATATGATCTGAGACACAGTTTCCAATCTCCACAAAGTACTTTGTCTTTTAGATAGGATTCAGCTTCGATGGCGCAGAGTACAGAGGAGTTATACAGAACTTTGTGGACTGGTGTCAGCGGAACCACCTCCTCATCAACGTGAGGAAGACCAAGGAGATGAACCACCTCCTCATCAACGTGAGGAAGACCAAGGAGATGGTGGTGGATTTCCGTAGACGTCACTCTGCCGCTCCAGCTCCAGTGAACATCCAGGGAAAGGACATTGAGAGAGTGGACTCTTACAAGTACCTGGGTGTTCATCTGAACCACAAACTGGACTGGACTCATAACACAGACGCCCTCTTCAAGAAGGGCCAGAGCCGGCTCTACCTGCTGAGGAGGCTCAGGTCTTTTGGAGTGCAGGGGCCACTCCTGAAGACCTTCTATGACTCTGTGGTGGCATCAGCCTCTTGTACGGTGTGGTCTGCTGGAGCAGCAGTATCACAGAGAGGGACAGGAAGAAGCTGGAACATCAGGAAGTCCAGCTCAGTCCTGGGCTGTTCCCTGGACACAGTGCAGCAGGTGGAGGACAGGAGGGTCCTGAGCAAACTAACATCTATGCTGGACCATGACTGTCGCCCCCTGCAGGACACTCTCTCTGCTCTGGAGAGCAGCTTCAGTGACAGACTTATTCACCCTCGCTGTGTGAGGGAGAGGTTCCGCAGGTCCTTCCTCCCTGTATGGAAGATTTTTTGTGTCATCAGATTTTGAATTTTTTTTAGCTTGAATTCTTCAGTTTGAAATTTTTAACCCTGAAAAAGCAAGTTTGAGAAGTGTGAAATATTAGATTGGCTCTTTAGCGCCCCCTACAGACTGAGCCAAAGCTTTACATAGGGAGCCAAAACAACTGATCATATTCAATACAATGTCACAAACATTGTTCTATGACTACTGGAACAAATCATGGCGCGGCGGCGTCACCTCCGTTGTGCGGGGCGGCACGGTGCGGGATGGGCTGTTGCGGGGCTGTGCGGCGTGGCGAGGGCCGTTGGACGCCGCTTGCGTCGCCTGTGTACGTAAAAGTATATCATCAGATATTTTTGAGTTAACTTTGTTTTGATGCAGATTCTGCTTCACAGATTCTGGGGCCAAAGAACGACTCTGATTTAACTCAATGTTTGATTCTTCTTGTTTCAGTAACGACCAACTCCAGTGGATCAGACCCAGAGACGAGAGTGAAGCAGGAACCACCAGAACTGGGCCTGAAACAGGAGGAAGAGGAGGCAGAGGAGAGGCTGAAACAGGAGGAAGAGAAGCTCCCAGACTTCACTGCTGTGTATGTGAAGAGTGAAGAGCAGTCCTCACTGATTGAAGAAGACAGAGAGGAAGCACAGGGACAGCTCTGTGGAGGAGCAGACATCAGCTCACAGACACATTTACACTCAGAGACAGAAGAACAGAGACACCACTCTTACACTGACCATGATGAAGACCATGATGAAGACCATGATGAAGACTATGATGAAGACTGGGGACATCCAGGCAGCAGTTCTACTGCACAGATGCAGACAGAGGCTGAGGGAGACCTCTACAACCAAGTCCACACACAGGGACTGTCAGGGACCGGACCCAGAGACCTGCTGTCAGGGACCGGACTGTCAGGGACCGGACTGTCAGGGACCGGACTGTCAGGGACCGGACTGTCAGGGACCGGACTGTCAGGGACCGGACTGTCAGGGACCGGACCCAGAGACCTGCTGTCAGGGACCGGACTGTCAGGGACCGGACTGTCAGGGACCGGACTGTCAGGGACCGGACCCAGAGACCTGCTGTCAGACTTCTACAACCAAGTCCACACACAGGACTCTAGTGCAGCTGTGTTGAGCAAATACAGGTGTGGAGCAGAGAAAGAGAGACCTTACAGCTGTCCATTTTGTAATAAGTCTTTTACCTACAAGAAACATTACAGTTCACATCTGAGAATTCATGCGGCGAGTAAGAGATTTAAGAGTGTGAATAACCGGACACAGGACTCTAAAGTCTACTCTGGAAAAACTCTTTTCCATTGTTCAGTTTGTCCAAGGTCTTTTCCCTCCAAAACAAATCTGATCGTCCACATGAGGATTCACACTGGAGAGAGACCTTACAGCTGCTCCATCTGTAACAGGTCATTCATTCGGGGAGGTGATCTTTATCGACATGAAAGAATTCACACAGGAGAAAAACCTTTCAGCTGTTCCATCTGTAAGAAAAGGTTTACCCGGAATTCAAACCTGAACCTGCACCTGGAGCGCCACAGACTGTAGCGTCAGGACTCTGGGTCCACGTCCCACACGTTGGGAACCACTGCTCTCTACAGGTCCACGTCCCACACGTTGGGAACCACTGCTCTCTACAGGTCCACGTCCCACACGTTGGGAACCACTGCTCTCTACAGGTCCACGTCCCACACGTTGGGAACCACTGCTCTCTACAGGTCCACGTCCCACACGTTGGGAACCACTGCTCTCTACAGGTCCACGTCCCACACGTTGGGAACCACTGCTCTCTACAGGTCCACGTCCCACACGTTGGGAACCACTGCTCTCTACAGGTCCACGTCCCACACGTTGGGAACCACTGCTCTCTACAGGTCCACGTCCCACACGTTGGGAACCACTGCTCTCTACAGGTCCACGTCCCACACGTTGGGAACCACTGCTCTCTGTGGCTGATCAGAATAACCTCTTGTTCGTCATCTGCAGGTTTTCCACCCGAGTTTTAACTGACCCTGTTGTCACGGTGACGACCACAAACATTTTCCTTTTTTGCATGAAAGATAAAAAGTCAAAGTGAAATCAAAATGTTACAATATTGTTTTTTTTTAAAATAAACTTCTTACAACAGTTCAGACTTTGGACCTCAGCAGGTGTTTTGTGTAGAAGGCAAACTGTCAGTCTCTAGATGCTCTCGACCCCAAAACAGCTGAGTTTGGCATTTCACAAATATTAATAATAATTATTATTATTATAATATTTCATGGGTTTGTGCCGCTCTTTTCAGATGCTTCACATCATTATTTTACTCCAAACTACTACTGTAGCCACAGCTGCCCTGGGACACACTGACAGAAGTGAGGCAACCAGTCTGTGCCATTGGCCCCTCCCACCACCACCAACCATTCACACACACCACTCATTCAAGGCAATTCTGAAACGTCATTGTTGAAAAGTCTGTTTAAAAGTTTTAAAACTTCAGCAGAGACAAGTGCAAGGCTCCAGAGTATCCGCAAGAGGGCGTCCCGTTTACTATGGGCAGGGGGCGGGGCTTAAAGCGGAAGTCAGACGCAGAGTCACTCGACATCGCCTTGTTAGCTCCGGTGCTAACAACAGTTAGCTCCTGGCTAAAGCTAACAACAACATGTGGACGAGGCGCAGTCTGCTGAGAGCTGCGGTGAATGAGCGGCTGGCTGCGGCTGCAGAAGAGATCTTTGTGCTGCTGGAGAGAACTATAGCGGAGTATGAGGAGGAAGTGTGTCGCTCCAAAGAGGAGAACCAGAGGAACCAGCAGCTGCTGGAGGCTCTGCGGCCCAGAGTCTCTGTGGAGCAGGGTAAGGGACCAAAATAACTGAAGAATGATGTCATGAAGTGACGTCATAACACGCTTATGGTTAATGCATGTTTTTGGGAGTGTTCCACGATCTATGATAATAAAGGGTCAGAGGTCAGTCCGTGCCTCAGATCCTCTGTCCTCAACTGAAGTGAACCCCACGTGACTTTTGAACAGACTTCAGTTCATCAAAAAACTACTGAAAATGACCCAAAAGGAAGAAGCTGGAACAGCCTACGCCCTATTACCATCAAAAACACCCATCATCCATAAGATGCAAATTACTTACACATGTACATTAACATGTTACATAACTGTTTACACATGTACATTAACATGTTACATAACTGTTTACACATGTACATTAACATGTTACATGTTTACACATGTACATTAACATGTTACATAACTGTTTACACATGTACATTAATATGTTACATGTTTACACATGTACATTAACATGTTACATAACTGTTTACACATGTACATTAATATGTTACATGTTTACACATGTACATTAATATGTTACATAACTGTTTACACATGTACATTAACATGTTACATGTTTACACATGTACATTAACATGTTACATGTTTACACATGTACATTAATATGTTACATAACTGTTTACACATGTACATTAACATGTTACATGTTTACACATGTACATTAACATGTTACATAACTGTTTACACATGTACATTAACATGTTACATAACTGTTTACACATGTACATTAATATGTTACATAACTGTTTACACATGTACATTAACATGTTACATGTTTACACATGTACATTAACATGTTACATAACTGTTTACACATGTACATTAACATGTTACATAACTGTTTACACATGTACATTGACATGTTACATAACTGTTTACACATGTACATTAACATGTTACATGTTTACACATGTACATTAACATGTTACATAACTGTTTACACATGTACATTAACATGTTACATGTTTACACATGTACATTAACATGTTACATGTTTACACATGTACATTAACATGTTACATAACTGTTTACACATGTACATTAACATGTTACATGTTTACACATGTACATTAACATGTTACATGTTTACACATGTACATTAACTCATTCACTGCCCATGACGACAAAAGTCGTCATGTTGAATAGTGACGCTCACTGCCCATGACGAGTATGACGAGTTTTTCGTGTTATTACACGGGAGGCTGCAGTAATGTCTGGCGCACCTTGTGAATGACCCACAATACTGATATATAGTGCAAATGTACCTGTAATGATAAATCAACACCAGTAGGATGCAGTATTGCACCACAGGAGAGGTCATAAGTCAGTGGAGAGGAGGAGGAGGAGTGTGGGATCTTTGGACAGCGTGCTGCTGTAGCAGAGCGATGATAGCGTAGCATTGAGACAGATACAGATCAGTGATCTAGTTTAGCGATAGTATAGCAAGAGTGATGGCGAAAAAGAATAGTTATAAGCAGCTGACACTGCTTCAGAGATTGACTCGCGGATCAGTGAGTGAGGTCGAGAGGGGAGAGAGCGGAGACCCCGGTGGAGGTCCGTCTCTGCAGCCACATTTGCGCAGAGCAAGAGCCCCGAGCAGAGACACACCCTCCGCCTCTCGCAGCGTATCAGCTGCTGTTGTTACTGATGCCTCGGATTCGTTCAGCAAACCTGATCATGATTTATCGGACACACTCACGAACACTCACACGCACTCACTCACTCACTCACGCACACAGACACACACGCACTCACTCACGCACACAGACACTCACTCGCACACTGACATTCACACACACAGACACTCACTCACACAGACACTCACTCACACAGACACTCACTCGCACACTGACATTCACACACACTGACATTCACACACACAGACACTCACTCACACAGACACTCACTCACACAGACACTCACTCGCACACTGACATTCACACACACTGACATTCACACACACAGACACTCACTCACACAGACACTCACTCACACAGACACTCACTGCACACTGACATTCACACACACTGACATTCACACACACAGACACTCACTCACACAGACACTCACTCACACAGACATTCACACACACAGACACTCACTCACACAGACACTCACTCACACAGACATTCACACACACAGACACTCACTCACACAGACACTCACTCACACAGACATTCACACACACAGACACTCACTCACACAGACATTCACACACACAGACACTCACTCACACAGACACTCACTCACGCACACAGACACTCACTCGCACACTGACATTCACACACACTGACATTCACACACACAGACACTCACTCGCACAGACACTCACTCGCACACTGACATTCACACACACTGACATTCACACACACAGACACTCACTCACACAGACACTCACTCGCACACTGACATTCACACACACACACTCAAATTCACATGCTTCATTCTATTTTATACATCTATAGTTTTATTGATCTTTGTGTTGTTGTTGTTTGACGTTTTGGTTAAATTTTAGTTAAATTTTCTATCTGTGAATAAATTGCCAACAATTTGCCATCAAAAGTATTATTTCAGAGTCATGTTTTTATAATTTTTGTAATGGAACAAATGTGAAGATGTTTTGAGTTGTCACTAAAGCAGCAAAAATGCATCTAAAGTCTCTTTTCTGCTTGATATGTTCCTGTTTACATACAGCTCGTTTTCTCTGTTTTCTTGCTCAGACCAGGTGTTATGGGTGAACGTATGCTTTGTTCTATGGCGAATAACGCAAGAACGGTAAGAGGTAGAAACAAACTGTTTTTTTTCAGAGTAAAGCAGAGAGGTGAATCTTTAATTTGGTGCCCTTGGTGTTTACATCGTCTAAAAAATGAATATTATGTGGCATTCAAAGTTGGGTCAAATCACCTGAAATTGCTGGCAGAATGCACTTCTCAAATCTGAAAATGCCTGGCAGTCAATGAGTTAACATGTTACATGTTTACACATGTACATTGACATGTTACATAACTGTTTACACATGTACATTAACATGTTACATAACTGTTTACACATGTACATTAACATGTTACATAACTGTTTACACATGTACATTAACATGTTACATGTTTACACATGTACATTAACATGTTACATGTTTACACACATACATTAACATGTTACATAACTGTTTACACATGTACATTAACATGTTACATAACTGTTTACACATGTACATTAACATGTTACATGTTTACACATGTACATTGACATGTTACATAACTGTTTACACATGTACATTAACATGTTACATGTTTACACATGTACATTAACATGTTACATGTTTACACATGTACATTGACATGTTACATAACTGTTTACACATGTACATTAACATGTTACATGTTTACACATGTACATTAACATGTTACATGTTTACACATGTACATTAACATGTTACATGTTTACACATGTACATTGACATGTTACATAACTGTTTACACATGTACATTAACATGTTACATAACTGTTTACACATGTACATTAACATGTTACATAACTGTTTACACATGTACATTAACATGTTACATGTTTACACATGTACATTGACATGTTACATAACTGTTTACACATGTACATTAACATGTTACATAACTGTTTACACATGTACATTAACATGTTACATGTTTACACATGTACATTGACATGTTACATAACTGTTTACACATGTACATTAATATGTTACATAACTGTTTACACACATACATTAACATGTTACATAACTGTTTACACATGTACATTAACATGTTACATGTTTACACATGTACATTGACATGTTACATAACTGTTTACACATGTACATTAATATGTTACATAACTGTTTACACATGTACATTAACATGTTACATAACTGTTTACACATGTACATTAACATGTTACATAACTGTTTACACATGTACATTAACATGTTACATGTTTACACATGTACATTAACATGTTACATGTTTACACATGTACATTAACATGTTACATGTTTACACATGTACATTAACATGTTACATAACTGTTTACACATGTACATTAACATGTTACATGTTTACACATGTACATTAACATGTTACATAACTGTTTACACATGTACATTAACATGTTACATAACTGTTTACACATGTACATTAACATGTTACATGTTTACACATGGACATTAACATGTTACATAACTGTTTACACATGTACATTAACATGTTACATAACTGTTTACACATGTACATTAACATGTTACATGTTTACACATGTACATTAACATGTTACATAACTGTTTACACATGTACATTAACATGTTACATGTTTACACATGTACATTAACATGTTACATAACTGTTTACACATGTACATTAACATGTTACATAACTGTTTACACATGTACATTAACATGTTACATAACTGTTTACACATGTACATTAACATGTTACATAACTGTTTACACATGTACATTGACATGTTACATAACTGTTTACACATGTACATTAACATGTTACATAACTGTTTACACATGTACATTAACATGTTACATGTTTACACATGTACATTAACATGTTACATAACTGTTTACACATGTACATTAACATGTTACATAACTGTTTACACATGTACATTGACATGTTACATGTTTACACATGTACATTGACATGTTACATAACTGTTTACACATGTACATTAACATGTTACATAACTGTTTACACATGTACATTGACATGTTACATAACTGTTTACACATGTACATTAACATGTTACATAACTGTTTACACATGTACATTAACATGTTACATGTTTACACATGTACATTAACATGTTACATAACTGTTTACACATGTACATTAACATGTTACATAACTGTTTACACATGTACATTAACATGTTACATGTTTACACATGTACATTAACATGTTACATGTTTACACATGTACATTAACATGTTACATGTTTACACACGTACATTAACATGTTACATAACTGTTTACACATGTACATTAACATGTTACATGTTTACACACGTACATTAACATGTTACATAACTGTTTACACATGTACATTAACATGTTACATGTTTACACATGTACATTAACATGTTACATAACTGTTTACACATGTACATTGACATGTTACATAACTGTTTACACATGTACATTAACATGTTACATAACTGTTTACACATGTACATTGACATGTTACATAACTGTTTACACATGTACATTGACATGTTACATAACTGTTTACACATGTACATTAATATGTTACATAACTGTTTACACATGTACATTAACATGTTACATAACTGTTTACACATGTACATTAACATGTTACATAACTGTTTACACATGTACATTAACATGTTACATGTTTACACATGTACATTAACATGTTACATGTTTACACATGTACATTAACATGTTACATGTTTACACATGTACATTAACATGTTACATGTTTACACATGTACATTAACATGTTACATAACTGTTTACACATGTACATTAACATGTTACATGTTTACACATGGACATTAACATGTTACATAACTGTTTACACATGTACATTAACATGTTACATAACTGTTTACACATGTACATTAACATGTTACATAACTGTTTACACATGTACATTAACATGTTACATGTTTACACATGTACATTAACATGTTACATAACTGTTTACACATGTACATTAACATGTTACATGTTTACACATGTACATTAACATGTTACATGTTTACACATGTACATTAACATGTTACATAACTGTTTACACATGTACATTAACATGTTACATAACTGTTTACACATGTACATTAACATGTTACATGTTTACACATGTACATTAACATGTTACATAACTGTTTACACATGTACATTAACACACACACAGGCTGCAGGTCACAAACACATCTGTCTCTACAGTATATATATAAATAAATATATTGAGTCCTGGTCCTGTCTCAGACTCAGCCCTGGTCCTGTCTCAGACTCAGTCCTGGTCCTGTCTCAGACTCAGCCCTGGTCCTGTCTCAGACTCAGCCCTGGTCCTGTCTCAGACTCAGCCCTGGTCCTGTCTCAGACTCAGCCCTGGTCCTGTCTCAGACTCAGCCCTGGTCCTGTCTCAGACTCAGCCCTGGTCCTGTCTCAGACTCAGCCCTGGTCCTGTCTCAGACTCAGTCCTGGTCCTGTCTCAGACTCAGCCCTGGTCCTGTCTCAGACTCAGCCCTGGTCCTGTCTCAGACTCAGCCCTGGTCCTGTCTCAGACTCAGCCCTGGTCCTGTCTCAGACTCAGCCCTGGTCCTGTCTCAGACTCAGCCCTGGTCCTGTCTCAGACTCAGCCCTGGTCCTGTCTCACTGCCTCCTGTTTGATCTGGAATATTCTTGTTTGTTTCAGGCTCCAGTGGATCAGACCCAGAGACCAGAGTGAGGCAGGAAACACCAGAGATCAAAGAGATTAAAGAGGAACCATCAGAACACAGACTGAAACAGGAGGAAGAGGAGGCAGAGGAGAGGCTGAAACAGGAGGAAGAGGAGGCAGAGGAGAGGCTGAAACAGGAGGAAGAGAAGCTCCCAGACTTCACTGCTGTGTGTGTGAAGAGTGAAGAGCAGTCCTCACTGATTGAAGAAGACAGAGAGGAAGCACAGGGACAGCTCTGTGGAGGAGCAGACATCAGCTCACAGACACATTTACACTCAGAGACAGAAGAACAGAGACACCACTCTTACACTGACCATGATGAAGACCATGATGAAGACCATGATGAAGACTATGATGAAGACTGGGGACATCCAGGCAGCAGTTCTACTGCACAGATGCAGACAGAGGCTGAGGGAGACCTCTACAACCAAGTCCACACACAGGGACTGTCAGGGACCGGACCCAGAGACCTGCTGTCAGGGACCGGACTGTCAGGGACCGGACTGTCAGGGACCGGACTGTCAGGGACCGGACTGTCAGGGACCGGACTGTCAGGGACCGGACTGTCAGGGACCGGACTGTCAGGGACCGGACTGTCAGGGACCGGACCCAGAGACCTGCTGTCAGGGATCGGATCCAGAGACCTGCTGTCAGGGACTGGATCCAGAGACCTGCTGTCAGGGATCGGATCCAGAGACCTGCTGTCAGACTTCTACAACCAAGTCCACACACAGGACTCTAGTGCAGCTGTGTTCAGCAAATACAGGTGTGGAGCAGAGAAAGAGAGACCTTACAGCTGTCCATTTTGTAATAAGTCTTTTACCTACAAGAAACATTACAGTTCACATCTGAGAATTCACACAGGAAAGAGACCTTACAGCTGTTCAGTGTGTAAGAAGAGATTTAAGAGTGAGAATAACTTGGTGCAGCACATAAAAGTTCACACCGGCGAAACTTCTGAAAATGGCAGCGTGAGCAAGGAAAAGTACATCTCACCGCGACGAAACGCACACGATGCAGCGTTTAAGCTGCAGGCGATCGAACTGGCCGACAAAGAAGGAAACCGAGCTGCTGCACGGAAGCTCGGCATCCATGAGTCCATGGTCAGACGCTGGAAGGGTCAGCGCGATGAACTGACGCTCTGTAAAAAGACCACCAAAGCTTTCCGAGGACAGAAGAGTCGATGGCCTGAGCTGGAGAACATTCTGGAAGACTGGGTGACCACACAGAGAGCCGACAGCCGCGGCGTCTCCACCATGCAGATCCGCCTCAAAGCACAAACCATCGCCACCGAAAAGAACATCACAGACTTCAGAGGTGGACCGTCCTGGTGTTTGAGGTTCATGAGACGCAAAGGGCTGTCCATCAGGGAGCGGCCGGCTCTGTGCCAGCGCCTTCCTCTGGAATACGAGGAGAAACTCACACACTTCCGCTGCTTCACTCAAACGACCATCGCAGAGAATTCCTTTGGAGCGGACGACATCATCAACATGGATGAAGTACCTTTGACCTTCGACATGCCTCTGACCCGGAGGGTGAACAAGAAAGGAGAGTCCTCCATCACGCTGAAGACCACGGGTCACGCCAGAACCCACTTCACCTGCGTCCTGAGCTGCACTGCCTCCGGACACAAACTTCCCCCGATGGTGATCTTTAAGCGGAGGCCTGTGCCAGAAGAACAACTTCCCCAAGGAATCGTGGTGAGGGTGAACCAGAGAGGCTGGATGGAAGAAAGCCTCATGAGGGACTGGATGGTGGAGTGCTTCAGCCAGAGGCCGGGGGGGGTCGTACACAGAAGAGCTCTGCTGGTGATGGACAGCATGAGAGCTCATGTGACGGAGTCTGTGAGGGCAGAGATCCAGAAGAACAACTGTCTTCCAGCGGTGATCCCTGCGGACACAACCAAACATCTGCAGCCGCTGGACGTGAGCGTGAAGCGGGCCTTTAAAGTGTCTCTGCGAGCCCAGTGGGAGACCTGGATGACCAGCGGCGATAAGTCCTTCACAAAGACCGGCCACATGAGGAGAGCCTCGTTGGCCCAGGTCTGTCAGTGGGTCCTGACGGCCTGGACCAGTGTGAGAGGCTCCACCATCACCAGCGGCTTCCGTCAGGCTGGACTGCTGTGTGACGAAGAGGAGGACGAAGAGGACGCCAGTGACAGTGAGAGCGAGGACGAAACAGACACTGAGAAAGTGTGCGACGAGGTCCTGCTCGGGCTGTTCAACTCCGACACAGAGGACGACGACTTCAGCGGCTTTAGTGCGGAAGAGGAAGAGGAGGAAGACGAGTGGCTCCTGTGACCTCCAAAGGATGTTCTCAGGGGAGATGATGTAATGTGCCCGTAATGTTAATACGTTTATTTAAAACTGTTAGTTTTGATTAGTGAGAAGTGTATTTGCTAAAGCGTCATATATTCATATTTATATATAATGTGTATATTGCCGGTCACTGGGATGATCTTTATCAATGTATAATTACTTAGAAGCTGTGCTTCTGTCTGGTTGTCACGGTAACCTCCTGCTTGATTGATCACAATCAAATATTTGATCTTTTGACGGCACTTCCAAAAACACATGTGAAAACTAATGACATTTATTACACTTATTTTTAATAAAGTTGTTTTAATTACTGCCTCACAACGACATGTTACAAAGGTCCATACTCTTGAATCGGGATCAATGTCAGAGTCCTGAGGCCCCTGAGTCCTGAGGCCCGGAGTCCTGAGGCCCCAGAGTCCTGAGGCCCCGGAGTCCTGAGGCCCCAGAGTCCTGAGGCCCAGAGTCCTGAGGCCCCAGAGTCCTGAGGCCCCAGAGTCCTGAGGCCCCAGAGTCCTGAGGCCCCAGAGTCCTGAGGCCCCGGAGTCCTGAGGCCCCAGAGTCCTGAGGCCCAGAGTCCTGAGGCCCCAGAGTCCTGAGGCCCCGGAGTCCTGAGGCCCCGGAGTCCTGAGGCCCCAGAGTCCTGAGGCCCAGAGTCCTGAGGCCCCAGAGTCCTGAGGCCCCAGAGTCCTGAGGCCCCAGAGTCCTGAGGCCCCAGAGTCCTGAGGCCCGGAGTCCTGAGGCCCCAGAGTCCTGAGGCCCGGAGTCCTGAGGCCCGGAGTCCTGAGGCCCCAGAGTCCTGAGGCCCCAGAGTCCTGAGGCCCCTGAGGCCCGGAGTCCTGAGGCCCCAGAGTCCTGAGGCCCAGAGTCCTGAGGCCCCAGAGTCCTGAGGCCCCAGAGTCCTGAGGCCCAGAGTCCTGAGGCCCCAGAGTCCTGAGGCCCCAGAGTCCTGAGGCCCAGAGTCCTGAGGCCCCAGAGTCCTGAGGCCCCAGAGTCCTGAGGCCCCAGAGTCCTGAGGCCCAGAGTCCTGAGGCCCCAGAGTCCTGAGGCCCCAGAGTCCTGAGGCCCCAGAGTCCTGAGGCCCAGAGTCCTGAGGCCCAGAGTCCTGAGGCCCAGAGTCCTGAGGCCCCAGAGTCCTGAGGCCCCAGAGTCCTGAGGCCCCTGAGGCCCGGAGTCCTGAGGCCCCAGAGTCTTGAGGCCCGGAGTCCTGAGGCCCGGAGTCCTGAGGCCCCAGAGTCTTGAGGCCGGGGGTCCTGAGGCCCCAGAGTCCTGAGGCCCCAGAGTCCTGAGGCCCCAGAGTCCTGAGGCCCCTGAGGCCCGGAGTCCTGAGGCCCCAGAGTCTTGAGGCCCGGAGTCCTGAGGCCCGGAGTCCTGAGGCCCCAGAGTCCTGAGGCCCAGAGTCTGTTTAAGTTTCTAACCGGTTTATTCTTGGCATCGATTGTGTGAAATTATGATTTGAATGAATCTTAGGACACAATACAATACGGTCCATAGCTTTGCGCTGAAATGTTGATAAAACAAATGATGGAGAAAGTCATAGTTATGGCTCTGAGCTCCGGTTAGTTTACAACACTGACATCTAGTGGACATATTTAATCATTGCAGCTGCAGAATAACTGACAACAGGATCCTGCTGCAGCAGAACATTGATTTACTGAGAATGTGTTTTTAAGGAATCATTACATTAAATACAACTATTTTTACATATAAAAACAAAGAACGGAAAAAAGGGACTGCACTATGGGGTGCCTATTGTAAAAATTCTGTAAAAATTTTTTAGCTGAACATTTTTCAACATTTAGCTCACTTTCCTCACATTTAGCACATTTTCCTCACATTTAAGACAGACATTCATGTAAAACAACACGTTATATGTAGTTGTCAAATACATGTTAAATATTATATATATATGTTTATATCTAAATCTAAATGTGAAATGTTATATCTAAATATTATATCTATATCTAAATGTTAAATGTTATATCTAAATATTATATCTATATCTAAATGTTAAATGTTATATCTAAATATTATATCTATATCTAAATGTTAAATGTTATATCTAAATGTTATATCTATATCTAAATGTTAAATGTTATATCTATATCTAAATGTCATATCTATATCTAAATGTTATATCTAAATATATCTATATCTAAATGTTAAATGTTATATCTAAATATTATATCTATATCTAAATGTTAAATGTTATATCTAAATGTTATATCTATATCTAAATGTTATATCTATATCTAAATGTTATATCTAAATGTTAAATCTAAATGTTATATCTAAATGTTATATCTATATCTAAATGTTGTATCTAAATCTAAATGTTATATCTAAATGTGTCGCCAAGTGTAAAGCTAAATATATAGAAAATATTTAAATCCGCAAGGAAACCACGCCCACTGCAGTGGCTTCAAATCAAGCCCCGGCGATCCAAGATGGCGCCCTATTCAAATGAATGGTTGTGCTCAGTGGCGCCTTGTGACGGCATCGGGGCTGAAAGATTAGCGGAAGTTGCCTGAAACTCGCAAAGATCTCTGGGAAACTGGCCTGTATTTGGGCATCGTCTGGTCCTCCCGGTTCTGTGCAGTGGATGATCTCCCATAATGCTTTGCGCCAAATACGCGTGTGTGGGTCTCACACCGGGTCTCACGCACGTGCACAGAGGGTCTCACGCACGTGCACAGAGGGGCTCGGCCGCGCTGACCAATCAGAGCAGTTCATCAGAGCGGGAGTTAGAGCGAGAGCCAGACGAGCAGAGTTTGTGGCACTAAAGTGTGGATTTAAACAAAACCGAAGGATTTAAGAAGAAAAAAAGTTCAGGATGACAAGAGACACTAACATCCCCACAAAATACTATCTTTATTAAAGCTGCAGGTTCTCTGTCAGGTTCTCTGTCAGGTTCTCTGTCAGCTGAGGTTGAGCTGTTTTAATATGCATTGAGTTCTATGGGGAACATTTCTGGGTGGCCCACGTGAATTTAGTCTGGTTCAGTCTGGTTCAGTCTGGTTCAGTCTGCAGTACCGCGAGAATCCCCTGAGCACGTGAGTTATTCAGCTACAAGCTAGTAATACCCTATCCAGTTATTATAATACATCCATGCTTCAAATCCAGTGGGGGGTCCGCCCCCTTTCCTGAAATGAGTTGCTCTAGTGGCAGGCCGTGGTATTGCAGCCTACGGCCCAAAAGCCCTTTTCGCCATAGACAACCATGTAAAAGGAGCAGCCTGTAAAATGGTCCACGGGGCGTCTGGAGTTTCAGATTAAGGCAAATATTTTTCTTTAAAATGACTATTTAAACTGTCGTGAAGCACTTTGTGGCTCTTGTCTGTGAAAGGTGCTACAAATACAGAAACAGTGTTCAGGTGTCAGGACTGACACCTGAACACTGTTTCGTTGTGCACTTGTACAATGACAATAAAGCACTTACTTACTAAATAAAGATTACGTACTCACTCAAATAACGTACTCACTCACTCAAATAACATAGTAAACTTACAAAGTACATGAAATGCTGCTAAAGACAGAAACAAACTTACTTGAGGGTTTTTTTTTTAAACAGTTAAAAATGATGATTTTTGATGCTTTACAATTCTTTTACGAAGAAAATAAGTCCATGTCCTAAAAATAGTCATTTTAAAGAAAAATATTTGCCTTAATCTGAAACTCCAGACGCCCCGTGGACCATTTTACAGGCTGCTCCTTTTACATGGTTGTCTATGGCGAAAAGGGTTTTTGGGCCGTAGGCTGCAATACCACGGCCTGCCACTAGAGCAACTCATTTCAGGAAAGGGGGCGGACCCCCCACTGGATTTGAAGCCACTGCAGTGGGCGTGGTTTCCTTGCGGATTTAAATATTTTCTATATATTTAGCTTTACACTTGGCGACACATTTAGATATAACATTTAGATTTAACATTTAGATTTAACATTTAGATATAGATATAATATTTAGATATAACATTTAGATATAGATATAACATTTAGATATAACATTTAGATATAGATATAACATTTAGATTTAACATTTAGATATAACATTTAGATATAGATATAACATTTAACATTTAGATATATATATATTTAGATATAACATTTAGATATAGATATGACATTTAGATATAACATTTAACATTTAGATATAGATATATTTAGATATAACATTTAGATATAGATATGACATTTAGATATAGATATAACATTTAGATATAACATTTAACATTTAGATATAGATATAACATTTATATATAGATAACATTTAGATATAGATATAACATTTAGATATAGATATAACATTTAGATATAGATATAACATTTAGATATAGATATGACATTTAGATATAGATATAACATTTAACATTTAGATATAGATATAATATTTAGATATAGATATAACATTTAGATATAGATATAACATTTAGATATAACATTTAACATTTAGATATAGATATAATATTTAGATATAACATTTAACATTTAGATATAGATATAATATTTAGATATAACATTTCACATTTAGATTTAGATATAAACATATATATATAATATTTAACATGTATTTGACAACTACATATAACGTGTTGTTTTACATGAATGTCTGTCTTAAATGTGAGGAAAATGTGCTAAATGTTGAAAAATGTTCAGCTAAAAAATTTTTACAGAATTTTTACAATCGGCACCCCATAGTGCACGTTATGCAGAGATCACATGTTTTTTTTAAACAGCTGTCAGTCTCAGTTAAACACATTGTTAGGTTGAATAAGATAAAAATGATTCTAACGTCTCTATCTCCATTTTTCACTGGGAGATGCCAACTCTACGACCCAACATTATTAAGAAATATTGATGACCATTTGACTTGGCAACTATCCACTGAAAGAAGTCAAACTAAGGAAACGCGTCACACACATGTTTACAGTGTTCAGGGACACAGTGGATCTATATTTATCTGGATCGGGCTAAACTAGCTTATAGCTGTCCCACCAAAGTGCACAGGACTGAACCCCGTTACCCAGAAAACAGACCTCAGCTGACAGAGAGCCTGACAGAGAGCCTGACAGAGAGCCTGACTGAGAGCCTGACTGAGAGCCTGACAGAGAGCCTGACAGAGAACCTGACTGAGAGCCTGACTGAGAACCTGACAGAGAGCCTGACAGAGAGCCTGACTGAGAACCTGACTGAGAACCTGACAGAGAGCCTGACAGAGAGCCTGACAGAGAGCCTGACAGAGAGCCTGACAGAGAGCCTGACAGAGAGCCTGACAGAGAGCCTGACTGAGAGCCTGACAGAGAGCCTGACAGAGAGCCTGACTGAGAGCCTGACAGAGAGCCTGACAGAGAGCCTGACAGAGAGCCTGACTGAGAGCCTGACAGAGAGCCTGACTAAGAGCCTGACTGAGAGCCTGACTAAGAGCCTGACTGAGAGCCTGACTAAGAGCCTGACAGAGAGCCTGACTAAGAGCCTGACAGAGAGCCTGACAGAGAGCCTGACTAAGAGCCTGACTGAGAGCCTGACTAAGAGCCTGACAGAGAGCCTGACTGAGAGCCTGACTGAGAGCCTGACTAAGAGCCTGACAGAGAGCCTGACTAAGAGCCTGACAGAGAGCCTGACTGAGAGCCTGACTGAGAGCCTGACTGAGAGCCTGACTGAGAGCCTGACTGAGAGCCTGACAGAGAGCCTGACTGAGAGCCTGACAGAGAGCCTGACTGAGAACCTGCAGCTTTCATAAAGGAGGTGGATATTGATTGAACGTCTCTATAAAGCCACACTTTAGTGAAACAAACTCTGTTGTTTTCCTCCCGCTTTGATTGGTCAGAAGGCTGCCCTGTGATTGGTCAGAAGGCTGCCCTGTGATTGGTCAGAAGGCTGCCCTGTGATTGGTCAGAAGGCTGCCCTGTGATTGGTCAGAACACAGCCCCTCTGCGCACGTGCATGAGAGACATATGTGTTTGGAGCAAAGCATCATGGGATCTCGTCCACTGCGCAGAACCTGGAGGATCTCGGATGCCTTACAAATATTTTGTGTGAGGGTGAACAAGCTTCAGACAAGTTGTGTTGACGAGTTAGTTGTTTTTGCTTGGGTAAGTAATAAAGATAATGTATCAGTCATTTTTGAGTTTAACTTTGTAGTTTAATGTTTATGACTCCAAGCGCGTCATGTCTTGTATCTACAAATGCTGTTTGCGGATTGTTGTTTTATTCTTTTTAAATCAACCAGTCCCAGAGAGCGCGAGAAACACCACTGAGAACTTGGTTTGTGGCTGAGAATAATGGAAACATTATGTTGGCTGCAGCATGGCTGGCCTTCATGAAGCTGTTTGCAGGAGAAGGAGGGTTCAGATCCCTGTACCCAGGAGAAGAGCAAGTGGGTCACGCCAACCTATGTCAAACAAGTGCCCTAGATTCCAATTTGCGAGATGGATTTCAAATCTGCAAAAACGTAAACCAAATAAGTCCAGGAAACGATAACAACTAAATGTGTCCTTGTGACGCTGTTAGCTGTTAGCTGTTAGCTGTTAGCTGTTAGGTGTTAGCTGTTAGCACAATGAAACACGACACAGTCGTCTGGCATTGCTTCAAAGAACTTTAATGACGCTTGAAAGATTCTAATGTGACATTAGAGAGTGTGGTCCTACTTCCTACAGCTACAGCAGCTGCACCACCAGCATGGCCGACCTCCGGTAAGCCGAGCCTTTTTTCACCGGATGTGACGTCACGTGAAAGTCATCCATGGGCCGCACCATGGGCCGCACCATGGGCCGCACCATGGGCCGCACCATGGGCCGTTGAGAGAGTTCTACTTGTCACTCCCGTATTCGTCCCGGAAACCGGATTCATCCGGAAGTTCAGTTTGCGCATGTCAAAAAGTTTAATATGTCCTTAAATGACTGGTTAAGTTTAGGCTCTGATTAAGATTGTTAAAGGGCCCATATCAGGGTTTTTGACTTTTCTCTGCTTTAAACATGATTACAGCTATTTGGCCTCATACACAAGCCCACAGTAGTTTATTCATTGATTCTATCTTTTGTAAGAGAACAATCTGTGTCCTTCCCCAGCGTGAGGCACAGAAACGCACGGGTCCACTTCAGAGACGAAAACCACACTGATGACGCGCATGACCCCGGGGCGGGTGAGGGCGGGGGGGGGGGGGCTTGAGGGCGGGGGGAGGAGCAGACTCTGGATCAGCTCGTTTGAGTCGAGGTGACGTCACCTCTAAACAAGAGATGGCTCTAATCTCACAAGCTTTGGGAGGGAGGAAGATGGCGGTCTGAGTGGACGCACTGCGGTTAGCTGACACAAACTTTTTAAAATAATCTTTAATTTTCGGGGTTTGCCAATACGAACACCCGCCAGCTTCACCATCAATTAACGCTGACTATTTTCACTGGGAAGATGGATGGTAATACTCAGAAAAAAGCCGGAAAAGAAGGCACCGCCAAACGCCCGCCAACAACTCCGAATAAGAGTGAGACGAAGAAAGTGAAAACCGGTGAGATGGACACTGAGCCAGAACTTTCAAACACTTCCCTGCTGATGGCCATTCAAGCCTCTCTGCAGTCTCTTATTGAGCGTTTTGACAAACAAGACAAGAAGCTTGATGACATGACTACTATAATCAAAGAACACAGTGAGAGCATTGCTTTCAATATGACAGAGATAGAGGAGTGCAAAAAACAAACGGCCGAGATGAAAAGTGCAATGGCAGCGCTAACCCGGGAAAACAATGAGCTGCGTGAGAGAGTCAAAGGTGTTGAAAGATACAAGCGCAGGTGGAATCTCCGAATTAACGGGCTGAGGGAAAGAGAAGGTGAAAATGTAAGGCAGGATGTCATCAATCTCTTATGCCGCATTTCACCACAACTTGCCCCAAAGATGGAAGAGGCTGTGGATACGGTTCATCGGCTAGGGAGAAAATTTGACAACAAGCCACGTCAAGTTTATAATGCAGTTTGTCAAGCGAGTTGACCGGGACCACGTATGGAGAGCGACAAACAAGCATAAGATCTGTGAGGAGCTGAAAATACACTTCGTGGAGGACATGATAAAGGAGGACAAGCTGGCTCGGGATGCTGTGTGGCCCATCATCGCCAAGGCGAGGAAGGAGGGGAAGAAGGCGGGCTTCAAAGGTCCCTACGCGTATGTGGAAGGGAAACGGGTTACGGCTGCTGAGTGAAGATGATACTCTGAACTATTTTTTACACTTGGGTAAATCCGAAAAATGACTCTTGTTACTTGAAGTTTGCTGTTCTGCTAACCGTTAAAAGCTACCGTTTTTTTTAGTGGTACTAGCGTGTTACTTAAGCTAATATTTTTTCAACCTAATATTGTTATTTCTATATTTTTGTTATTTTTTTAATTTATGTTGGACTTTAAAAGTCATTTCTTTTATTTTCTTCCTTAAACACTAGAGGTTTACAAGATAGGGTCAAGAGAAAAGCCATTTTCTTATTCTGTAAAAATCAAAAAGCTCATTTTACCTTCTTGCAGGAAACACACTCCACATCTACGGATGAACATTTTTGGAACAATCAATGGGGGGAAAAAATATACTATAGTCATGGTACCTCAAAGTCAGCTGGAGTAGCCATTTTATTAAATAACTGTACAGGCTCACTAACATCAATCAAAAAAGATGAACATGGGCATTGGATTGTCATAGTTATGAACATTGACAGCACTTTCATGATTATTGCAAATATCTATGGTTACAATTCCCCTTCCCAAAATAAGGAACTGCTTTCTAAAGTTGCTGACACTATTTTAGAACAAAAAAGAGATTATCCAACTGAAGCAATTATTATAGGAGGGGATTTTAACTGTGTGCCTGATGAATGGTTAGATCGTTGGCCAAGTAAATATGATAAAAATCACTATAATACACTAATTCAAACCATTTGCAATGATTTAAATCTAAGTGATATCTGGAGAGAAACTTATGGAGATACACAGCAGTTTTCCTGGTTCAAACCCAATGGAGGTGCAAAATCTAGAATTGATTTATGGCTAGTTAACAACAACTTAAGCCACATCATATCAAATGTGGCAATGGATTCGGCGCCAATGACAGATCATTCTCTCATTACTCTGGAAATGAAACCTCAAGTCTCCTTAAAAAGAAACAAGGGTTTCTGGAAATTTAACTCATCTCTACTATTGGATGAAGAGTTTTGTCAAACAGTGAGTGCATTGATTAAGGAAATTAAAAATGATAATGATATTGCTACACACTGTGGAAAATGGGAATTTTTGAAATACAAAATAAGACAATTTGCAATAAGTTATAGCAAAAAACTTGCTGAATTAAGGAATAAAAAAGAAAACGATCTGGTCATCAAAATAAACGTTCTATGTAATATTACATATCCATCAAATGAACAAACTCAGAAGCATCTTGAATTCCAAAATCAATTAGACCAATTCTATGAAAATAAAGCAAAGGGTGCTTTCATTAGATCTAAAGCTAAATGGATCGAAGAAGCGGAAAAAAACTCATCATACTTCTACAAATTAGAAAAAGGCCGGCAAAGAAAAAATGAAATCAATTCATTAATAATAAATGGTATAGAATGTTCAGACCCCAAACTAATAGCAGAAGAAATTTCTTCATTCTATTCTGTTTTATACAGATCTGGTTTTTCATCAACAGACGCAGTTTCTTTTTTTAATGAAATCAAAAAATATAACACTCCTAAACTAAAAAATGAATCTATCAAACTCTGTGACTCTAACATATCTCTAAATGAATTAGATAAAGCTGTTCAGAAACTAAAACTCAACAAGTCCCCAGGTTCTGATGGCCTGACTTCAAACTTTTATAAACATTTTTGGAATGAGTTAAGAGAAATGTTGCTGGAAGTATTTAGAGAATCAATTGAAAAACAAAACCTTCCACCAACAATGAAACAAGGAGTAATAGTGCTTATACCAAAACCTGGTAAGGATAAAAACCTTATAGACAATCTCAGACCCATTACACTCCTGAACAATGACTATAAAATATTTTCTCATATATATTCTTCAAGACTAAAAGATACACTCCCCGAGATCATCAGCATGACTCAGACAGGATTCATGAGTAACCGATCAATACATGACAACATTCGTCTAGTGCTTGATCTAATCGATTATGAAGAATTTATCAATGATGACAATAGCTTGCTGCTTTTCTTAGATTTCAAAAAAGCTTTTGATAACTTAGAGCACCCTTTCTTAACACAAGCTTTACAAACCTTTGGTTATGGACCTAAATTTATTAACACCATGCAAGTATTTTATAAAGATAGAAATAGCTCAGTAGCATTATCTTATGGTTCAACAGGTCGATTTGATATAAATAAAGGTATTATTCAGGGCTGTCCTTGCAGTCCTGGTTTGTTTATCTTAGCAGCAGAATTGCTTTCAATCCATCTAAAAAGTATTGAGACTTTGAAAGGAATTGAAGTTTTTGGTCAGGAACTCATTATTAGTCAATACGCTGATGATACCACTCTTTTTCTGAAAGATGACAAACAAATACCCACAGCATTACAAGCAATCGAGGTGTTCTCCAAAGCTTCAGGTCTATTTCTAAATTTGGATAAATGCGAACTTTTAGCACTCAAATGTGTGCCCCATAACTCTATACATGGAATCAAAGTCAAACAAAACATAAAATATTTAGGAATAAATATAACTAAAAGTCCAAAAGAGAGACATCAGGAAAATTTTGAAGAAAAACTTGCAAAATGTAAGAATATTTTTAATCTTTGGTTACAAAGGGATCTTACTATTTTTGGTCGCATCTTGCTTACAAAGGTCGATGGTATTTCTAGAATCCTTCATCCTACATACTTTTTAGCTTTGGAGCCATCATTTGTCAAAGCTATAAATCAACTAAATTTCAACTTTATTTGGAACAACAAAACGCACTACTTAAAAAAAGCGGTTTTGCTTCAGGATTATGAACATGGTGGCCTTAAGGCTATCGATTATGAATGTATGAATGGAACAATCAAAAATAATTGGCTAAAATCATTTCTGAAAAATCCAGAAAACTTTTGGAATATATTCCCCAATAATATTTTTTCATCTTGTGGTGGGTTACAGTTTCTGTTAAAATGTGATTTTGAGGTCAGAAAACGTAATATTAAGTTGTCTAGTTTTCACCAGCAGGTTCTCTTTTATTGGAAGATGTTGTACAAACATAATTTCACTCCTCACACGACTTCACTTTGGAACAACAGATACATTCTTCACAGGAACAAATCTATGTATTACAAGGACTGGATGGACAAAAATGTTTGGTGCATTTTTGATTTGATGGACTTAAATGGTAACCTGCTCTCATATAATGACTTTAGCATGAAATGGAATTTTTTTTGTCACCCAAAACAATTTTTCTGTCTTATTAATGCAATTCCAAAACCATTCTTGCTGTTGGCTAGAGAGATTGTCGTTCATTCCAATTCAATCTCTAGGCTACCAATTTTTTTCATAGACGATCTAAATTTTTTTGACAAAAAATGTAATAACAGATTTATTAGACAAGTACTCACTAGTGAGCTTTATTCGAAACAATACAGCCGAATTCAAGATCTTAAAGAATACGAGCCATTTAAAGTCAAGAAATTACTAACAGAATATCTGAGGTATCCTATTCTTCCTAAGTCCAAAGAAATTCATTTCAAACTTCTTAACAACATATATCCGTCAAGTGAATTTTTACGACAAAGATTTAACTTTGAGAGTAATGAATGTACCTTTTGTAAAATTGAAGTAGAAACCACTCGTCACATTTTTTTTGACTGTAAATTTGTTACAGTTTTTTGGAATCAGATTGAAGAGTGGTTGGAAAAAAAGAATGTATCAGTTAAATTAACGTCATATGTTGATATTTTATATGGAATGGTTTTGGAGAGCAAATTAGAAAACCTGCTGGTCAACGCAATCCTCATACTAGCAAAACACTATATTCATAAATCCAAATTTTTCAAATCTCCTCCTGCTTTTAGGGGTTTTATTAATGACTTTAATATATATTGCAAATCCTTAAAAGTTATGAAATTAAACAAAGCAATAGAGCTTCTGAATCAAATAAAACAATACAAATTAACTGACCCTTAAATCTTTTTTTTTTTTTTTTTATTATTATTTATTTTACTATTATAGTCAATGTGATTAACAATCATAATATATATATTTCTTTTATTTATTTATCTATTTTAGTTATTTTTCTTTCTTATATGTTATTTATTTTTTATTTTCAACTTGCCTTCATATTACACTGTTTATAGATTATTTTTCTACTCAACCGAATTTGCCTTGAAAAGATTTGAATGGTTTTGTGCCTTGTTGTTTGTAAATGTTTAATAAAAAAAAAAAAAAAAAAAAAAAATCTCACAAGCTTTGATTGTTGTGTGGTGTATCATATACGGTGGCCGAGAGGGGTCACAACAAATACAAATGCTAAAACAAATACAAACGCCACAACACAACAACTTTGAGCCACAACACAACACAACAACTTAACGAAAGTCACAACAACTTAACGAAAACACAACACAACAACTTAACGAAAACACAACCCAACAACTTAACGAAAGTCACAACGGAAGTGACCGGAGAAAACGGAAGTGACCGTAGGACTGCAATAGTCGACGGACCGGCATGTTATGGACGCTAGTGGAAGAGGATTTGAAGTTGGAAAAGTAAGTTATAGTAAGATATTGCTTTGCTTTGTAACCATGGTCGATGTCACTTTCTAACTGGCATAAATAATCACTATTGTTAGGTTCATAATACTTCGTTGTAGTTATTTTCCTGCCCGCGAATGTCAAGTTTTCTATGTAGTAGTGGATGCACAATATATAGAATAGTACAGCTTTCCATGGATAATATTAAAGCTGCGTAAGAGGATCAATGACAGATTAATTAGTAGTTATTTTAAGTCAGATGTAAGTGCTAAGTTGTGCTTGTGTTTGTCACCAGGATATGTTTTGTCCATTTTGTGGTGAGTCTTCAAACCGTTGAGCGCTACCACTGAGAGTTTTCAACAAGCGGCTCTGGAACACTCACACTATCAGTCCAGATGTCCATCTGGTAAACCAGAGGCAATGTATCATGTGCCTCAAAGGTGAGAATGACATGATCATATTTAAGCTGGGAAAAATTATATTAAATAGGTGTCCATAAAACAGTGAATTCATGATAGGACACTACAGTATCAATGTCATTGTAAAATGTTCCTATAATGTATGACAGCAATCCTATTAGTCACTGTTTTCTTTGTTCAAATGTAAGCATGGAATTCATTAAAACAAAGTGGTAGAATTACCATAAAACAAAAACTAAAATATTAAATCAAAGCTTCGATTGGATGCTTGCTTATTCTGTTCCTAGGTTTCATGGGAGGAACTGTGGATTCCTAACATCTTCACAAATGCTTGACCACTTACACAGCCCACTTCCCCCACTAGCAACTCCCAGAGATGAACTGCAACAACAGAGAGGTCTGACGACTCCTCTGCAGTGGGAATGTGCTGTAGAGAACTACATCATTCTGAAGGACTTGGCTGGTTTGTAAAACCACTTCTACTATCCAAGGAACCATTTTGGAAGTTAAAGGATGGAGGATTAAAACTTAAATGTTAACTGTAGTGTTATTTTCTGATAAGCTTTTGTTGATGGGGCGGGGGGGGTGTTGTGCATACAGTTGTGGAATGGAGGTGGAACATTCTGTTCATTTGTAATGAGCTGACGGTTCAGGTTTTGATGTAAATTTCAATAAAATTACAAAACACACTACAGCTGTATTTGTCATACAAAGAACACACCAAGTTAAAATTAACACATTGGCCTTTTAATAAGAGTAAAAAAAAGATAAGAAGTTGGGCAGGCAACTTTTGAAGTGCTGATAACTATAACAAAGCATAGTGCTAGTTGCGTCCAACAAATAAAAGGTAGTTTCAATGACAATGAAATGTTTGGAAACACTCGCCTGAACATGTGGCCATTGCCGTTAATGCAGTAACAATGTAAAACAGTGCAACTTGCCCGTTGTCTGGCTTTGTAAGTTTGTTTTAAGTGGCCAACAACTGATTGAGCACAGCATAGCCTAGTGAGATACGACAATCTTATGGCAATGACATCCAAATCCAGGGGAATTCTTTATCCCAAAGTTCATGTTGGTTTTAAAGGCACTGTAGCAATGCAGCAGAGGCAGCTTTAAAGTATTGGAACATGTATTTGCCATTGGAAATTTCGAACTGGTGAGAAACTCGAGGCGTGGAGTTAGATCAATTCCTGCTGGAGGCACGCATGGTACACCTGTGGCAAACATGAAGAGCTCCTCAAGAGACACCGAACTGTCTTGTTCTAAAATTAACAGGTATAAAAAATCAACTGAATGAAAACATACAGCAGTACTGATCAGACTGTGTAAATAAAATTATATCAACCTTCACAATCAAGTAGGTAGTCTGCCCAGTAGCTCATTGATTGATTCTCCAGGACCTTCCTGTTGCTTCCATCTGGGCTCAACTCAGGTTTGAACAGATGTTCAACCTCCTTAGCAGTTAATCTCTTATTCGTGTGGCAGAGGACATGGGTCAGAATCGTGGGATGCTGCTGTAGAGCTGTCAAAAACTGCAAACTGGCGAGCCCGGCTTTAAATCTAAAATACAACAGCAGCATGATAATGTGGTTAACCCCCTAGCATGGTTAGGTGCATTTTCACTTTGATCTTTCCATTATTTTAGGTGATATTTATTCTAGCCCCCATTTCAACAAATAGTTCTTCAAATTCCAGTCATTTCAAGTAGATTTTAGGTTAGGTTTTCAAGTTCCATCACATTCACTGCTGTTCCTTGGTCCATTTGTGAGTTGGAAGGCAAGTTCTAATCCACAAAACATGACGTTAGCAAAAATACTTATTACAGTCAATTTACAAATTATAGCATTTGTTTTCTACATCACGTAGACCTTAAATCAGTGTAACATAAATAGTTGTGCAGAAGAACATTAGTTTTTTGTTATATTTTATAACATCACTAGCAATTGCCATTGTTAGTGAACAGGTTTACACACAATATTTTTTTTCAGTTCAATCGTGCAACATGAAACATAACGTTACTAGGTAACAACACACAATGTTTAGGAACTACACATTACCAGAGCTGTTAAATCAGTGTGCGATTGTTGATCATCGCTTGTACTGTTCAAGGCAGGTTCCGATATCTGGGGAGAATAAAAACAAGTTTTAGTGTAGTACTTCAGATTACATAAACCAAACTATGTCAGAAATAATGTATTTTATTTGTGGGTTTATTTAGTCAGGACAGTGCTGTTAATGAACATACATGGGTCTCATGCATGTAAACACCACACCGGATTATAGCCTTGGGATAATTTGCATCCGTTGTCCCCCATGCGTACTCTCATTCATCCTGGCCTATTGTACATGTTTTTAGTGGTAGGGGAAACCAGAGTACCCGGAGGAAACCTACAGACACAGGGAGAACATGCAAACTCCATACAGAAAGGCCCCGTCCAGGTGGGAATCGAACCCGGACCCGTCATATAATCATATTTGATTGTACTATTCTGGCATTCAGTATGGTACGTGATACACATTAGAGGGAATGGTCATTTCAAAATGTTTAATTGGAAGATGCAAACATTAAAATGTCTGTTTTGAAATATGAGCAGTGTGTAGCATGGGAAAAAAACATTATATATATACCACTGTATTGAACTCCGTCTCACTACTGCTCATGATGATCACCTCTGAATCGGACTCCTCGGAATCTGTGGTGGCCTCCTTTCATTTTCATTCATTCATTTTCAAGCCCTTTATTGTCCATTTCTGGGTCAGGGGGGTGGCAATGAGAGCTGCCACCAACGCTCACAGCACCAGTCCCTCTGATCCTCTGCAGGGGGTGAGTCCACAGGAAGATGGCTGCTCTGTCAGCGGTGGCCTCCTGAGCTGTGAAATACCAGATCAGATATGGACAATTATATCAAATCAATGAACCAATACCAGAGTGCTCCTCCAAGTTGGCAATTAGTCTCGGGTTAACTCACAACAGGTCATGAAATCTTCAACTGTACAAATGTACACTGATGCGTTGGTACGTTTTCCCAACTGCCTCCTTGTAGTCTTTTACAGAGAATGGGGTGTTTGTTCCTGGTATATTTACTATCTTGGTACCAACAGGTAAGATTTTTGTTGAAGGCCTTCAATTTTTGCAGTGCCGCATTTTGCAATTCTTTGGCATCTGAGCTTGGTTTGAGTGAAAGGGAGTGTCATTCCTCTCATAGGACTCAAGAATCCATCTTTCAGTCGCATAAGGCCTACCGAAATCTACAGAGAAACAACAGAAGAAGGCTTCTGTAAAGCAGCCCCACTGACATTTATATTACACACTACGAACAAGCTCATTAACGTACAAACACAAAGGTTTTCTTTCAGCGGTTCTTTTTTCTTTTTGAAACTTAATTCCCTCTCCTTCTCTTTTGATATCGTGAAATTCCGGAATGACTCCAGTGCACCCTCTTCTTTTATGCCTCCTGCATCAAACAGAAGCAATCAACTCTTATTAAAGCGAATTTAAGAATAAATAAGAAATCTGAGACAGTTATAGAACACATATGTCTCAAGTTACATATAGCAAAATTGTAACATTACTCTGACTTGTGCTTGGTTTTTGGACATCACGCAGGAATGTCATATTCTTTCCACACGAACTACAGAATGTCGTTTCGGGGTTTATTCCCGAACCGCAAAAAGGACAATACATCGTAATCTGTAAAGTGGGACACTTTACAGATCATTAGTTTTCATTATTTACTGATCATGTCACGAAGGTCCAATGCACGTTGCTGCATTAAACTTTGTAACATTAGCGCACTGCCCAAGTCATGGATGGCAAGTTACAGCGGTACAAGTTGAACCTAACAATAGTGATTATTTATGCCAGTTAGAAAGTGACATCGACCATGGTTACAAAGCAAAGCAATATCTTACTATAACCAGTGATGGGAATAACGGCGTTACTAGTAACGGCGTTACTAACGTCGTTACTTTTTTTCAGTAACGAGTAATCTAACTAATTACTTTGACTGTAACTATAACACCGTTATCATTTCCGACATCCCGTTACTGCGCGTTACTCAAGAAGCACAATGAACTTCTCTTTTTACTTCGTGATAGGACTCGTGCGCGTGTTGTCATGAGAGAAGGGAGGATGAGAAAACCTCTCAGCAATTATTGGCTGATGTAAAACATATTTCTTTACAATCAACATGTCTACAGTTGAGAAGATGGCTCATAAATTGTGTTTTTGAAACAAATATGGGTCTTAGTCGCGCTCAACCACAGCTTCTATCACCGTGAGGTCAGCCACAGAGGAGCGCATGTGAGCGCAGAAGGCTGCATACAATTCCATCAGAAAGCTCCTTTCTCTTCCTGGTTTATCTGCTAAGGGCTGCTACAGGTTTGGCTAACATACAAATAACACATTTTAAAATAATTTAAAATGCACTTACGGTAATTTTTCAATTACTATAGGAATGATAAGAAAGAGAGATGAAGTGTAAGACGGTTGATTTTAGAAATTGGATGCACCCGGCTGCACCTAGCAAAACAGAGTAGTTTACGGAGGACACACGCGTTTTGTTTTACTTTTTAAAACTCATTTCCAAATGGAGGATTACATATCTACGCTCAAACTATTATCTGGACTTAAACACAGAACGGGTCTGAACTGAAGTGGCCTGTGCAGGTCATTTATAAGGTAAGACCCATAACTCATAGTTTTGCGTTTTGTATGAACAAACAATGCGGGCATGAAACATATTTTGCTGTAGCCAAACAAATTGTCCACTTGATTTATATGATATTGTAATAGTTCTGTGTTATCGGTTTACTACCACAGGGGGGCGCTCGGGTTATGAGAGAGTTTTCCAGAGGTGGGGGGTTTCCCCACGAGTTGACACGACGGCAGTGTGTGTTGAAAATGTGTGAGTTAAGCGTGAGCTGTGGCTAACAGCAGCTTGTTCGGTCACCTTGTCAATAAAAGCATCTTGAAGAGCACTGTTGGAGCATTCATTACCTGGGAGTATTACATTGGTGTCAGAAGTTCGAGATTCGTCCTCATCGCTTTGAAACTGAGAGTGAAGATGTTTCCCATGGACGGTGCGCGGCTACAGGTGAAGAAAGAGGCTGACGAGTGTTCTATTGAGATGCCAGCTTGCTCAGAGGTGCGGCCAGAGAACCTTATGTCCAGTTACCCGGACTTTTCCGATTCCCGGCGCTGGGATACAGCAGCGGGGGCACGCGAGCCGAGTCTGGATGTGAACAAAGATGGCGGCGCGCGTCCGCTCATTGCAACAGGCTCAATGACTCTGAAATTCTCGGGCAGTGGGAATCTGGAGGCGTATCTGGCCCAGTTTGAACTATTGGCTGCGGCAGCGGGCTGGTCGGGCCAGATGAAGGCAGTGCAATTGGCTTTATCCCTGACTGAAGAGGCGGCTGCCTGTTTGTTGCTTCTGTCTCCAGATGAGAGACAGGACTATGCTATGCTGGTGGGAGCTCTGCAGAGGCGTTTTGGAGTGCTCAATTTAAAAGACTCCCTGCGCTGTGAGTTCAAGAACCGAGTGAGGCGGCCGGGTGAGTCCCTTCGCTCTCTGGCGCATGAGATTGAGAGCCTGGGCAGACGTGCATATTCAACTTTGCCAAGTGTGATCCAGAGTGAGCTTGTGCGTGACCAGTTTGTGCATGCCCTGACCCCAGTTGAACTGCGGTTACACGTTCAGCTTATCCATCCGGTGTCGCTGAGCCAGGCGCTGGAGTTAGCTCTGGAGAGAGAGACTGCATTTGGTGCCTCAAAGTGTACTGAACTTATGGTCACTGCTGCAACTAAGGTGGAGCCCGAGTATAAACCCGCTTGGGCGGAGGAGCTGATCCATGCTGTGAAGAACCTCGCTGTGAGACCGAGAGGTGCAGACACGCAGTCCCCATCAAACCTTCCACCCTCCTGCTGGGGGTGTGGCAAGCCCGGCCACACTCTCCGTCGCTGCCCGGAGGCAAAAGGTCAACGGGGAAACGAGAGAGGGTCTGTGTAGCCCGGGAGACACAGGCCCTGTCCACCGTCGACCGGGAGCAGCTGTTCTTCCCTGAAGGGGGAGACAGCGTTACATTCCCTCATGCAGATGCTGTGGAGACAGTGGGCTGGACAGAGGTGGGTTTCCGTTGCTATATACCTGTGCTGATTTGGAATGTTTCCTGCCCAGCGCTTTGTGATACAGGATCTACAGCTACATTTGTGAGACCCGACGTTGTTCCCGCAGGGACAGTTTTGGAGTCAACTTCGGTAAAATTGCGAACGGTTACTGGACAGACGGTCGCCATGAAAGGGCGTGGGACTTTTGTTTTTGCTATTGGGGGCAATTGTGTGACATTCCAGGCCTGGGTCGCTGACGTTAAAGACCCATGTGTCCTGGGCGTGGACTTCCTCAGGTTTATTGGGTGTGTATTGGACTTGGGGGCAGGCATAATGGTTCTCCCTCAGGGGCGGGTTGTACAGCTTATTTCACCCCGCAGCAATGTTAGTCCAGTCTTGCCCACTTGCTGCACTTCTGTGCTCACTGATGCAGGTCCACCACTCAAGGCCAAAGACCGCATTCAGCACAGGCAGGGGCCACTGGCAGTTCAAAGTTCTAAGTTTTGGGCTTTGTAATACTCCGGGGACATTTGAGAGACTTATGGACTGTGTTCTAGCTAATGTTCCCCGACAGGAGTGCCTGGTGTATCTGGATGATGTCCTGGTCCATGGAAAGTCTTTCCGAGCGGCCCTAGACTCTCTGCGGTTGGTGCTTGGTAGGATTGCGACAGCCGGATTAAAGCTTCACCCGGATAAGTGCCACTTCATGCGGAGGGAGGTGGAGTTTCTGGGCCACAAAGTCGATGGTGAGGGCATTGGCACGCTCCAGGAAAAGATCCAGGCTATCAGAGACTGGCCCTCCCCAGGAAATCAGAAGCAGCTCAAAAGTTTCTTGGGGCTGGCCTCTTATTATAGAAGGTTTGTTAGGGGGTTTTCCTGTATTGGGGCTCCTCTATTTCGCCTCCTCCAGAAAAATCATTCTTTCACCTGGACAGCTGACTGCCAGGAATCATTCATTACTCTCAAACAGGCCCTGATTAATGCACCTGTTCTCACCCCACCAGACCCCACGTTGCCTTTCACACTTGACACTGATGCTAGTGATGCTGGAGTGGGGGCTGTGCTGTCACAGACCGGCCCTGAAGGTGAACGCGTTGTAGCCTATTTTAGCCGGTTGTTTAACAAAAGTGAGAGGCGCTACTGTGTAACAAGACGTGAACTGTTAGCTGTAGTGTTAGCTGTCCGGCATTTTAAATATTACTTGTGTGTGTGCCATTCACTGTCAGAACAGACCATGCAGCTTTGCGGTGGTTGATGTCTTTCAGGGAACCAGAGGGCCAGGTGGCGCGCTGGCTGGAGGAGCTGCAGTTGTTTCACTTCGAGATTGTGCATCGCCCTGGAACACAACATGCTAATGCTGACGCCCTGTCTCGGCGTCCGTGTGCATCAACCGGGTGTGGCTACTGTGACCGGAGAGATGCCAGAGAGGAGGAACTGCGAGGGGAGGCTGCCGTGGCTGAGCCCGCTTGCTGCTCTGTAGAGGTAGAGGGTAGTCCTGATTGGGCCTCTGAACAAGGAAAGGACAGTGACTTGCGCCCAGTGCGCCAGTGGGTAATTAGGGGTGAGAGACCCTCCTGGGAGGGTGTTATGGGGCTTTCAGTGGCTACTAAGAGCCTATGGAGTAAGTTCAAAACACTTCGCGTTTTGGAGGGAGTACTACAGCGGGGATGGAAGGAACCAGCGACTGGGGAGGAGAGGTGGCAAATTGTGGTGCCCAAGGCCCTGAGAGATGGTGTGCTGGGGGCATGTCATGGGGGGGCTGGCTCGGGTCATTTTGGGACAACTAAGACACTGTATCGCTTGCGTCAGGAATATTATTGGGGCCAGCACCGTCGTGATGTCGAGGACTTTTGTCGTCGGTGTGATGAGTGTGCTGCCTACAAGGGGCCTCAGGACCAGTCCCATGCCCCCCTGCAGCAACAAGCAGTTGGTGCGCCCATGGAGAGGGTAGCTGTAGACATTATGGGCCCTTTCCCAGTCTCAGATCAGGGAAATAAATATGTGATGTGTGCAATGGACTATTTCACAAAGTGGCCCGAGGCCTATGCCCTGCCAGACCAGGAAGCAGAGACAGTGGCAGATACACTGCTGGAGGGCATGTTCAGCCGTTTTGGTACCCCAGACATCATTCATAGTGACCAGGGCAGAAATTTTGAGTCACGTGTCTTTGCAGCCCTCTGTGACCGGCTGAACTTGCAGAAAACCTGTACCACACCATTGCATCCACAGAGCGACGGCTTAGTGGAGCGTTTAAACCGCACTATGCAGCAGCAATTGGCAATCCTCACTGCAGCTCACCAGCGTGACTGGGATAAACACATTCCCCTTGTTCTGATGGCCTATCGATCTGCTGTTCAGAACTCCACTAACTGTACCCCGGCTCTGTTGATGCTGGGCAGAGAGATACGGACTCCGGCAGCTTTGGCTTATGGACGTCCCCCAGGGGATCTGGAGGACGTGCCGGGACCAGAGTATGCCAGAAAACTACAAGATAGAATGGAGTCGGCTCATGCTTTTGCTCGAGACCAGTTGGAAAAAGCTGGTATGAGACAGAAAAGGAACTATGATGTGAGAAGTAAAGGTAAAGACTTCAGTACTGGGGACTTAGTTTGGGTTTACACTCCGAAAAGAAAGAAAGGACGCTGCCCTAAACTAGATAGCCACTGGGATGGTCCTTGTCGTGTGTTAGAGCAGGTGGGGGAGGTGGTCTACAGAGTACAGGTTCCCCCTCGAGGCAGGAAGGTAGTTCTTCACCGGGACAGGCTCGCACCATACAGGGGTCAGACAGTACCTTAATTTGAACAGCGGCTATGCCCACAAAGCAGCCCAAGGCATTTAGCTAGCCAGAATCCCTCTTTCTCTTCCTCTAATGCTCCATCCCAGCCACCAGCTGTGGCAGGAACTATCTGTGGGTCCAGTCCCGTCAGAACACGGAGAATCCGGCATAGACCCCCACGTTTTGCTGATTTTGTTATGTCCCCTTGAGGGCAAGGGACTTTTAAAGGGGGGAGCTGTGTAATAGTTCTGTGTTATCGGTTTACTACCACAGGGGGGCGCTCGGGTTATGAGAGAGTTTTCCAGAGGTGGGGGGTTTCCCCACGAGTTGACACGACGGCAGTGTGTGTTGAAAATGTGTGAGTTAAGCGTGAGCTGTGGCTAACAGCAGCTTGTTCGGTCACCTTGTCAATAAAAGCATCTTGAAGAGCACTGTTGGAGCATTCATTACCTGGGAGTATTACAATATATATGTTCATCTGATTGGTCTGAAGTCAGTGCTTCACCGGTGTTTCCACATTCACAGTGGCGGGTGTTGGTGTTTAGTGCTTACAGCACAGAGAGAGATGGAGAGTGAGGAAGACTTCAGCAGCAAAACAGCCTTTTCTAGATGGAAATATTGGCACTATTTCAGACTCACTGAGGTTAAAGTGGTTCTCACCCCCGCTCCTCGGAGCTTACGTTACTCACATTTCCTGTTCAAATCTTCCTCTAAATGGGCGTAGCCTGGAGGACTAAAGGGGGCGTGAACGAGACTGGGCCGTTTACATTGCTCTGGGCGGGGGGCTGCAGACGTCAGGTCTTGCTTCAGACGTCAGGTCCAACTTCTGTGCCAGTGTTGGCGCCAGATTCAAAATTCAAATGTAGTAATACAGGTCGCCAGCAGATGGCGCCTCACAGACGGTTTTAGGCAGAAAGTCTAACTTTCAACTAATTTGCACCAAAGTGACAAGATTATGACCAGGATATGTAGACAACACTATTGGACACTCATTTATACCGTTTATCAGCAAAAAAAAGTGGATTTGAGGGTGAGTTGTCCTTTAAAGGTAAAAATGCGCACCTCGAGTGCACATTATGTTCCAGAACAAAACGAAAAAGTAACGCAATAGTTACTTTTACTGGTAACTAGTTACTTTTATAGTGGAGTAACTCCGTTAGTAACTCAGTTACTTTTTGGGAGAAGTAACTAGTAACTATAACTAATTACTTTTTCAAAGTAAAGTGCCCAACACTGACTATAACTTACTTTTCCAACTTCAAATCCTCTTCCACTAGCGTCCATAACATGCCGGTCCGTCGACTATTGCAGTCCTACGGTCACTTCCGTTTTCTCCGGTCACTTCCATTGTGACTTTCGTTAAGTTGTTGTGTATCATACACATTATTATCACACATGTGATTGTTGTGTATCATACACATTAATATCACACATGTGATTGTTGTGTATCACACACATTAATATCACACATGTGATTGTTGTGTATCACACACATTAATATCACACATGTGATTGTTGTGTATCATACACATTAATATCACACATGTGATTGTTGTGTATCATACACATTAATATCACACATGTGATTGTTGTGTATCACACACATTAATATCACACATGTGATTGTTGTGTATCACACACATTAATATCACACACATGTGATTGTTGTGTATCACACACATTAATATCACACATGTGATTGTTGTGTATCACACACATTAATATCACACACATGTGATTGTTGTGTATCATACACATTAATATCACACATGTGATTGTTGTGTATCACACACATTAATATCACACATGTGATTGTTGTGTATCATACACATTAATATCACACATGTGATTGTTGTGTATCACACACATTAATATCACACATGTGATTGTTGTGTATCACACACATTAATATCACACATGTGATTGTTGTGTATCACACACATTAATATCACACATGTGATTGTTGTGTATCACACACATTAATATCACACATGTGATTGTTGTGTATCATACACATTAATATCACACATGTGATTGTTGTGTATCACACACATTAATATCACACATGTGATTGTTGTGTATCACACACATTAATATCACACATGTGATTGTTGTGTATCACACACATTAATATCACACATGTGATTGTTGTGTATCACACACATTAATATCACACATGTGATTGTTGTGTATCATACACATTAATATCACACATGTGATTGTTGTGTATCACACACATTAATATCACACATGTGATTGTTGTGTATCATACACATTAATATCACACATGTGATTGTTGTGTATCACACACATTAATATCACACATGTGATTGTTGTGTATCATATGTGTGTATCACATGTGCAGAGGACTGAGTGTGAAACATGAAGAAAAGCCTGATATAGGACCTTTAAGTTTAGGGTTAAGGGTTTGGGTTATTTTATGGGAATGTCTGGTTAAGTTTAGGCATTAATAGGCTATAAAGAAGACATTTAATTGCTGGTTGGGAAGAGATCTTTCTATTAATGGTCGAGTTTTGTTAAGCAAGGCAGAAGGAATGTCCAGAGCCTCTTACATATTCTCAACACTAGATGTCTCCAAAACGCTCTGCTCTAATCTTGATAAAATCTTATTCAAATTCCTGTGGAAAAACAAAGCTCATAAATTAAAACAAACAGTTCTCACCAATTCTTTAGCTGAAGGTGGATTGGACGTCTTAACTTTTACTGCTTTAAATCAGATTTTGAAAATTAATTGGATAAAACGATTTTAAAAAAATCCAAATTGTTTATGGAATATCTTCCCAAATTATTTTTTTGGAACGTTGGGAGGCCTGAATTTTCTTCTGCATTGTCCCTTTGCTGTTGGAAAACTTCCTGTGAAATTAGCCAAGTTTCACCAACAGGTTTTACTGTACTGGTCTTTACTTTACAAACACAACTATTCTCCTCACAATTGTATTTTATGGAACAATGCTTACATCCTGCATCGAAGGAAATCCTTATGGTGATTTTTATGAGTATAAGGTTTTCATAGAAAAGTATGATGATCAAATACCTGAGCATGAGTTTGATGTGGTTGTAAAGTCAATACCTCAAAGTATAAGAACATTAGCGCAAAGTATTCATTTTATTGACTCACATTTCACGGATGTTTCCATTTTAGGTGTAAGCTTACAAGATAAAAAGTGCACAAACAAATATATTAGGGATAGTCTTATACAATTGGCCAATCCAGTATGTAAACATAGGTGGGGTTCATTTAACCGAAAATATTGGAATCAGGTTTTTTTGTTGCCCTACAAATATATAATCACAAATAAAGTCAAGGAATGTTTATTTAAAATTGTACACAGATATTACCCTGTAAAAGACAATATTTGTCGTTTTTTACCTAATCTAAGTAACCAATGTTCCTTTTGTCAATGTGATGGTGAAAGTATTGAACACTTATTTGTTGAATGTCCTATTATAGTTCGATTTTGGTCCAATGTGCAACACTATTTGGCTGGAATATTCCATAAAAATGTTAATATTTCCAAATTTCAAATTTTACTAATATTTAATGATAAAAAATTCTCCTCTGATGAAATTTACATTATAAATCTAATACTGATCTTAGGAAAGTACTACATCCATAAAACTAAATTCTGTGAAAAAAAACCTTCCTTTTCTGCTTTTAAAGCTTCTGATCTGAAAACCTATCTAGCCTGTATTGAAAATTTAAAACTAAAAAATAAGAAATTAATTAGAACAATCACATTGATAAAATGTTTTAAAGTATTAGTCGATTAGCAGACCCCTGTATGTAATGTATGTATGTATTTTATTTTATTTGATCAATATTAGTGCATCAATGTGTCTACGTTGTTGAGAAATGTACTTGTTTCTTGCACACTTTGAATAAATAAAAAAAAAAACTGAAAAAAAAAAAACAAAAAGAGGTAGTTATATATTATATTTTCTTCCGCTTCCGTCCAGATTCCGTGACGTAATCTACTGCTGCGTTTGCTCATTGGATCAAACTGAATCCGGGAGTGACACTCCTCACTCATAGATCAAAATGCTCAAAAGTAGGCGTGGCTTAGATATATTTCACAATAAGACTCATTTCTCGTAGTGTTTCTGAGGAAGGTCAGATATAATAAAGGTAAAGTTAGACGTGTTGTTGCTGTTTCAAATACTGTCTGTGCCTCACAAACTGTTTCCCACAACACTGACCTGAGCAGCTGCAAGGTGCGCAGGTTAACCTGGAGCTGGGGTGGTGTTTCAGTTCACTAAACACTGACCTGAGCAGCTGCAAGGTGCGCAGGTTAACCTGGAGCTGGGGTGGTGTTTCAGTTCACTAAACACTGACCTGAGCAGCTGCAAGGTGCGCAGGTTAACCTGGAGCTGGGGTGGTGTTTCAGTTCACTAAACACTGACCTGAGCAGCTGCAAGGTGCGCAGGTTAACCTGGAGCTGGGACGGTGGTGTTTCAGTTCACTAAACACTGTTCTTTTTATTTTTATTATTTCCTTCAGTACAAAAAAAACAAGGTTCTCATCCAGTTAGTTGACAAACAGAATACAAACAGTTGAGATAACTTAAAGTCTGCCATAATGAGTGATACCAATCATATGTTTTTCTATTTTTTTTGGGAGTAGAAATAAAAATTCGGCGTGTAAAGCAAGACATTCTAAAAAAAACAAAAACAAACAGAACTTTGACAAGTGTGTTATTATCATGAATTACTTTGGTAAAGTATCCCCTCTCTTAGTTCAGATCAAGTCTGGTCCTCGGTCCTTCATGTACTGGACCCACCCGCTCCAGAACCCACCCGCTCCAGAACCCACCCGCTCCAGAACCCACCCGCTCCAGAACCCACCCGCTCCAGAACCCACCCCGCTCCAGAACCCACCCGCTCCAGAACCCACCCACTCCAGAACCCACCCTCCAGAACCCACCCCCGCTCCAGAACCCACCCGCTCCAGAACCCACCCGCTCCAGAACCCACCCGCTCCAGAACCCACCCGCTCCAGAACCCACCCGCTCCAGAACCCACCCCGCTCCAGAACCCACCCGCTCCAGAACCCACCCACTCCAGAACCCACCCGCTCCAGAACCCACCCGCTCCAGAACCCACCCGCTCCAGAACCCACCCCGCTCCAGAACCCACCCGCTCCAGAACCCACCCGCTCCAGAACCCACCCGCTCCAGAACCCACCCGCTCCAGAACCCACCCGCTCCAGAACCCACCCACTCCAGAACCCACCCGCTCCAGAACCCACCCGCTCCAGAACCCACCCGCTCCAGAACCCACCCGCTCCAGAACCCACCCATCCAGAACCCACCCGCTCCAGAACACACTGTTCTTCTGAAGTCGCAGAGACGTTGTCTCTCGTCACAAATATCTGTTGAACAGGAGGAAGAGGAGAGCCTCAAACAGGAGGAAGAGGAGAGCCTCAAACAGGAGGAAGAGGAGAGCCTCAAACAGGAGGAAGAAGAGGTGAGCATTAAACAGGAGGAAGAGGAGAGCCTCAAACAGGAGGAAGAAGAGGAGAGCCCCAAACAGGAGGAAGAGGAGAGCCCCAAACAGGAGGAAGAGGAGAGCCTCAAACAGGAGGAAGAGGAGGAGAGCCCCAAACAGGAGGAAGAGGAGAGCCCCAAACAGGAGGAAGAAGAGGTGAGCATTAAACAGGAGGAAGAAGAGGTGAGCATTAAACAGGAGGAAGAGTTGAGCATTAAACAGGAGGAAGAGCAGCTCCCAGAGTTCACTGCTGTGTGTGTGAAGAGTGAAGAACAAGCCCCGCTGATCCAAGATGGCGTCCTGTTCAAATGAATGGCTTGTGCTCAGTAGTTCATGGGACTTCATGGGGACCAGGAGATTAGAGGAACTCGTCCATATTTGGGCATCGTCTGGTCCTCCCGGTTCTGTGCAGTGGATGAACTCCCATGATGCTTTGGGCCAGATAGGTGTGTGGCTCTCATGCACGTGCACAGAGGGGCTCGGCCTCTGACCAATCAGAGCTGATCAGGGAGCACAGGGACTGGACTCCTGCTGGGACTCTGAGGAGCACAGGGACTGGCCTCCTGCTGGGACTCTGAGGAGCACAGGGACTGGACTCCTGCTGGGACTCTGAGGAGCACAGGGACTGGACTCCTGCTGGGACTCTGAGGAGCACAGGGACTGGACTCCTGCTGGGACTCTGAGGAGCACAGGGACTGGACTCCTGCTGGGACTCTGAGGAGCACAGGGACTGGACTCCTGCTGGGACTCTGAGGAGCACAGGGACTGGACTCCTGCTGGGACTCTGAGGAGCACAGGGACTGGCCTCCTGCTGGGACTCTGAGGAGCACAGGGACTGGCCTCCTGCTGGGACTCTGAGGAGCACAGGGACTGGACTCCTGCTGGGACTCTGAGGAGCACAGGGACTGGCCTCCTGCTGAGACTCTGAGGAGCACAGGGACTGGACTCCTGCTGGGACTCTGAGGAGCACAGGGACTGGACTCCTGCTGGGACTCTGAGGAGCACAGGGACTGGACTCCTGCTGGGACTCTGAGGAGCACAGGGACTGGACTCCTGCTGGGACTCTGAGGAGCACAGGGACTGGACTCCTGCTGGGACTCTGAGGAGCACAGGGACTGGCCTCCTGCTGGGACTCTGAGGAGCACAGGGACTGGCCTCCTGCTGGGACTCTGAGGAGCACAGGGACTGGACTCCTGCTGGGACTCTGAGGAGCACAGGGACTGGCCTCCTGCTGAGACTCTGAGGAGCACAGGGACTGGACTCCTGCTGGGACTCTGAGGAGCACAGGGACTGGACTCCTGCTGGGACTCAGAGGAGCACAGGGACTGGACTCCTGCTGGGACTCAGAGGAGCACAGGGACTGGACTCCTGCTGGGACTCTGAGGAGCACAGGGACTGGACACCTGCTGGGACTCTGAGGAGCACAGGGACTGGCCTCCTGCTGGGACTCTGAGGAGCACAAGGACTGGTCTCCTGCTGGTCCCAGAGTCAGGACTAGACATGTGGAAGCAGCATTTCAGATTGGTACAAAAATCTGGAACAGTCTTCCTGAACATGTGAGACAGACTTCTCTGACATTGTTTAAATCCAGGTTAAACTGTTCTGTTTCTGCAACAACTGAAGGATTTAATCTTTACTCTTTTTAATGTTTGCTTGTTGTATTAACTGTGCTATACAAATAAACATGCCTCGCCTTATGTATTTGTGTTCTTAATTTTTGTATCAGAATGATTAACAAACACACACTCATTCATAAACACACACACATTCATACATTCATAAACACACACATACAGTACAGAGCAAAAGTGTGGACACCCTCCTCCTTCACTGAGTTCTGTTCATGACTATTGCTGTAGACCCGCACCAGGCTGTGAAAGGGCCGGACCTGAACCCAGTCCAGATGGTTTTGGACCTGAACCCAGTCCAGATGGTTTTGGACCTGAACCCAGTCCAGATGGTTTTGGACCTGAACCCAGTCCAGATGGTTTTGGGGCCAACAAGTGCTAAGCATCATGGGAACTCCTTCCAGACTGTTGGAGACCATTTCAGGTCCTGTTGAAGCTCATCCAGAGAATGCCAAGAGTGAAGCAGTATCAGAGCAAAAGGTTCTACTTTGAAGAACCAGAATAAAACACATATTTACACTTGGTTCATACTTTTTTACTACGGACATAATTCACATGAGTTCATCATAGGTTTGATGCCCTCAGTGTCAGTCTACAGTTTTATAATCATGAAAATAACTCTTTGAATGAGGTGTCCAAACTTTTGGTCTGTTCTGTATGTATACAAACACACAGACACATATTTGAAGGATTGAAGACATTTTATTGTTGATACAAGTTGAAAATGACATGTAAAGTGTTAGAAGTGACATCACAACAGTCACGGGGGTCAGGGGTCGTTCTGTGTTAAGACCTAAATAACTAACGTGTAGCGAATCATGCTAACCATGTTTGTCACTACCCATAATGCACTTCCTGGGAGCCATTGCGCATTTGCTCGTGCATCTCTGTGAACTCTCTGTGCAGAGCGTCGTCACGGAGACCAAACTACAACAAAAACACAACAGGGTTCAGAGCACACCGTCTCCACCACACTAACCCTTAACCCCTAACCCCTAACAGGGACCACCGTCTCCACCACACTAACCCTTAACCCTTAACCCCTAACAGGGACCACCGTCTCCACCACACTAACCCTTAACCCCTAACCCCTAACAGGGACCACCGTCTCCACCACACTAACCCTTAACCCCTAACCCCTAACAGGGACCACCGTCTCCACCACACTAACCCTTAACCCCTAACCCCTAACAGGGACCACCGTCTCCACCACACTAACCCTTAACCCTTAACCCCTAACAGGGACCACCGTCTCCACCACACTAACCCTTAACCCTTAACCCCTAACAGGGACCACCGTCTCCACCACACTAACCCCTAACAGGGACCACCGTCTCCACCACACTAACCCTTAACCCCTAACCCCTAACAGGGACCACCGTCTCCACCACACTAACCCTTAACCCCTAACAGGGACCACCGTCTCCACCACACTAACCCTTAACCCTTAACCCCTAACAGGGACCACCGTCTCCACCACACTAACCCCTAACAGGGACCACCGTCTCCACCAAAATAACCCTTAACCCCTAACAGGGACCACCGTCTCCACCACACTAACCCTTAACCCTTAACCCCTAACAGGGACCACCGTCTCCACCACACTAACCCTTAACCCTTAACCCCTAACAGGGACCACCGTCTCCACCACACTAACCCTTAACCCCTAACCCCTAACAGGGACCACCGTCTCCACCACACTAACCCTTAACCCTTAACCCCTAACAGGGACCACCGTCTCCACCACACTAACCCTTAACCCCTAACAGGGACCACCGTCTCCACCACACTAACCCTTAACCCTTAACCCCTAACAGGGACCACCGTCTCCACCACACTAACCCTTAACCCTTAACCCCTAACAGGGACCACCGTCTCCACCACACTAACCCTTAACCCTTAACCCCTAACAGGGACCACCGTCTCCACCACACTAACCCTTAACCCTTAACCCCTAACAGGGACCACCGTCTCCACCACACTAACCCTTAACCCTTAACCCCTAACAGGGACCACCGTCTCCACCACACTAACCCTTAACCCTTAACCCCTAACAGGGACCACCGTCTCCACCACACTAACCCTTAACCCTTAACCCCTAACAGGGACCACCGTCTCCACCACACTAACCCTTAACCCTTAACCCCTAACAGGGACCACCGTCTCCACCACACTAACCCTTAACCCTTAACCCCTAACAGGGACCACCGTCTCCACACACCCTAACCCTTAAACCCTTACCCTAACAGGGACCACCGTCTCCACCACACTAACCTACCCCTAACAGGGACCACCGTCTCCACCACACTAACCCTTAACCCCTAACCCCTAACAGGGACCACCGTCTCCACCACACTAACCCTTAACCCCTAACCCCTAACAGGGACCACCGTCTCCACCACACTAACCCTTAACCCTTAACCCCTAACAGGGACCACCGTCTCCACCACACTAACCCTTAACCCCTAACAGGGACCACCGTCTCCACCACACTAACCCTTAACCCTTAACCCCTAACAGGGACCACCGTCTCCACCACACTAACCCTTAACCCCTAACAGGGACCACCGTCTCCACCACACTAACCCTTAACCCCTAACCCCTAACAGGGACCACCGTCTCCACCACACTAACCCTTAACCCTTAACCCCTAACAGGGACCACCGTCTCCACCACACTAACCCCTAACAGGGACCACCGTCTCCACCACACTAACCCTTAACCCTTAACCCCTAACAGGGACCACCGTCTCCACCACACTAACCCTTAACCCTTAACCCCTAACAGGGACCACCGTCTCCACCACACTAACCCTTAACCCCTAACCCCTAACCCTGACCCTGTTCTTTCAAACTCACCTTCTCTGAGTTTTTAAAACACTTCACAGCTTCTTTAAGTCGACCAGACTGAAACACAACAGAAGGTTTATGTCAGAGGCACACACACAGAGGCACACACACACACACACACACACACACACACACACACACACACACACACACACACACACACAGAGGCACACACACACACACACACACACACACACACACACACACACACACACACACACACACACACACACACACAGAGGCATACACAGGGACCCCTGGTAATTTGTGATAATCTCAGAGGACGTCTGAGATTTTAGTCCCGTGCGAATGCACCATGTCTGTAATTTGTAAATTATAATTCCACCGCAAATGACCTCCTGTATTTGTCCAAACAACTGTGAATCTGCAGGTCAGTGATTGTGATCGCTACTGCTGCTTTCTCTTGACTTTCTGCGTTGCTTTTGTCCATGAGCAGAGGAGTCACGTATCGCGGCTGTGTACACAGCTGCAGAGTCACAGCTGCTGCTGTCTCTGTGAGGTCTGTGTAATGTGTTCACTCTGTCCTAGTACAGAACAGACGATGCAGCCCTTACTGCAGCTGCTTGTTGGTTTGTGCGTACGTCAGCAGAGTGTGTGGTGCGTTCAAGGGGAGTCCGTACAAAAAGTATTGTTTAAACATTACAGAAAGTACAGGTCAGAGAACTGTAGAGCAGTAAAATCCACATGGTGTCTGTGGCTGCTGTGGTCAGACGTCAGACTTTATGAACTGCGTGAAGCGGAGAGACCCGCGCACGTGTGGCCGTTATGTCAGATGTCAGTGAAAATGACAGACATGCTTATCCTGTGTGAATGTGTGGCCGTTATGTCAGATGTCAGTGAAAATAACAGACATGTTTATCCTGTGTGAATGTGTGGCCGTTATGTCAGATGTCAGTGAAAATGACAGACATGCTTATCCTGTGTGAATGTGTGGCCGTTATGTCAGATGTCAGTGAAAATGACAGACATGCTTATCCTGTGTGAATGTGTGGCCGTTATGTCAGATGTCAGTGAAAATGACAGACATGCTTATCCTGTGTGAATGTGTGGCTGTTATGTCAGATGTCAGTGAAAATGACAGACATGCTTATCCTGTGTGAATGTGTGGCTGTTATGTCAGATGTCAGTGAAAATGACAGACATGCTTATCCTGTGTGAATGTGTGGCTGTTATGTCAGATGTCAGTGAAAATGACAGACATGCTTATCCTGTGTGAATGTGTGGCTGTTATGTCAGATGTCAGTGAAAATGACAGACATGCTTATCCTGTGTGAATGTGTGGCTGTTATGTCAGATGTCAGTGAAAATGACAGACATGCTTATCCTGTGTGAATGTGTGGCTGTTATGTCAGATGTCAGTGAAAATGACAGACATGCTTATCCTGTGTGAATGTGTGGCCGTTATGTCAGATGTCAGTGAAAATGACAGACATGCTTATCCTGTGTGAATGTGTGGCTGTTATGTCAGATGTCAGTGAAAATGACAGACATGCTTATCCTGTGTGAATGTGTGGCCGTTATGTCAGATGTCAGTGAAAATGACAGACATGCTTATCCTGTGTGAATGTGTGGCCGTTATGTCAGATGTCAGTGAAAATGACAGACATGCTTATCCTGTGTGAATGTGTGGCTGTTATGTCAGATGTCAGTGAAAATGACAGACATGCTTATCCTGTGTGAATGTGTGGCCGTTATGTCAGATGTCAGTGAAAATGACAGACATGCTTATCCTGTGTGAATGTGTGGCTGTTATGTCAGATGTCAGTGAAAATGACAGACATGCTTATCCTGTGTGAATGTGTGGCCGTTATGTCAGATGTCAGTGAAAATGACAGACATGCTTATCCTGTGTGAATGTGTGGCCGTTATGTCAGATGTCAGTGAAAATGACAGACATGCTTATCCTGTGTGAATGTGTGGCCGTTATGTCAGATGTCAGTGAAAATGACAGACATGCTTATCCTGTGTGAATGTGTGGCTGTTATGTCAGATGTCAGTGAAAATGACAGACATGCTTATCCTGTGTGAATGTGTGGCCGTTATGTCAGATGTCAGTGAAAATGACAGACATGCTTATCCTGTGTGAATGTGTGGCTGTTATGTCAGATGTCAGTGAAAATGACAGACATGCTTATCCTGTGTGAATGTGTGGCTGTTATGTCAGATGTCAGTGAAAATGACAGACATGCTTATCCTGTGTGAATGTGTGGCCGTTATGTCAGATGTCAGTGAAAATGACAGACATGCTTATCCTGTGTGAATGTGTGGCTGTTATGTCAGATGTCAGTGAAAATGACAGACATGCTTATCCTGTGTGAATGTGTGGCTGTTATGTCAGATGTCAGTGAAAATGACAGACATGCTTTCCTGTGTGAATGTGTGGCTGTTATGTCAGATGTCAGTGAAAATGACAGACATGCTTATCCTGTGTGAATGTGTGGCCGTTATGTCAGATGTCAGTGAAAATAACAGACATGCTTATCCTGTGTGAATGTGTGGCCGTTATGTCAGATGTCAGTGAAAATGACAGACATCTTATCCTGTGTGAATGTGTGGCCGTTATGTCAGATGTCAGTGAAAACGACAGACATGCTTATCCTGTGTGAATGTGTGGCTGTTATGTCAGATGTCAGTGAAAATGACAGACATGCTTATCCTGTGTGAATGTGTGGCCGTTATGTCAGATGTCAGTGAAAATGACAGACATGCTTATCCTGTGTGAATGTGTGGCTGTTATGTCAGATGTCAGTGAAAATGACAGACATGCTTATCCTGTGTGAATGTGTGGCTGTTATGTCAGATGTCAGTGAAAATGACAGACATGCTTATCCTGTGTGAATGTGTGGCCGTTATGTCAGATGTCAGTGAAAATGACAGACATGCTTATCCTGTGTGAATGTGTGGCCGTTATGTCAGATGTCAGTGAAAATGACAGACATGCTTATCCTGTGTGAATGTGTGGCTGTTATGTCAGATGTCAGTGAAAATGACAGACATGCTTATCCTGTGTGAATGCACCGTCAGATCACAGACCCGGTAAGGTAATATCCCGTCCGAATAGGGCTTTAGTCTCTTGTAGCCAAACTTCACCATGAGCACTTCTCTATTGGGCATCATTGAGCTAGCTGGTTAGCATTGAGCTAGCGGGTTAGCATTGAGCTAGCAGGTAGGCCCTCATTGAGACTCACCTTGAGGCAGATGAGGGAGCGGTGGGCCCACACTGAGGCACTCTGAGGATCCAGAACGTTGGCCTCAGTCAGGGTAGATTCAGCCAGAGCCAGCTCCCCTAACTACAGACACAACACCCATGTACAGACAGACAGAGGTTCTGACCCGGTAAACATGTACATCACTGTGTGTGGGAATGAGCACAGAGGTTCTGACCCGGTAACATGTAAGTCAGTGTGTGTGGGAATGATCACAGACAGAGGTTCTGACCCGGTAACAGTAAGTCACAGTGTGTGGTGGGAATGAGCACAGACAGAGGTTCTGACCCGGTAACATGTAAGTCACTGTGTGGGAATGATCCCAGACAGAGGTTCTGACCCGGTAACAGTAAGTCAGTGTGTGTGGGAATGATCACAGACAGAGGTTCTGACCCGGTAACAGTAAGTCACAGTGTGTGGTGGGAATGAGCACAGACAGAGGTTCTGACCCGGTATCATGTAAGTCACCGTGTGTGGTGGGAATGAGCACAGACAGAGGTTCTGACCCGGTAACATGTAAGTCAGTGTGTGTGGGAATGATCACAGACAGAGGTTCTGACCCGGTAACAGTAAGTCACAGTGTGTGGTGGGAATGAGCACAGACAGAGGTTCTGACCCGGTAACATGTAAGTCACTGTGTGTGGTGGGAATGAGCACAGACAGAGGTTCTGACCCGGTAACATGTAAGTCACTGTGTGGGAATGATCCCAGACAGAGGTTCTGACCCGGTAACAGTAAGTCAGTGTGTGTGGCAATGAGCACAGACAGAGGTTCTGACCCGGTAACATGTAAGTCAGTGTGTGTGGGAATGAGCACAGACAGAGGTTCTGACCCGGTAACATGTAAGTCACCGTGTGTGGTGGGAATGAGCACAGACAGAGGTTCTGACCCGGTAACATGTAAGTCAGTGTGTGTGGGAATGATCACAGACAGAGGTTCTGACCCGGTAACAGTAAGTCACAGTGTGTGGTGGGAATGAGCACAGACAGAGGTTCTGACCCGGTAACATGTAAGTCACTGTGTGTGGTGGGAATGAGCACAGACAGAGGTTCTGACCCGGTAACATGTAAGTCACTGTGTGTGGTGGGAATGAGCACAGACAGAGGTTCTGACCCGGTAACATGTAAGTCACTGTGTGGGAATGATCCCAGACAGAGGTTCTGACCCGGTAACAGTAAGTCAGTGTGTGTGGGAATGAGCACAGACAGAGGTTCTGACCCGGTAACATGTAAGTCAGTGTGTGTGGGAATGAGCACAGACAGAGGTTCTGACTCGGTAACATGTAAGTCAGTGTGTGTGGGAATGAGCACAGACAGAGGTTCTGACCCGGTAACATGTAAGTCACTGTGCGTGGGAATGAGCACAGACAGAGGTTCTGATCCGGTAACATGTAAGTCACTGTGTGGGAATGATCCCAGACAGAGGTTCTGTCCCGGTAACAGTAAGTCAGTGTGTGTGGGAATGAGCACAGACAGAGGTTCTGACCCGGTAACATGTAAGTCAGTGTGTGTGGGAATGAGCACAGACAGAGGTTCTGACCCGGTAACATGTAAGTCACTGTGTGTGGTGGGAATGAGCACAGACAGAGGTTCTGACCCGGTAACATGTAAGTCACTGTGCGTGGGAATGAGCAGAGACAGAGGTTCTGACCCGGTAACATGTAAGTCACTGTGTGTGGTGGGAATGAGCACAGACAGAGGTTCTGACCCGGTAACATGTAAGCCACTGTGTGTGGGAATGAGCACAGACAGAGGTTCTGACCCGGTAACAGTAAGTCACTGTGTGTGGGAATGAGCACAGACAGAGGTTCTGACCCGGTAACAGTAAGTCAGTGTGTGTGGGAATGAGCACAGACAGAGGTTCTGACCCGGTAACATGTAAGTCACTGTGTGTGGTGGGAATGAGCACAGACAGAGGTTCTGACCCGGTAACAGTAAGTCACTGTGTGTGGGAATGAGCACAGACAGAGGTTCTGACCCGGTAACATGTAAGTCACTGTGCGTGGGAATGAGCACAGACAGAGGTTCTGACCCGGTAACATGTAAGTCACTGTGTGTGGTGGGAATGAGCACAGACAGAGGTTCTGACCCGGTAACATGTAAGCCACTGTGTGTGTGGGAATGAGCACAGACAGAGGTTCTGACCCGGTAACAGTAAGTCACTGTGCGTGGGAATGAGCACAGACAGAGGTTCTGACCCGGTAAACAGTAAGTCACTGTGTGTGGGAATGAGCACAGACAGAGGTTCTGACCCAGTAACAGTAAGTCAGTGTGTGTGGGAATGAGCACAGACAGAGGTTCTGACCCGGTAACAGTAAGTCAGTGTGTGTGGGAATGAGCACAGACAGAGGTTCTGACCCGGTAACAGTAAGTCACTGTGTGTGGGAATGAGCACAGACAGAGGTTCTGACCCGGTAACATGTAAGTCACTGTGCGTGGGAATGAGCACAGACAGAGGTTCTGACCCGGTAACATGTAAGTCACTGTGCGTGGTGGGAATGAGTACAGACAGAGGTTCTGACCCGGTAACATGTAAGTCAGTGTGTGGGAATGAGCACAGAGGTTCTGACCCGGTAACATGTAAGTCACTGTGTGTGGTGGGAATGAGCACAGACAGAGGTTCTGACCCGGTAACATGTAAGTCACTGTGTGGGAACGATCCCAGACAGAGGTTCTGACCCGGTAACAGTAAGTCAGTGTGTGTGGGAATGAGCACAGACAGAGGTTCTGACCCGGTAACATGTAAGTCAGTGTGTGTGGGAATGAGCACAGACAGAGGTTCTGACCCGGTAACATGTAAGTCACTGTGTGTGGTGGGAATGAGCACAGACAGAGGTTCTGACCCGGTAACATGTAAGTCAGTGTGTGTGGGAATGAGCACAGACAGAGGTTCTGACCCGGTAACATGTAAGTCACTGTGCGTGGGAATGAGCACAGACAGAGGTTCTGACCCGGTAACATGTAAGTCACTGTGCGTGGGAATGAGCAGAGACAGAGGTTCTGACCCGGTAACATGTAAGTCACTGTGTGTGGTGGGAATGAGTACAGACAGAGGTTCTGACCCGGTAACATGTAAGTCACTGTGTGTGGTGGGAATGAGCACAGACAGAGGTTCTGACCCGGTAACATGTAAGTCACTGTGTGGGAATGATCCCAGACAGAGGTTCTGACCCGGTAACAGTAAGTCAGTGTGTGTGGGAATGAGCACAGACAGAGGTTCTGACCCGGTAACATGTAAGTCAGTGTGTGTGGGAATGATCACAGACAGAGGTTCTGACCCGGTAACAGTAAGTCACAGTGTGTGGTGGGAATGAGCACAGACAGAGGTTCTGACCCGGTAACATGTAAGTCACTGTGTGTGGTGGGAATGAGCACAGACAGAGGTTCTGACCCGGTAACATGTAAGTCACTGTGTGTGAATGATCCCAGACAGAGGTTCTGACCCGGTAACATGTAAGTCACTGTGTGGGAATGATCCCAGACAGAGGTTCTGACCCGGTAACAGTAAGTCAATGTGTGTGGGAATGAGCACAGACAGAGGTTCTGACCCGGTAACAGTAAGTCAGTGTGTGTGGGAATGAGCACAGACAGAGGTTCTGACCCGGTAACATGTAAGTCAGTGTGTGTGGGAATGAGCACAGACAGAGGTTCTGACCCGGTAACATGTAAGTCACTGTGTGTGGTGGGAATGAGCACAGACAGAGGTTCTGACCCGGTAACATGTAAGTCACTGTGCGTGGGAATGAGCACAGACAGAGGTTCTGACCCGGTAACATGTAAGTCACTGTGCGTGGGAATGAGCAGAGACAGAGGTTCTGACCGGTAACATGTAAGTCACTGTGTGTGGTGGGAATGAGCACAGACAGAGGTTCTGACCCGGTAACATGTAAGCCACTGTGTGTGGGAATGAGCACAGACAGAGGTTCTGACCCGGTAACAGGCGACTCCCAGACCCAGCCAGGACAGGGGGGAGGGGTTCTGCTCACAGGCCTCCAGGAAAACCTGTGCACCTTGTTCAAACTGGACACACACAATTCCATCGTCAGGACATGCAACAGCAACAAGTAATGTACACTATAGGAGTGTGTGTCTGTGTGTGAGTGTGTCTGTGTGTGTGTGTGTGTCTGTGTGTGAGTGTGTCTGTGTGTGTGTGTGTGTGTCTGTGTGTGAGTGTGTCTGTGTGTGTGTGTGTGTGTCTGTGTGTGTGTCTGTGTGTGTATGTGTCTGTGTGTGTGTGTGTCTGTGTGTGTGTGTCTGTGTGTGTGTGTGTGTGTGTGTGTGAGTGTGTCTGTGTGTGTGTGTGTGTGTGTGTGTGGGTGTGAGTGTGTCTGTGTGTGTGTGTGTGTGTGAGTGTGTGTGTGGGTGTGAGTGTGTCTGTGTGTGTGTGTCTGTGTGTGTGTGTGTGAGTGTGTCTGTGTGTGTCTGTGTGTGTGTGTGTGTGTGAGTGTGAGTGTGTGTGTGTCTGTGTGTGCACTTGTTTTCAACTCCTGGTGGGTTCCATAACCTGAGATTCCACTCACGTCATGGGGACTGGTTTTACGTGGTGGGGCCCGAACACCGGACCCCACTGGTCCAAGCTTAATAATCAATGGGTAATGCTTTTCTAACGGTCCTTATGCAGTCTCTGTAAAAATATGGAAAGGACCCCTGGAGGTTTACTTTCCTGAAAAAAGTGTGTTATGTGTCGGAACCCTGGTGGTGGGTTGCGGAATATCAAGGAGGGGCACACTGGGGCAATTTCAGTCCAGCAGGCTGGAGCCAATCATGGAGCAGCACAACAGAGGCTGGAGCCAATCATGGAGCAGCACAACAGAGGCTGGAGCCAATCATGGAGCAGCACAACAGAGGCTGGAGCCAATCATGGAGCAGCACAACAGAGGCTGGAGCCAATCATGGAGCAGCACAACAGAGGCTGGAGCCAATCATGGAGCAGCACAACAGAGGCTGGAGCCAATCACAGAGCAGCACAACAGAGGCTGCAGCCAATCACGGAACAGCACACTGAAGCGCACGCTTACAAACCACTGGTAAGTGCTGACTACAAGTCATGACTTCAAATTGTTATATAGAATTATTACAAATTATTTGTTGTTTGTGCAGCTTAGTCAAGAGTCCCTAATTGATGAAGTCGACTCAGATTCTGACGATTTAACTGTCAAGAAGAAACCTGTAAAAAAGTATGGAAAAAGAAAAATCAAAAACACTTTTCTTCAAGACTCGGAAAGTGACGAACCAAAGGCAAATAAGATTGTTATCATGCAGCTGCAAAAGAAGAAAAATGGGGGGCGAGTATACAGCAAGAGACACTTCTGCCTCTACTGTTCAATGTCCTGCCACAAAATGTCCCGTCATTTGACTAGAAAACATGGAAATGAAAGTGACGTAGCCAGAGCATTGGCTCTACCTGTGAAATCTAAAGCACGTAAACTTCACTTTGATTTGATCAGGAATAGTGGAAACCGTGAGCACAATGTTGAGGTTTTAAAGGCCGGCATTGGAACTTTAGTCCCAGCTAAACAGCCAAATTCCCCAGTTAAATCCAGTGAGTTTTTGCACTGTATAGACTGTGGGGCATTGCTTAAGCGAAAGTGGCTGTGGAGGCATGTGGCCAGGTGCCGGCTTTCACAGAAAGATGCCCAGGCTAAACCAGGCTAAACCAGGCTAAACCAGGTAGAAGTAGGGTCCAGTCCCTCTGCTCCCTAGCCCAGCCTGTACCGGAGGGCATCAGCAAAAAGCTGTGGTCTTTAATTTGGGCAATGCATCAGGATGAGGTCACGGGTGTTGTCAAAGCAGAAAAGGGGATTCTGAGACTCGGAGAGCACCTGTACTTAAAACACGGGCATGATAAGACTAAGCATGATTACATTAGGCAGAAAATGAGAGAACTCGGTAGGTTAATTAACGAAGCAAAAACCGCAGGGAAAGTGAAAACAATGAAGGATTTCTTTATTCCTTCCAACTTTAACCATGTGATTGATGCAGTCAGGTCTGTGGCTGGATATGATGAGGAAACAAATCAATACAAGACTCCATCCTTGGCCCTCAAACTCGGCCATAGCCTCAGAAAGCTAGCAGATATTCTTGAATGTGACTCAAAAATGGAGCATTGTGTTGATGAACTATTTATTAAAAACCTCCAACGAAGCCGGCTGCTTTTTGAGAAGAGGTGGGACGTCTGTGTTTCTTCTGCTGCCCTACAGACCCTCCGGCAAGCCAAGTGGAACACTCCGGACCTGCTCCCTCTGACTGAGGACGTTAGAGCCATGCATGCACATATTGAGGTATGTCGACCTGAATATGTGCAAACCCTAATAAGTGAGCCAACGTCTAAGCATTGGTCTAAACTGGCAGTTTTGACTCTTTGTGAGGTCATCATTTTCAATCGAAGAAGGGAAGGTGAGGTTTCAAAGATGCCACTGACAGCCTTTACCTTAAGAAGTAAGACTGGGATCCATTCTGACATTGCTCTGGGACTGTCCCAACTTGAGAAAAAGCTGTGTCAGCATTTTCAACGCATTGAAATGAAAGGGAAAAGAAGTGGGAAAGTGGTGGTTCTTTTGACTCCTGAAATGATTGCTTGGATGGAGGTGCTGGTGGAGAACAGAAGGGCCTGTTCCATCTCTGACCATAACCCATACTTCTTTTCCCGCCCGGGCGCAGACACCCACATCAGGGGATCAGACTCCCTACGCCAGGTAGCCAAAGAATGTGGTGCGGTGCATCCAGAGATGCTATCCTCAACCAAACTTAGAAAGCACATAGCTACTATGTCTACAGTTCTCAATATGAAAGAGAATGAAATGGACATACTAGCCAACTTCCTCGGCCATGACATTCGCATCCACAGGCAATATTACAGACTACCAGAGGGGACACTGGAGCTGGCCAAAATCAGCAAAGTGTTAATGGCCATGGAGCAGGGAAGAGTGACGGAATTCAAAGGAAAGAGCCTCGACCAGATACAAATTGAGCCTGAAGGTAATTCTTGATATTATTAAAATATGTATGATTTTTTTCCCCTAAAGGCCACTTGTATTTTTATTTTCTGTGCGACAGGGAGAGCAGTAGAGATCCTCTCACAAACGGACGGGCTAAAAGAAACTTCAAGCGGAGAACCTTCAACCATTCATCCAGATGCACCCCATGGTAGTGGCAGTGCCCCTTCTGGTAAGTGTACCAGGTGGGGGATTACAGCCAGGCTGCTTGGTCCTAACCCTGGGAGTGTATATTGCTAATATATTTTTATTTCTCTCCCTAGAACGTTAGAGAAAGCCATGGTCTGCATCTGAGGTGAAGGCTGTGGAGAAGACCATGACACCTTTCATACAGACTGGAAAGGTCCCTGGGAAGTCTCACTGCCTGGCCTGCATTAATGCCTCACCAGATGACCATAGACATCGGACATGGAGTGGCATTAAATTCTATGTCAAAAATAGAATCACTGAATTTCGAAGAAAAATGTTAAAATAAAATCTTGTAAAAGAGTTGTTTGTTTTTTGTATTGACTGTTTTGTATTACTTAAAGTGGTCCTAGTAAGAAAATCAGTGCAGAGTCATTCTAAAATAAAGCAAGATTTTGAGTTAAAACCATGGCTATGGGTCCCATATGGAACGGCTTAGGGGCCCACCAGGTAACAAAAACGTGTCTGTGTGTTGTGAGACCTGTCTGTTCTGAAGGTAGATGGAGCCGAGCCGGAGCCGGACCAGCTGTTGAGGCTGAGGCTGGAGACTCAGGCTGCGCTCGTAGCTGTGCTGAGCAGCGCTGATGGAGCCCTGCAGGAACAGGCAGTGTCCTTTCAGAGCCCAGGCCTCAGCGCTCTGCACAGAACAAACACAACACAGGGGTTTAACACATGACGCACAACACACTGTAAAGAGACGCACAAGACTGAAAACGGATTATGAAGGCAAAGGAAGGTTTCTCACCATCTGTTTTCACAACATTCGTCCTTAATCCAAATAACTTTTTCAAGGGAATAAAATCTCAGACCGCGCATTGGAGATTTATAACCTATGGGTGTGGTAAGTGGTTAGCTACACCCTAATCCTGATGCTAGCTCATAAGATGTGGAAGGGAGTAGGTCTAACGACCCTGTTGTGGCTAACGATCATAACTCATTAGCATGTCACAGGCCTATAGGGCTAACGATCCTATTCCAAGCTCTGTGTGGTTCATGGTGTGGTTCATGGTGTGGTTGGTGGTGTGGTTCATGGTGTGGTTGGTGGTGTGGTTCATGGTGTGGTTCATGGTGTGGTTGGTGGTGTGGTTCATGGTGTGGTTCATGGTGTGGTTCATGGTGTGGTTCATGGTGTGGTTCATGGTGTGGTTGGAGGCCTTGAGGTGCAGATGAACAGCTGACTGTGGCCCACTAGAGTTTTCTCTACGATGTTGGTAAAGTCGTTTCTGTAGAGTTTGTTTGGTTTCTCCAATATAGTGGTCAGTGCACTCCTCTTCACTACATTTAATTGAATACACCACATTGCTCTGTTTGTGTCTGGGTGTTTTGTCTTTGGGATGCACTAATTTCTGTCTTAACGTGTTGAAAGGTTTGAAATACACAGGGATTTTGTGTTGCCTAAAGATTCTTTGTAGTTTCTCTGAAACTCATACGGTAAGGACACCCCTCTTCTTCTACTTTCTTCTGTCTGTAGGACTGTGTCTCTGGCCTTTCTCGTCCTTTGGGCTTTAGTAAAAGACCACTTGGGGTAGCCACATCTGGAAAGTGCTCTCTGAACATGTTTGGTTTCTCTGTCCTTTCCCTACGAGGTTGTGGGGACCTGGTGGGGACCTGGTGGGGACCTGGTGAGGACCTGGTGGGGACCTGGTGGGGACCTGGTGAGGACCTGGTGGGGACCTGGTGGGCTCGGTGTTGGAGAGTTCTAATGACCCAGAGTTTGTGTTGTAGCGGATGATTTGAACCAAAGGCCAAGTGTGAGTGGACTTTCTGAAGACCTCTTCAGAAAGTCATTACATACTGTAATTGTATGTTCTCCAATTTTATAAAAGAGCTAGCTTACATCGTATCCTCTGGAGAGACTTGTCTATGGGAGAGACCTGTGGGACCGCCTCGGGCTATCTGCACTCGGACTATCTACGCTTGGACTACATTTGGACGTGGAACTAGCGGTAATCTTTCAGTTATATATTTTGTTAGCAGTGAGTTGCTTTTGTACCATTTCATCAGTGATTGTTGTACAGCTTAAGTTGTGCTAATGCTAATGTTAGCATATGTATCAGATCACAAATAAAACTAGATGGCTCCGTGGGAGGACAGCGTAGGGAAAATGAGAAGCCTGTGAGCGAGCTGGGGGCGGGGCTAAACATTCAAACAGAAAAAACCTGCAGAAACAGGTATAGGTCCTTTAAGGACGACACATCGGGAAAACCTGCAAAGAAGTACAGATGATGGTGAGAAACCTTCCTTAGCTTTGACTGATCCCTGCACGACTGAGAGCTTACACAAACTTATCGCTACCAGATTATGAAGGCGTTACTTTCTCACAGACTGATGTTAGAAACACCGTGAAACTCGCAAATCCAAGTCACGATTGTAAAATAAATAAAGTGATTTAACTGTGCACGGCTGTTTTTGTCACAGCAAACACAAACCACACTCAGACTTCATACAATGGAGATCAACGGTGTGGCCATTTTGAAACTCAATATTGACCTAAAATCTAAAACTCTCTCTGCTCTCTCTCTCTGGTCTCTCTCTGGTCTCTCTCTCTGGTATCTCTCTGGTCTCTCTCTCTGGTCTCTCTCTGGTCTTTCTCTGGTCTCTCTCTGGTCTCTCTCTGGTCTCTCTCTGGTCTCTCTCTGGTCTCTCTCTCTGGTCTCTCTCTGGTCTCTCTCTGGTCTCTCTCTCTGGTCTCTCTCTGGTCTCTCTCTGGTCTCTCTCTCTGGTCTCTCTCTGGTCTCTCTCTGGTCTCTCTCTGGTCTCTCTCTCTGGCCTCTCTCTGGCCTCTCTCTGTGGTCTCTCTCTGGTCTCTCTCTCTGGTCTCTCTCTGGTCTCTCTCTCTGGTCTCTCTGGTCTCTCTGGTCTCCTTCTGGTCTCTCTGGTCTCCTTCTGGTCTCTCTCTGGTCTCCTTCTGGTCTCTCTGGTCTCTCTCTGGTCTCTCTCTGGTCTCTCTCTGGTCTTTCTCTGGTCTCTCTCTGGTCTCTCTCTGGTCTCTCTCTCTGGTCTCTCTCTGGTCTCTCTCTGGTCTCTCTCTCTGGTCTCTCTCTGGTCTCTCTCTCTGGTCTCTCTCTGGTCTCTCTCTGGTCTCTCTCTGGTCTCTCTCTCTGGCCTCTCTCTGGCCTCTCTCTGTGGTCTCTCTCTGGTCTCTCTCTCTGGTCTCTCTCTGGTCTCTCTCTCTGGCCTCTCTCTGCTCTCTCTCTGCTCTCTCTCTCTGGTCTCTCTCTGGTCTCTCTCTGGTCTCTCTCTCTGGTCTCTCTCTGGTCTCTCTCTGGTCTCTCTCTGGTCTCTCTCTGGTCTCTCTCTGGTCTCTCTCTCTGGCCTCTCTCTGGCCTCTCTCTGGCCTCTCTCTGTGGTCTCTCTCTGGTCTCTCTCTGGTCCTCTCTCTCTGGTCTCTCTCTGGTCTCTCTCTGCTCTCTCTCTCTGGTCTCTCTCTGGTCTCTCTCTCTGGTCTCTCTCTGGTCTCTCTCTGGTCTCTCTGTGGTCTCTCTCTGGTCTCTCTCTGGTCTCTCTCTCTGGTCTCTCGCTGGTCTCTATCTGGTCTCTCTCTAGTCTCTCTCTCTGGTCTCTCTCTGGCCTCTCTCTCTGGTCTCTCTCTGGCCTCTCTCTCTGGCCTCTCTCTGGTCTCTCTCTGGTCTCTCTCTGGTCTCTCTCTGGTCTCTCTCTGGCCTCTCTCTGGCCTCTCTCTCTGGCCTCTCTCTGGTCTCTCTCTCTGGTCTCTCTCTGGTCTCTCTCTCTGGTCTCTCTCTGGTCTCTCTCTGGTCTCTCTCTCTGGTCTCTCTCTGGTCTCTCTCTGGTCTCTCTGTGGTCTCTCTCTGGTCTCTCTCTGGTCTCTCTCTGGTCTCTGGTCTCTCTCTGGTCTCTCTCTGGTCTCTCTCTGGTCTCTCTCTGGTCTCTCTCTGGTCTCTGGTCTCTCTCTAGTCTCTCTCTAGCCTCTCTCAGCTCAGCCTGCTGTAGAACGGAGCCGACCTGTGGATTCCGACACAGCGCCTCCTCCAGGATGACCAGGGCACTGCTGCAGTCGTGTCGGAGCAGATGCAGGTGGCCCAGGTGGAGGAGGTAGATCTCAGAGAGGCCTGAGGACTGCAGCTCCAAGGCCAAGGCACGCTCCGCCAACTGCAGGCACAAGAACAGCTGCAACACCAACATTCTCCTTTGATTCTGCAAAGACTCAACAGCCTTTGTTCACCGCGGTGTAGTTTATCATCATTGTTGGTTTTTCTATGAGTTGATTATCAACATGGAGCCACATTCAGGCACATGTAGTTACTTCACACACACACACACACCAGACTCATTCTAATGTGGGAGAAGTGTCTTGCCACAGGAGGACGGACACAGGAGGAAGGACACAACCACAGTTTGGCACTTTACAGCCGCAGCCGCCCCACTGTGGCACCTGGTGTTCCCAGAGGACTCCCATCACAGTACTAACCAGGCCCTGCCCTGCTTAGCTTCAAAGGTCTGAGGGATCTGGCTTTCACCTGCATTAGTTTGGTATGTGTTCCAATGGGCTATATGCACGGGGAGGCGTGATTTCATATCCTTTAAACAAAGAACATTGTTTACTTCCTGTCTCTGTTAGCGCTCTGGCTGTGGTGAGGTGTTTACTTCCTGTCTGTGTTAGCGCTGTGGTGAGGTGTTTACTTCCTGTCTGTGTTAGCGTTCTAGCTGTGGTGAGGTGTTTACTTCCTGTCTGTGTTAGCGTTCTGGCTGTGGTGAGGTGTTTACTTCCTGTCTGTGATAGCGCTGTGGTGAGGTGTTTACTTCCTGTCTGTGATAGCGCTGTGGTGAGGTGTTTACTTCCTGTCTGTGATAGCGTTCTAGCTGTGATGAGGTGTTTACTTCCTGTCTGCAATAGCGCTGTGGTGAGGTGTTTACTTCCTGTCTGTGATAGCGTTCTAGCTGTGGTGAGGTGTTTACTTCCTGTCTGTGATAGCGTTCTAGCTGTGGTGAGTTGTTTACTTCCTGTCTGTGTTAGCGTTCTAGCTGTGGTGAGTTGTTTACTTCCTGTCTGTGATAGCGCTCTAGCTGTGGTGAGGTGTTTACTTCCTGTCTGTGATAGCGTTCTAGCTGTGGTGAGGTGTTTACTTCCTGTCTGTGATAGCGTTCTAGCTGTGGTGAGGTGTTTACTTCCTGTCTGTGATAGCGTTCTACCTGTGGTGAGTTGTTTACTTCCTGTCTGTGATAGCGTTCTAGCTGTGGTGAGGTGTTTACTTCCTGTCTGTGATAGCGTTCTGGCTGTGGTGAGGTGTTTACTTCCTGTCTGTGTTAGCGTTCTAGCTGTGGAGAGGTGTTTACTTCCTGTCTGTGATAGCGTTCTAGCTGTGGTGAGGTGTTTACTTCCTGTCTGTGATAGCGTTCTAGCTGTGGTGAGGTGTTTACTTCCTGTCTGTGATAGCGTTCTAGCTGTGGTGAGGTGTTTACTTCCTGTCTGTGATAGCGTTCTACCTGTGGTGAGTTGTTTACTTCCTGTCTGTGATAGCGTTCTAGCTGTGGTGAGGTGTTTACTTCCTGTCTGTGATAGCGTTCTGGCTGTGGTGAGGTGTTTACTTCCTGTCTGTGTTAGCGTTCTAGCTGTGGAGAGGTGTTTACTTCCTGTCTGTGATAGCGTTCTGGCTGTGGTGAGGTGTTTACTTCCTGTCTGTGATAGCGTTCTAGCTGTGGTGAGGTGTTTACAGCCAGAGCGCTATCACAGACAGGAAGTAATCAGCTGAGACTGACCCAAAAGTGACGCCGTGCTTTCTCTCTGAGGAGTAGCTTTGACTGTGAGCGAAAAGTTCATAAAAGCACAATCAAAGATCACTGCTGTGTCCCACAATGCAACACTGCATCCTCACAGTTTAATTCCTGTTTGATTATTTAGGAAACTGGTGTAAACATCTGAACTCCAGTGTCGTCTAAAAGGTGGGAGTGGGCATAGAGCCCATAGTCATGCTGAAACAATGACTGAGACAAGCCCAAAGAAGAACTATAAATACACACTGCCCTCTGGTGGACAGATCTAAAGCTGCTATAACTATTTTTATATAGTACAATCATTGGTCAAATTCAATAATTGAATATATTTGATTTTTAATATGAATAAAACATTGAAATTTGAGCTTAAGTCCCAGCCCTACCTTTAAGTGGGTTTGACACCTATGACTGTAATAGTCCAGGCTTTTGACAGCTGCAGCAGCTCAGACTGAAGCAACAGGTTTGATGGTTTAGTGAATAAGTATAAATGTGTCACCTGTAGACAGCGGCTGTGTAGCAGGAAGCTGACAGTGTGAAGGAAGATGCTGTGGACCTCCACCTCAGAGTCTGCAGCAGAACAACATGAGGTCCAGTATAAGACACAAACTGTGGGTCAGAGGTCACTGTGGGTCAGAGGTCAGAGGTCACTGTGGGTCAGAGGTCACCTGTGAGTCAGAGGTCACCTGTGAGTCAGAGGTCCCTGTGGGTCAGAGGTCACCTGTGAGTCAGTCACTGTGGGTCTGAACTCAGAGGTCACTGTGGGTCAGAGGTCAGTGTGGGTCAGAGGTCACAGTGGGTCTGAGGTCAAAGGTCACCTGAGGGGCCTGGGGCCTCCTCCTCTCTCCTCTTTTTCACGAGCTCAGTCCAGAAGCTGAGCACCTCCTTCAGAGGAGTCTCTCGGGCTCGGAGCAGCTTTTTGGCCTCCAGGAAATCCCTCTCACACAGGATTTCCTCCTGTTGCTGCAGGTGGAGTAGGCCTGCAGACAGAGTGTATGTAAGAACAGGATTTCCTCCTGTTGCTGCAGATGGAGTAGGCCTGCAGACAGAGTGTATTTAAGAACAGGATTTCCTCCTGTTGCTGCAGGTGGAGTAGGCCTGCAGACAGAGTGTATGTAAGAACAGGATTTCCTCCTGTTGCTGCAGATGTAGGCCTGCAGACAGAGTGTATGTAAGAACAGGATTTCCTCCTGTTGCTGCAGATGTAGGCCTGCAGACAGAGTGTATGTAAGAACAGGATTTCCTCCTGTTGCTGCAGGTGGAGTAGGCCTGCAGACAGAGTGTATGTAAGAACAGGATTTCCTCCTGTTGCTGCAGATGTAGGCCTGCAGACAGAGTGTATGTAAGAACAGGATTTCCTCCTGTTGCTGCAGATGGAGTAGGCCTGCAAACAGAGTGTATGTAAGAACAGGATTTCCTCCTGTTGCTGCAGATGGAGTAGGCCTGCAGACAGAGTGTATGTAAGAACAGGATTTCCTCCTGTTGCTGCAGATGGAGTAGGCCTGCAGACAGAGTGTATGTGAGAACAGGATTTCCTCCTGTTGCTGCAGGTGGAGTAGGCCTGCAGACAGAGTGTATGTAAGAACAGGATTTCCTCCTGTTGCTGCAGATGGAGTAGGCCTGCAGACAGAGTGTATGTGAGAACAGGATTTCCTCCTGTTGCTGCAGATGGAGTAGGCCTGCAGACAGAGTGTATGTGAGAACAGGATTTCCTCCTGTTGCTGCAGGTGGAGTAGGCCTGCAGACAGTGTGTATGTGAGAACAGGATTTCCTCCTGTTGCTGCAGGTGGAGTAGGCCTGCAGACAGTGTGTATGTGAGAACAGGATTTCCTCCTGTTGCTGCAGGTGGAGTAGGCCTGCAGACAAAGTGTATGTGAGAACAGGATTTCCTCCTGTTGCTGCAGGTGGAGTAGGCCTGCAGACAGTGTGTATGTGAGAACAGGATTTCCTCCTGTTGCTGCAGGTGGAGTAGGCCTGCAGACAAAGTGTATGTGAGAACAGGATTTCCTCCTGTTGCTGCAGATGGAGTAGGCCTGCAGACAAAGTGTATGTGAGAACAGGATTTCCTCCTGTTGCTGCAGGTGGAGTAGGCCTGCAGACAGAGTGTATTTAAGAACAGGATTTCCTCCTGTTGCTGCAGATGGAGTAGGCCTGCAGACAGAGTGTATGTAAGAACAGGATTTCCTCCTGTTGCTGCAGGTGGAGTAGGCCTGCAGACAGTGTGTATGTGAGAACAGGATTTCCTCCTGTTGCTGCAGATGGAGTAGGCCTGCAGACAGAGTGTATGTAAGAACAGGATTTCCTCCTGTTGCTGCAGATGGAGTAGGCCTGCAGACAGAGTGTATGTAAGAACAGGATTTCCTCCTGTTGCTGCAGATGGAGTAGGCCTGCAGACAGAGTGTATGTGAGAACAGGATTTCCTCCTGTTGCTGCAGATGGAGTAGGCCTGCAGACAGAGTGTATGTAAGAACAGGATTTCCTCCTGTTGCTGCAGATGTAGGCCTGCAGACAGAGTGTATGTAAGAACAGGATTTCCTCCTGTTGCTGCAGATGGAGTAGGCCTGCAGACAGTGTGTATGTAAGAACAGGATTTCCTCCTGTTGCTGCAGATGGAGTAGGCCTGCAGACAGTGTGTATGTAAGAACAGGATTTCCTCCTGTTGCTGCAGATGGAGTAGGCCTGCAGACAGAGTGTATGTAAGAACAGGATTTCCTCCTGTTGCTGCAGATGGAGTAGGCCTGCAGACAGAGTGTATGTAAGAACAGGATTTCCTCCTGTTGCTGCAGATGTAGGCCTGCAGACAGAGTGTATGTAAGAACAGGATTTCCTCCTGTTGCTGCAGATGGAGTAGGCCTGCAAACAGAGTGTATGTAAGAACAGGATTTCCTCCTGTTGCTGCAGATGGAGTAGGCCTGCAAACAGAGTGTATGTAAGAACAGGATTTCCTCCTGTTGCTGCAGATGGAGTAGGCCTGCAAACAGAGTGTATGTAAGAACAGGATTTCCTCCTGTTGCTGCAGATGGAGTAGGCCTGCAGACAGAGTGTATGTAAGAACAGGATTTCCTCCTGTTGCTGCAGATGGAGTAGGCCTGCAGACAGAGTGTATGTGAGAACAGGATTTCCTCCTGTTGCTGCAGGTGGAGTAGGCCTGCAGACAGAGTGTATGTAAGAACAGGATTTCCTCCTGTTGCTGCAGATGGAGTAGGCCTGCAGACAGAGTGTATGTGAGAACAGGATTTCCTCCTGTTGCTGCAGATGTAGGCCTGCAGACAGAGTGTATGTGAGAACAGGATTTCCTCCTGTTGCTGCAGATGGAGTAGGCCTGCAGACAAAGTGTATGTGAGAACAGGATTTCCTCCTGTTGCTGCAGGTGTAGTAGGCCTGCAGACAGTGTGTATGTGAGAACAGGATTTCCTCCTGTTGCTGCAGGTGGAGTAGGCCTGCAGACAAAGTGTATGTGAGAACAGGATTTCCTCCTGTTGCTGCAGATGGAGTAGGCCTGCAGACAAAGTGTATGTGAGAACAGGATTTCCTCCTGTTGCTGCAGGTGGAGTAGGCCTGCAGACAGAGTGTATGTGAGAACAGGATTTCCTCCTGTTGCTGCAGATGGAGTAGGCCTGCAGACAGTGTGTATGTAAGAACAGGATTTCCTCCTGTTGCTGCAGATGGAGTAGGCCTGCAGACAGAGTGTATGTAAGAACAGGATTTCCTCCTGTTGCTGCAGATGGAGTAGGCCTGCAGACAGAGTGTATGTAAGAACAGGATTTCCTCCTGTTGCTGCAGATGGAGTAGGCCTGCAGACAGTGTGTATGTAAGAACAGGATTTCCTCCTGTTGCTGCAGATGGAGTAGGCCTGCAGACAGTGTGTATGTGAGAACAAGATTTCCTCCTGTTGCTGCAGATGGAGTAGGCCTGCAGACAGAGTGTATGTAAGAACAGGATTTCCTCCTGTTGCTGCAGATGGAGTAGGCCTGCAGACAGAGTGTATGTAAGAACAGGATTTCCTCCTGTTGCTGCAGATGGAGATGGCCTGCAGACAGAGTGTATGTGAGAACAGGATTTCCTCCTGTTGCTGCAGATGGAGTAGGCCTGCAGACAGAGTGTATGTAAGAACAGGATTTCCTCCTGTTGCTGCAGATGGAGTAGGCCTGCAGACAGAGTGTATGTGAGAACAGGATTTCCTCCTGTTGCTGCAGGTGGAGTAGGCCTGCAGACAGAGTGTATGTAAGAACAGGATTTCCTCCTGTTGCTGCAGATGGAGTAGGCCTGCAGACAGAGTGTATGTAAGAACAGGATTTCCTCCTGTTGCTGCAGATGGAGTAGGCCTGCAGACAGAGTGTATGTAAGAACAGGATTTCCTCCTGTTGCTGCAGATGGAGTAGGCCTGCAGACAGAGTGTATGTAAGAACAGGATTTCCTCCTGTTGCTGCAGATGGAGTAGGCCTGCAGACAGAGTGTATGTAAGAACAGGATTTCCTCCTGTTGCTGCAGATGGAGTAGGCCTGCAGACAGAGTGTATGTAAGAACAGGATTTCCTCCTGTTGCTGCAGATGGAGTAGGCCTGCAGACAGAGTGTATGTAAGAACAGGATTTCCTCCTGTTGCTGCAGATGGAGTAGGCCTGCAGACAGAGTGTATGTAAGAACAGGATTTCCTCCTGTTGCTGCAGACTCATAGTCTCATAGTTTCATGGTTCCATAGCTTCATATACAGTGTCTTGCGAAAGTATTCGCCCCCGTTGAACCTTTCGCCACATTTCAGTCTTCAAACATTTGTCATGAATCAACAACAAGTGGGACACAATCGTGAAGTGGAACGAAATTTATTGGATAATTTAAACTTTTTAACAAATAAAAAACTGAAAAGTGGGGCGTGCAATATTATTGGGCCCCTTTACTTTGCAGCAAACTCAGTCCAGAAGTTCAGTGAGGATCTTTGAATGATCCAATGTTGTCCTAAATGACTGATGATGATAAATAGAATGCACCTGTGTGTAATCAAGTCTCCGTATAAATGCACCTGCTCTTTGATAGTCTCAGGGTTCTGTTTAAAGCACAGAGAGAACCATGAAGACAAAGGAACACACCAGGCAGGTCCGAGATACTGTTGTGGAGAAGTTTAAAGCCAGATTTGGATACAAAAAGATTTCCCAAGCTTTAAACATCTCAAGGAGCACTGTGCAAGCAATTATATTGAAATCTACCAAGACCTGGCCGTCCCTCCAAACTTTCATCTCAAACAAGGAGAAGACTGATCAGAGATGCAGCCAAGAGGCCCATGATCACTCTGGATGAACTGTAGATAACTACAGCTGAGGTGGGAGAGTCTGTCCATAGGACAACAATCAGTCGTGCACTGCACAAATCTGGCCTTTATGGAAGAGTGGCAAGAAGAAAGCCATTTCTCAAAGATAACCATAAAAAGTCTGGTTTAAAGTTTGCCACAAGCCACCTGGGAGACACACCAAACATGTGGAAGAAGGTGCTCTGGTCAGATGAAACCAAAATCACACTTTTTGGCCACAATGCAAAACGATATGTTTGGCGTAAAAGCAACACAGCTCATCACCCTGAACACACCATCCCCACTGTCAAACATGGTGGTGGCAGCATCATGCTTTGGGCCTGCTTTTCTTCAGCAGGGACAGGGAAGATGGCTAAAATTGATGGGAAGATGGATGGAGCCAAATACAGGACCATTCTGGAAGAAAACCTGTTGGAGTCTGCAAAAGACCTGAGACTGGGACGGAGATTTATCTTCCAACAGGACAATGATCCAAAACATAAAGCCAAATCTACAATGGAATGGTTCACAAATAGACGTATCCAGGTGTTAGAATGGCCAAGTCAAAGTCCAGACCTGAATCCAATCGAGAATCTGTGGAAAGAGCTGAAGACTGCTGTTCACAAACGCTCTCCATCCAACCTCACTGAGCTCCAGCTGTTTTGCAAGGAAGAATGGGCAAGAATTCCAGTCTCTCGATGTGCAAAACTGATATAGACATACCCCATGCGACTTGCAGCTGTAATTGCATCAAAAGGTGGCGCTACAAAGTATTAGCGCAAGGGGCCGAATAATATTGCACGCCCCACTTTTCAGTTTTATATTTGTTAAAAAAGTTTAAATTATCCAATAAATGTCGTTCCACTTCACGATTGTGTCCCACTTGTTGTTGATTCTTGACAAAAAATTGATTTTTATATCTTTATGTTTGAAGCCTGAAATGTGGCGAAAGGTTGAAAGGTTCAAGGGGGCCGAATACCTTCGCAAGGCACTGTACACATGGCTTCATGGTTTGCCACAGGTCAATGCTAACCTGCTAGCTTAATGAAGCCTTATATTGTGTTGTGTTAAATCCAGATGTGAGCCATATAAGTTATGTACATGAGTTGTTGATTCACCCACAACAGATCAGAGAATCAAACTATTCAAACAGAAAAATGTTAATAAAGTGAGAGACTGACCCAGGAGTGTCCAGGCCTCCACCCCCAGCTCCACCCCCAGCTCCACCCCCAGACTCGGCATGGTCGCTGCATGTTGGAGGAAAAGCTCCGCCTCCGTGTGCTGCTCCTGCATCAGCGCCAGGACGCCACACATGATCAGACTGAAGGAGCAGGAGGAGCAGAGCTTACATCAGGTCAGACTGAAGGAGCAGGAGGAGCAGAGCATACATCAGGTCAGACTGAAGGAGCAGGAGGAGCAGAGCTAACATCAGGTCAGACTGAAGGAGCAGGAGGAGCAGAGCATACATCAGGTCTGACTGAAGGAGCAGGAGGAGCAGAGCTTACATCAGGTCAGACTGAAGGAGCAGGAGGAGCAGAGCATACATCAGGTCAGACTGAAGGAGCAGGAGGAGCAGAGCATACATCAGGTCTGACTGAAGGAGCAGGAGGAGCAGAGCTTACATCAGGTCAGACTGAAGGAGCAGGAGGAGCAGAGCATACATCAGGTCTGACTGAGGGAGCAGGAGGAGCAGAGCTTACATCAGGTCAGACTGAAGGAGCAGGAGGAGCAGAGCTTACATCAGGTCAGACTGAAGGAGCAGGAGGAGCAGAGCTTACATCAGGTCAGACTGAAGGAGCAGGAGGAGCAGAGCTTACATCAGGTCAGACTGAAGGAGCAGGAGGAGCAGAGCTTCCATCAGGTCAGACTGAAGGAGCAGGAGGAGCAGAGCTAACATCAGGTCAGACTGAAGGAGCAGGAGGAGCAGAGCTTACATCAGGTCAGACTGAAGGAGCAGGAGGAGCAGAGCTTACATCAGGTCAGACTGAAGGAGCAGGAGGAGCAGAGCTTACATCAGGTCTGACTGAAGGAGCAGGAGGAGCAGAGCTAACATCAGGTCAGACTGAAGGAGCAGGAGGAGCAGAGCTTACATCAGGTCAGACTGAAGGAGCAGGAGGAGCAGAGCTTACATCAGGTCAGACTGAAGGAGCAGGAGGAGCAGAGCTTCCATCAGGTCAGACTGAAGGAGCAGGAGGAGCAGAGCTAACATCAGGTCAGACTGAAGGAGCAGGAGGAGCAGAGCTTCCATCAGGTCAGACTGAAGGAGCAGGAGGAGCAGAGCTTACATCAGGTCAGACTGAAGGAGCAGGAGGAGCAGAGCTTACATCAGGTCTGACTGAAGGAGCAGGAGGAGCAGAGCTAACACCAGGTCAGACTGAAGGAGCAGGAGGAGCAGAGCTTACATCAGGTCAGACTGAAGGAGCAGGAGGAGCAGAGCTAACATCAGGTCAGACTGAAGGAGCAGGAGGAGCAGAGCTTACATCAGGTCAGACTGAAGGAGCAGGAGGAGCAGAGCTTACATCAGGTCAGACTGAAGGAGCAGGAGGAGCAGAGCTTCCATCAGGTCAGACTGAAGGAGCAGGAGGAGCAGAGCTAACATCAGGTCAGACTGAAGGAGCAGGAGGAGCAGAGCTTCCATCAGGTCAGACTGAAGGAGCAGGAGGAGCAGAGCTTACATCAGGTCAGACTGAAGGAGCAGGAGGAGCAGAGCTTACATCAGGTCTGACTGAAGGAGCAGGAGGAGCAGAGCTAACACCAGGTCAGACTGAAGGAGCAGGAGGAGCAGAGCTTACATCAGGTCAGACTGAAGGAGCAGGAGGAGCAGAGCTTACATCAGGTCAGACTGAAGGAGCAGGAGGAGCAGAGCATACATCAGGTCAGACTGAAGGAGCAGGAGGAGCAGAGCTTCCATCAGGTCAGACTGAAGGAGCAGGAGGAGCAGAGCTTACATCAGGTCAGACTGAAGGAGCAGGAGGAGCAGAGCTTACATCAGGTCTGACTGAAGGAGCAGGAGGAGCAGAGCTAACACCAGGTCAGACTGAAGGAGCAGGAGGAGCAGAGCTTACATCAGGTCAGACTGAAGGAGCAGGAGGAGCAGAGCTTACATCAGGTCAGACTGAAGGAGCAGGAGGAGCAGAGCATACATCAGGTCAGACTGAAGGAGCAGGAGGAGCAGAGCTAACATCAGGTCAGACTGAAGGAGCAGGAGGAGCAGAGCATACATCAGGTCAGACTGAAGGAGCAGGAGGAGCAGAGCTAACATCAGGTCAGACTGAAGGAGCAGGAGGAGCAGAGCTAACATCAGGTCAGACTGAAGGAGCAGGAGGAGCAGAGCTAACATCAGGTCTGACTGAAGGAGCAGGAGGAGCAGAGCATACATCAGGTCTGACTGAAGGAGCAGGAGGAGCAGAGCTTACATCAGGTCAGACTGAAGGAGCAGGAGGAGCAGAGCATACATCAGGTCAGACTGAAGGAGCAGGAGGAGCAGAGCTAACATCAGGTCAGACTGAAGGAGCAGGAGGAGCAGAGCTTACATCAGGTCAGACTGAAGGAGCAGGAGGAGCAGAGCTTACATCAGGTCAGACTGAAGGAGCAGGAGGAGCAGAGCTTACATCAGGTCAGACTGAAGGAGCAGGAGGAGCAGAGCTTACATCAGGTCAGACTGAAGGAGCAGGAGGAGCAGAGCTTACATCAGGTCAGACTGAAGGAGCAGGAGGAGCAGAGCTAACATCAGGTCAGACTGAAGGAGCAGGAGGAGCAGAGCTTACATCAGGTCAGACTGAAGGAGCAGGAGGAGCAGAGCTTTCATCAGGTCAGACTGAAGGAGCAGGAGGAGCAGAGCTTACATCAGGTCAGACTGAAGGAGCAGGAGGAGCAGAGCATACATCAGGTCTGACTGAAGGAGCAGGAGGAGCAGAGCTCACATCAGGTCAGACAGAAGGAGCAGGAGGAGCAGAGCTTACATCAGGTCAGACTGAAGGAGCAGGAGGAGCAGAGCTTACATCAGGTCAGACAGAAGGAGCAGGAGGAGCAGAGCTTACATCAGGTCAGACTGAAGGAGCAGGAGGAGCAGAGCTTACATCAGGTCAGACAGAAGGAGCAGGAGGAGCAGAGCTTACATCAGGTCAGACAGAAGGAGCAGGAGGAGCAGAGCTTACATCAGGTCAGACAGAAGGAGCAGGAGGAGCAGAGCTTCCATCAGGTCAGACTGAGGGAGCAGGAGGAGCAGAGCTTCCATCAGGTCAGACTGAAGGAGCAGGAGGAGCAGAGCTAACACCAGGTCAGACAGAAGGAGCAGGAGGAGCAGAGCTTACATCAGGTCAGACTGAAGGAGCAGGAGGAGCAGAGCTAACATCAGGTCTGACTGAAGGAGCAGGAGGAGCAGAGCTAACATCAGGTCAGACTGAAGGAGCAGGAGGAGCAGAGCTAACATCAGGTCAGACTGAAGGAGCAGGAGGAGCAGAGCTAACATCAGGTCAGACTGAAGGAGCAGGAGGAGCAGAGCATACATCAGGTCTGACTGAAGGAGCAGGAGGAGCAGAGCTAACATCAGGTCTGACTGAAGGAGCAGGAGGAGCAGAGCTAACATCAGGTCAGACTGAAGGAGCAGGAGGAGCAGAGCTTACATCAGGTCAGACAGAAGGAGCAGGAGGAGCAGAGCTTACATCAGGTCAGACTGAAGGAGCAGGAGGAGCAGAGCTTACATCAGGTCAGACTGAAGGAGCAGGAGGAGCAGAGCTTACATCAGGTCAGACTGAAGGAGCAGGAGGAGCAGAGCTTACATCAGGTCAGACAGAAGGAGCAGAAGGAGCAGAGCTAACATCAGGTCAGACTGAAGGAGCAGGAGGAGCAGAGCTTACATCAGGTCACACTGAAGGAGCAGGAGGAGCAGAGCTTACATCAGGTCAGACAGAAGGAGCAGGAGGAGCAGAGCTAACATCAGGTCTGACTGAAGGAGCAGGAGGAGCAGAGCTTACATCAGGTCAGACAGAAGGAGCAGGAGGAGCAGAGATTCCATCAGGTCAGACTGAGGGAGCAGGAGGAGCAGAGCTTACATCAGGTCTGACTGAAGGAGCAGGAGGAGCAGAGCTGGTCACCTGGGCTGGTGAGCCATATCCACAGACAGCGCCTCCTGGAAGTGTTCCTTGGCTCTGCAGGAGTCTCCGCTCAGCAGGAGGTGGTGTCCCACAGTGAAGCTGCTCAGGGCCTCCTGAGGCCTCCTCACCAACAACTACACACATCAGAAGCATCAGGGAAGCATCAGGGAAGCATCAGAGGAGCATCAGGGAAGCATCAGGGAAGCATCAGAGGAGCATCAGGGAAGCATCAGGGAAGCATCAGGGAAGCATCAGAGGAGCATCAGGGAAGCATCAGGGAAGCATCAGAGGAGCATCAGGGAAGCATCAGGGAAGCATCAGGGGAGCATCAGGGAAGCATCAGAGGAGCATCAGAGGAGCATCAGAGGAGCATCAGGGAAGCATCAGAGGAGCATCAGGGAAGCATCAGAGGAGTATCAGAGGATCATCAGGGAAACATCAGGGAAGCATCAGAGGAGCATCAGGGAAGCATCAGGGAAGGATCAGAGGAGCATCAGGGAAGCATCAGAGGAGCATCAGGGAAGCATCAGCGGAGCATCAGGGAAGCATCAGGGAAGCATCAGAGAAGCATCAGAGAAGCATCAGGGAAGCATCAGAGAAGCATCAGGGAAGCATCAGGGAAGCATCAGAGAAGCATTAGAGAAGCATCAGAGAAGGATCAGAGGAGCATCAGGGAAGCATCAGGGAAGCAGCAGGGAGGCATCAGGAAAGCATCAGGGAAGCATCAGAGGAGCATCAGGGAAGCATCAGGGAAGCATCAGGGAAGCATCAGGGAAGCATCAGAGAAGCATCAGAGAAGCATCAGGGAGACATCAGGGAAGCATCAGAGGAGCATCAGGGAAGCATCAGAGGAGCATCAGGGAAGCATCAGGGAAGCATCAGAGAAGCATCAGGGAAACATCAGAGGAGCATCAGGGAAGCATCAGAGGAGCATCAGGGAAGCATCAGGGGAGCATCACAGAAGCATCAGGGAAGCGTCAGGGAAGCATCAGAGGAACATCAGGGGAGCATCACAGAAGCATCAGGGAAGCGTCAGGGAAGCATCAGAGGAGCATCAGGGAAGCATCAGAGAAGCATCAGGGAAGCATTTGGTAAGCATCAGAGGAGCATCAGGGAAGCATCAGGGAAGCCTCAGGAAAGCATCAGGGAAGCATCAGAGAAGCTTTAGGGAAGCATCAGGGGAGCATCAGAGGAGCATCAGAGAAGCATCAAAGAAGCATCAGGGAAGCATCAGAGGAGCATCAAAGAAGCATCAGAGGAGCATCAGGGAAGCATCAGGGAAGCATCAGAGGAGCATCAGGGAAGCATCGGGGAAGCATCAGAGAAGCATCAGAGAAGCATCAGGGAGGCATCAGGGAAGCATCAGAGGAGCATCAGGGAAGCATCAGAGGAGCATCAGGGAAGCATCAGGGAAGCATCAGAGAAGCATCAGGGAAGCATCAGAGGAGCATCAGGGAAGCATCAGGGAAGCATCAGGGAAGCATCAGGGGAGCATCAGGGAAGCATCAGGGAAGCATCAGAGGAGCATCAGGGAAGCATCAGGGAAGCATCAGAGGAGCATCAGGGAAGCATCAGGGGAGCATCACAGAAGCATCAGGGAAGCATCAGAGGAGCATCAGAGGAGCATCAGGGAAGCGTCAGAGGAGCATCAGTTGAAACTTCAACGCTCCAGAGATGTGGCGATGGTAATGTCAGCGGTGAAGCGCCAGGGGAATCCCCAGCATGAGGGCCGTACTTTGCGGCTCGTACCAGACACTCCACCTGAAGTCCGGGCTGCTAGACGGGCATTCAACACGGTCTGTGCGGAGCTTATTAAAAGGGACATCAGGTTTAGAATGGCCTATCCAGCAATCCTGTCCTTCAAGGCTAACGGCGGGCAAAAGTCTTTCAAAGATCCAAACAAGGCTGAAGCATTCCTCTCATCCCTCACGTGACTGGTAAAGTAACTGTACTTGAGTACTATGAGTGCTACAACCCTTTGACTTTTTCAAGCCTGTCAACGCGGGTTACGGGACACATTTTCCCCCAAAGGACAACTACTTTTGGTGTTAAGTCTCTGTACTGGGAGAGTGGAATGCCAGAAATGTTTCGATGGTAGTAATCCAAACTCTTTTGTTTAATTATATGTCTATATTTTTTCTTCCTTATTTCACTGGGTGTTTTGATAAAAATGGATATGGTCCTATGCTTGATATGTGGAAGTAAAGTATATAATCTGAAATATATCATAATAAAATTATGGGAATAATTGACATAAATTGCTGTAGTGAATTTGAGAAATTTGAGCACTACCTTCGTGCCTCTACCAGTATTACCTGTGACTATTATGACGTTGAGCAACTAAAACAAATTAACAACTCTTCATTCTCTTTAATGCATCTAAATATTAGAAGTCTAAAAAAGCATTATGATGAACTTGTTTCGTTACTTGCCAGTACAGGCATTAACTTTGATATAATTGGGTGCTGTGAAACTTGGATGAATGAACAATCATTTGAAGATATGTATAAATTAGATGGTTACTCTGGTCATTTTAGAAACAGACTGGGTAAAATTGGAGGAGGGGTATGCATATATGTAAGTACTCAATATTCTGTAAAGGAACGAAATGATATCATGGTAGAGGATGGTTGCTCTGATTCTTTATTTCTAGAAGTAAAAACAATAAAAGGCTCTATAATTATTGGAGTAGTATATCGACCACCTGATTCCAATTATGAAACATTTAGAGACCACTTCGATAACATGTTAAACTACATAAATATGATGAAGAAAAACTGTATTATCATGGGCGACTTTAACATAGACCTATCTAAAGAAGATTTAATAGGAACTGATTTCCAAAATACCCTCTGCTCCTCATCATTCTATCCCACTATTGATAAATACACCAGAGTTACAGAGAGAAGCAAGACCACTATAGACAATATAATAACAAACATCCAAAACACTGGATGCAAGTCAGATGTAATATATTCTGATATCTCTGATCATTTTCCTGTTGCTCTGTTCACAAACTGGATCAATAGAGTACCAGATTCATGTTCAGAGAGGAAGATAAAAGTTCTAAATAGCAAAACCCTCGTTAATCTCTCCCTACACCTCAAAAACAAAACCTGGGATGAATTTTATAACATTTCAAACCCCAACAAGGCCTATAATTCCTTAATCAATGAAATTAATGATTCCATCAATGTAACCATTCCAGAGAAATCTTTAAAACATAGTAAAAGAGGGCATCCATGGATCACAAATGGAACCTTAAAGTCAATCCGGCAAAAAAATAAACTCTATAAGGAATATAAAAGAAATCCAAATTGCTCTAATAAAGATTGATATACAAAATACAAGAACAAATTAACAAGTTTAATACGAGTCAGTAAAGCTAATTATTTTGCAAAAAGACTTAAATCAATCTCAGGGGATCAGAAGGGGTCTTGGAAGGTGCTGAATGAGGTGCTCGGACGCAACAAAAAAGCACCAGTCCTCCCTGACGCCGGAGCATCAACTGAGTTTAAAAGTAATACCAAGAATGACTCTTTGCCCAATGCTTTTAATGCGTTTTTTTCATCAGTTGGAAGAGAGCTGTCTCAACAAATCTGCCCACCAGGGGTTGTAAATTATAAGGATTTTTTGACAAACAATTACTCTAGCTCCTGCTACCTCAGACCTACCTGCAAAATGGAAGTAACCAATATAATAAATAAAATGAAATGTTCATATACAGCTGGTGCTGATGGCATTTGCAGCAAAATCTTGAAAGCCATTGTGAATGAAATAGCTGAACCAGTGACTCATATAATTAATCTATCTTTACAACAAGGCATTGTCCCTAAACAAACTAAGGTGGCGAAAATAATACCTATATAGAAGTCAGGGGACAAAAATGACATACACAACTACAGACCCATATCTATTCTGCCCACCCTGTCCAAAATTTTGGAACGAGTAGTTTATGAAAGATTACTAGATTATTTAAACAAACACAACATACTGAATCCTTCACAATATGGCTTCAGGAAAAGCAGCAGCACGTATATGGCCATATTAGATCTAGTTGAAAAAATCAACAATGCTCTTGAGGGTAGAGAAATTGGTGTTGGGGTTTTTCTCGACCTTTCCAAAGCATTTGACTCGATTGACTTTCAAGTCTTACTTGGTAAACTCTCTCACTATGGCGTCCGGGGTGTAGCTCTCCAGTGGTTTAGGGACTATGTCTATGGTAGACAACAGTACGTGAACATAGATGGGTCTGACTCTCAACTGGAAAACATAACATTTGGTGTTCCCCAGGGATCTATACTAGGGCCCCTATTATTGGACTTCCTGTATCCGGTGAGCGTGTTTCTTGACTGCTATCACTCTGCTCTCTGTTTGCACTAACAAACACATTACAAATCCACGTATTGTACACCAAGCTAACTGTGTAAGCACTCCGAGTCAGCTGTACTGTAGCTGAGGTTTAGGTAGCGGTTGTTTGTCTGGTCTCGGAGTCTGTTGTGCGGGCCCGGATCCGTACTAGCTTAGCCTAGCCTAGCTTAGCCTAGCCTAGCCGCTAACTCGCTACTATGGCGGCTGCTGTCTCTCCCTCAATCCTTTACTGCTCGAGTTGCCATATGGCGAGTCTAAACCCTGGATCCTTCTCTGAGGGTAGTGATAGATGTGTGAAGTGTAGTGTAGTCGTAGCTCTGGAATCCAGGGTCAGTGAGTTAGAGCTGCGTCTCCGAGCACTGGAGTCTCGAGCTAGCGCTAGCATTAGCTACAGCCAGGCCGTATCCTCAGGGACAGCGGAGCGCAGCTTTAGGGAAAGGCAGAGGAGAACTAGCGAGCCTAGCCTCCCAGCCCGTCCTCCGCAGCTGGGACAAGACCAGGATAGTGATGGCTTTGTGACTGTTCGGAGAGGGCGACGTGTTGTTGGTAGTTTCCCCATTGGGCCTCCTCCTGTTAGCATTTACAATCGCTGGGACGCTCTGTCCGGCTGCGCCCCCGCGCGGCCGGGCGGGGAAGAAGGCCCCACTGAGAGAGCCGCTGAGAGAGCTGCTGAGAAAGCCGATGGAGTCGCTGATGCGCTGGTAATTGGCTCCTCTATTGTTAGAGGTGTTAAGATCCCAGGAGCCACTGTTCGGTGCTTCCCTGGGGCCAGGCTTGGTGATATTGAAGGGAATCTGAGGCTCATGATGACCCACAAGCAGCGTTTCCGTCGAATTGTTATTCACGCGGGTGGTAATGACGTTCGGCGGAAACAGTCCGAGGTGTTGAAGCTGCAAGTCGCCGCCGTGTGCAAGCTGGCTAGCACAATGGCCGACACTGTCATCTTCTCTGGGCCCCTACCTAGCACTAGCAGTGCAGAAGCATTCAGCAGACACTCGGCTTTCAACCGCTGGCTGTCTGGCTGGTGCCCTCGAAGTGGTGTTGTTCATGTTGACAATTGGAGTGCCTTTTGGGGAAAGCCCGGTCTCATCCGCTCGGATGATATCCACCCAACGTTGGCGGGTACATCCCTTTTGGCTAAGAATTTGGCCCTGGCTCTAAACTGTTCTGCTCGGCTCAAATGACGGTGCAGAACTGAGGCCCGGGTGCAGAGCTGCTCTGCCACAACCTCTGAGCCCCCATCTGTTCAGTTACTAGCCTCAGAAGCTAGTCAGATTGAAACTGTGTGTGTGTGTGTGTGTGTGCCTGTGTGTGCTCAGTTACTAGCCTCAGAACCTAGTCAGATTGAAACTGTGTGTGTTCCCCGCTTGAAGTCTAAAGCACTATATGCGAGGAAATCTGACCTAGGTGTCAGACACAGTAACTTAATAAAAGTTCAGACAGACAGAAATAGTTCTAGCGGTAGGGTTGTTAAATGTGGTTTAATGAACGTCAGATCATCCATCCATCCATCCATTTTCTTCCCTTTAATCCATTTCTGGGTCAGGGGGGTGGCAGTCAGAGATGCCACCCAAGTCTCATAGCACCAGCCCCTCACTGACCCTCTGCAGGTGGTGAGTCCACAGGAGGATGGCTGCTCTGAGTGTGAGCATAGCCTTGATCTTTCAGTGGGGGCTTTGGGCAAAGTGGGGTTAAGTGTCTTGCCCAAGGACACAACGACAGCAGTCATCAGTGGGAGTCGGTGGAGAAGGTGCAGAGGTGGGAATTGAACCCACGACCTTCTGGGCTTAAGGCCAATGCTCTACCAACTGAGCTACTGTCGCCCCAACGTCAGATCAATCTCGTCTAAATCGCTTCTCATAAACGAACTTATTATAGACAAGGGCTTGGATCTGTTTGCGCTCTCGGAGACTTGGCTCCAACAGGACGACTACGTTAGATTGAATGAGTGCACTCCTCCGACGCATGTTAACTACCAGAAAGCCAGGGCTACAGGTCGCGGCGGTGGTGTTGCGATTATATCACACACCAACTTGGTTCTTAGTCCCAAAACCAACAATGCTTTTCACTCGTTTGAAAACTTAACACTTTCAATCACCTGTCCTGGGTGGAGAAAACAAAAAGCAGTACTATTTATAGTTTTATACCGACCTCCTGGTCCTTACAGCGAGTTCCTAACAGAATTCTCTGACTTCATTTCAAACCTAGTTTTGGAATGGGAAAACATAGTTATAGCTGGAGACTTCAATATACATGTGGACGACAGCACTGACAGCTTAAACAAAGCTTTCAGCGCCGTACTAGATGGTGTTGGTTTTACTCAGAATGTCGAGGAACCTACTCACATTCATAACCACACCTTGGACCTTGTCCTGACCTACGGCTGTGATGTCTCCAATGTTGACATCCAGCGTCAAAGCTCGTTGCTGTCTGACCATTTCTTGATCACGTTTGATCTCGCTTTGGAGGACTTTCCTGTCCCGCAAGATAAAACCATAATGAAAAGAACCTTAAATGATAAATCTATCACAAGGTTCAAAGAACTAATACAGCCTATGTTGAATACTGCTGCAGGTGAACCTGTTCACAGCAGCTGCAGTCCCTCAGTCATTGACCAAACGGTGGGCAACACTATGGAGTCTTTAAAATCTGCATTAAATGCAGCAGCTCCTTTAAAACAGAAAACCATTAGGATTAGATCATCGTTGCCCTGGTACAGTGTTCAACTCCACACTTTAAAACAGGACGTCAGAAAATTGGAGAGGCTATATCGCCACTCCCACTCGGAGCCTGTCCACAGGGAGTGGAAAGCAGGTCTCCGAAATTACAAGAAGGCCCTTCGCGGGGCTCGAACTCAATACTATTCAACTTTAATAGAAGCGAATAAAAACAACAGTAGATTTTTGTTTGGCACCGTCGCTAAACTCACAAACTGCCATAGCGCAATCGAGCCTAAAATTCCAAGCTCACTGAGCAGTGTCGACTTTCTCCACTTCTTTAATAATAAAATTACATCCATCCGTGACAAGCTGGAGGAGGTTGCTCCTGGATTCAGAGCTCATCATAGCACTGAAACGGCACTAGTCAAAGTCACAAATGACTTACTACTAGCTGCCGATAATGGACAAGTGTCAGTGCTGGTCCTACTGGACCTTAGTGCTGCATTTGACACAATAGACCACAGCATTCTACTGCAGAGGCTAGAATGTGATATAGGTCTTAGAGGAACAGCCCTTGGCTGGTTTAAATCCTATTTATCAGATCGATATCACTTCGTCAATGTGAATCAGGACTCGTCGCCTTATTCTGGAGTGGAATTCGGTGTGCCGCAGGGTTCGGTACTCGGACCGATTCTTTTTACTCTCTACATGCTGCCACTGGGAAACATTATTAAAAAGCATGGAATTAATTTCCACTGCTATGCAGATGACACACAGCTTTATCTGTCGATGAAGCCTAATCAGACAGATCAGCTAGAAAAGCTCAGTGCCTGCATAAAGGACCTTAAAATGTGGATGACTCTTAACTTCCTACTTCTCAACCCGGAGAAGACAGAAGTGATCCTACTCGGTCCGAAGCGCCTGCGTGACTCCCTCACTAACCAGATGGTTACTCTCGATAATGTCAGTATAATACCCAGTAACACTGTGAGGAATCTTGGAGTCATTTTTGACCAAGAACTCTCCTTCAAGGCTTATATAAGCCAAGCAACTAAAACGGCGTACTTCCACTTACGGAACATCGCTAAAATTAGGAATTTCCTTCCTAAAAGTGACGCGGAAAAACTCATTCACGCGTTTGTCACCTCAAGGCTCGACTACTGTAACGCTTTACTGGCAGCGTGCCCTAAAGCCTCTTTGAAGAGCTTCCAGCTCGTTCAGAATACAGCAGCTAGGATCTTAACAGGTACCAAAAGGAGGGAGCACATAACTCCGGTGTTAAAATCACTCCACTGGCTCCCTGTGGAGTACAGAATAAAGTTTAAAATCCTTCTCTTAACATATAAAGCCATAAATGGCTTGGCTCCTTCTTATCTCCAAGACACGTTAGTGTCGTATCAACCAGGTCGAGCGTTGCGCTCACAAAACGCCAGACGTCTGGTGGTCCCTAAGGTCTCAAAGGTCACTGTTGGTGGCAGAGCATTTAGCTACCAAGCTCCTTTACTGTGGAATCAGCTTCCCATTTATGTTAAGGAAGCAGATACGGTCTCCACATTCAAGGCCAGGCTTAAAGCACTTTACTTTAATTTAGCATATAATTAGGTAATATATAATATGTAGTGTATATATTATATATATATGCTGTATTATGTTATATATTATGTTATATATTATTCAATAATGTATTGTGTTATGTTGTATATTATGTTATATATTATGCTGTATGTTATTCTTTATTCAAGGCTAGGTTTAAAACAGTCCTCTTTAGTTTAGCATATGGCTAGGAAGGTAAGACTCGGAGAAGGTTAAACTCCTCAGAGTGTTAGTCAAGCTGCATAGGGAGTCAGTTTGCTGGGAGAAGTATGGTAACTTGAGCACTATCCTCTCCTCCTTCCTACTTTATCTGTTTAGCATTTTTAGGATTCTGACTGTAGTTTGTTCATTGCTATTCACCCGTTGTCCCATTGTCTGTTTCATGGTACGATGACGGGATCTCTGAGCCTGGCCTCTTCCATCTACACCTGCGGACTGCCCCGCCCGACCCGCCTGGGAGTGCTTCAGTCCTGCACCGGACCTGTCCACGTTCAGCGTCCACTGGTCCACGTTCTGTAGCTAGCTTAGGTCCTAGATCATTAGCCTGTCCGTCCGGAGGAGCGGATCCCTTTCTCATATGGGTCTCCCTCCCTGTGGGTTTCCCTAGTTCTCCTCCAAGGTTTCTCACTTTTTCCCACTGGGTTTTTTAAGAGTTGTTCCTTGTGGATGCAGGAGGGTCTTGTTGGACAGTTAGTGTCCAACAGAAAGGATTGGTGATGATCAGGACACTTTAGCATTCTACAACATGTATGGACATTTTCTTCTGTGTGTGCTTTATATTCTTCATGTGTTTTAACTGTTGATTCTCTGACCTGTGTTGGTGATTTCAATGGTTTTGTTAAGTCCTCTGAGATGACTTCTGTTGTGACCTAGGGCTATACAAGAATAAATTGTATTGTATTGTGTATTTATTATCTACATTAATGATTTTGGAAATTCTTGTGATATTCATCAAATACTTTTTGCAGATGACACAAATTTGTTTATGTCGCATAAACGCATCGATCACCTTGAAAACTCCAACTGGTTCAGATGCAATAAATTGTCACTTAATCTCAACAAGACTTCTTATATGATCTTTCACTCAAATAGTCATTTGTACCACGACCCAAATATTAATATAACCATTGATAGTAAAACCATTAATAAAGTTGAAGTTATAAAGATTCTTAGGAATCCATATAGATCAATTTACAAATTTTAAAAAGCATCTTGATGAGCTTGTTAAAAAATTGTCAAAAATTGTAGGTTTATTGTTTAAAGTGAGACAGTTTCTTCCCTTAGAAGCTTTACTGTCCTTGTATAGCTCTCTGTTCGAGCCTCATTTGAATTACTGTAATATCATATGGAATAATACCTACCCCACGTACATGTCTAAACTTCAAATATTACAAAAGAAAGCCATAAGAGCACTTTCTTGGTCCTTGGGTCATGCTCCCACAGATGTTCTCTTCCATAGATACGGTCTATTGAAGCTGCCTGAAGTTAATCTCTACCATAATGCGTGCACAATGTATAGTGTGGTTAACAAGTTAAATGTTCGATTGTGTGAACTCATTCCATTATATTTATCATCACACCAACATAATACTAGGAACAAACTGCTGCCTAAAGGGAAATACAGAAAATTAAAATGCACAAGTTTTAGTATTTGCCATAAAGGCCCAACTACATGGAATGAGTTGGATAGTAACCTAAAGCAATGTGCCACATTATCCAAATTTAAGAGGGAACTGAAGGCTCATCTACTGGGGAGGTATGTGACAGCATGAAAGCGTTGAAGCACAAAGAGTCTTGAACCACTCTCTATTTTGTATCTGTTTGAGGCGAGGTAGATCTCTCTTTCACAGCCATGATCACAGGGCTGGCAGAAGTTACCCTACAGTAAACTCCAGCTGCAAACACTTACAACTACATATTAGGAATACATTAAATATTATTCTTATCATTACTATATAATTATTATTGGTAGCGGAGATGAGCATTTAGCAGCTTCGCCTGCCAAAGTGTTCTGTACTTCCTTGAAGTGTGGTGAAGATGTTATTATTTCTTATTCTTTAATTATCTATTATTGTTATTGATTTAGGATTATTATCTTTATTGTCATTATTATTATTATTATTACTTATGTATTCTGGGAGCACTAGTTACTTTTTATTATTATCACTATTATTTATTATTTATATTATGATGACTGTATGTTTGACTGTAGGTTTGTGACTGTGGTGGTGGTGGTGGTGGTGTGATGGACCCCTAATGTAAAAGCTTCTGCTTCTGGGAGTTCCATTTTCACAATGTAACACATGTACTTTTAGGGACTGTGTGAATTGTGAATAAACTAAAAAAAAACAAAAAATAAAAATAAAAAGAAGCATCAGAGGAGCATCAGGGAAGCATCAGGGAAGCATCAGAGAAGCATCAGAGAAGCATCAGGGAGGCATCAGGGAAGCATCAGAGGAGCATCAGGGAAGCATCAGAGGAGCATCAGGGAAGCATCAGGGAAGCATCAGAGAAGCATCAGGGAAGCATCAGAGGAGCATCAGGGAAGCATCAGGGAAGCATCAGAGGAGCATCAGGGAAGCATAAGGGGAGCATCACAGAAGCATCAGGGAAGCGTCAGGGAAGCATCAGAGGAGCATCAGGGAAGCATCAGAGAAGCATCAGGGAAGCATTTGGTAAGCATCAGAGGAACATTAGGGAAGCATCAGAGAAGCATCAGAGGAGCATCAGGGAAATATCAGGGAAGCATCAGAGGAGCATAAGGGAAGCATCAGGGAAGCATCAGAGAAGCATTAGGGAAGCATCAGGGGAGCATCAGAGGAGCATCAGAGAAGCATCAAAGAAGCATCAGGGAAGCATCAGAGGAGCATCAAAGAAGCATCAGAGGAGCATCAGGGAAGCATCAGGGAAGCGTCAGAGGAGCATCAGGGAAGCATCAGAGGAGCATCAGGGAAGCATCAGGGAAGCATCAGGGAAGCATCAGAGAAGCATCAGAGAAGCATCAGGGAGGCATCAGGGAAGCATCAGAGGAGCATCAGGGAAGCATCAGAGGAGCATCAGGGAAGCATCAGAGAAGCATCAGGGAAGCATCAGAGGAGCATCAGGGAAGCATCAGGGAAGCATCAGAGGAGCATCAGGGAAGCATCAGGGAAGCATCAGGGGAGCATCAGGGAAGCATCAGGGAAGCATCAGAGGAGCATCAGGGAAGCATCAGGGAAGCATCAGGGGAGCATCAGGGAAGCATCAGATGAGCATCAGGGAAGCATCAGAGGAGCATCAGAGAAGCATCAGGGAAGCATCACAGAAGCATCAGGGAAGCATCAGAGAAGCATCAGGGAAGCATCAGAGGAGCATCAGGGAAGCATCAGAGAAGCATCAGGGAAGCTGTTTGAACACGTTCAGTTTGATTGGTCAGATGATTTCAATATATGTATAAGTATATATACACACACACACAGACTCTGTACCTGCTGACAGAACTGCAGAGCCTGCTGATGGTCTCCAACACTTTGAGCTTCTTCTGCAAAGAGCCTGATCTGAGACGGACTCAGGACTCCTCCTTCTGTGACCTCACCTGAGAGGACCTGAGGACAGGTTTATCACTGTTACACTCATGGACCTCAGTGAGGGCCTCCTGGGTCTGTGTCCTGCAGAGACCTCACCTCAGTGAGGGCCTCAGTCTGTGTCCTGCAGAGACCTCAGTGAGGCCCTCATGGGTCTGTGTCCTGTAGAGACCTCACCTCAGTGAGGGCCTCATGGGTCTGTGTCCTGCAGAGACCTCAGTGAGGGCCTCGTGGGTCTGTGTCCTGCAGAGACCTCACCTCAGTGAGGGCCTCATGGGTCTGTGTCCTGCAGAGACCTCACCTCAGTGAGGGCCTCATGGGTCTGTGTCCTGCAGAGACCTCAGTGAGGGCCTCGTGGGTCTGTGTCCTGCAGAGACCTCACCTCAGTGAGGACCTCGGTCTGTGTCCTGCAGAGACCTCACCTCAGTGAGGGCCTCATGGGTCTGTGTCCTGCAGAGACGTCAGTGAGGGCCTCGTGGGTCTGTGTCCTGCTGGGACCTCACCTCAGTGAGGGCCTGGTGGGTGTGGTCTCTCAGGAAGGTGTACAGCTCACTGACAAAGTGCTGGAGCTCTCTGGGCTGCGTGACAGCCTCAGTCCTTAGCACTTTATCACGGACCACTCTCACCACAGCGTCCTGGAGGAAAACAGCTCCTGTTATATCAGTGTACATGGAGAGGGAAGACGGCTGCCTCTCTACCCAGCCCTGGATGAAGCGGAAGAACCAGAGTGTACCTTGAGCTGTTCTTTGAAGGCGCAGCTTCTGCCAGACGTGTTGAGCTCCTCCATCACCTTCATGTGCTCCTCCTCCAGGAGCCCACTCTGGGCTCCACACTCATCCACCTGCACACACACCTGCCTCCCCACAGCCCTGACCTGTCTGTGGAAGTGTTGGACGGCCTGAAGGAGGAGGAGAGGAAGGAGAGGAGGAGGAAGACGGAGAAGGAGAAGGAGAGGAGGGGGAAGAAGAAGAGGAGGAATTCAGAAACGTACATGTGTGTATGTTCTGAGACTGGAGGAAGCATCACCTTCTCTGCTTTGGTGAACTCTTTGGTGGAAGAAGGAGCAGGAATCAGCGCCTTCACCCTGTGCCAGAACATACATATATTATACTATACCAGGAAGACACCAGAGAGAGACCAGAGCGAGACCAGAGAGAGACCAGAGAGAGACCAGAGAGAGATCAGAGAGAGACCAGAGAGAGACCAGAGAGAGACCAGAGAGAAACCAGAGACAGACCAGAGACAGACCAGAGAGAGACCAGAGAGAGACCAGAGAGAGACCAGAGAGAGACCAGAGAGAGACCAGAGAGAGACCAGAGAGAAACCAGAGACAGACCAGAGAGAGACCAGAGAGAGACCAGAGAGAGACCAGAGAGAGACCAGAGAGAGACCAGAGAGAGACCAGAGAGAGACTAGAGAGAGACCAGAGAGAGACCAGAGAGAGACCAAAGAGAGACCAGAGAGAGACCAGAGACAGACCAGAGAGACCAGAGAGAGAGACCAGAGAGAGACCAAAGAGAGACCAGAGACAGACCAGAGAGAGAGACCAGAGAGAGACCAGAGAGACCAGAGAGAGACCAGAGAGAGACCAGAGAGAGACCAGAGAGAGACCAGAGAGAGAGACCAGAGAGAGACTAGAGAGAGAGACCAGAGAGAGACCAGAGCGAGACCAAAGAGAGAGACCAGAGAGAGACCAGAGAGAGACCAGAGCGAGACCAAAGAGAGAGACCAGAGAGAGACCAGAGAGAGACTAGAGAGAGACCAGAGATAGACCAGAGAGAGACCAGAGAGAGACCAGAGAGAGAGACCAGAGAGAGACTAGAGAGAGAGACCAGAGAGAGACCAGAGAGAGACCAAAGAGAGAGACCAGAGAGAGACCAGAGAGAGACTAGAGAGAGACCGGAGAGAGACCAGAGAGAGACTAGAGAGAGACCAGAGATAGACCAGAGAGAGACCAGAGAGAGACCAGAGAGAGAGACCAGAGAGAGACTAGAGAGAGAGACCAGAGAGAGACCAGAGCGAGACCAAAGAGAGAGACCAGAGAGAGACCAGAGAGAGACTAGAGAGAGACCGGAGAGAGACCAGAGAGAGACCAGAGAGAGAGACCAGAGAGAGAGTAGAGAGAGAGACCAGAGAGAGACCAGAGAGCCACTAGAGAGAGAGACCAGAGAGAGAGACCAGAGAGAGATCAGAGAGAGAGACCAGAGAGAGACCAGGGAGAGACCAGGGAGAGACCAGCGAAAGACCAGAGAGAGACCAGAGAGAGAGACTAGAGAGAGACCAGAGAGAGAGACCAGAGAGAGACCAGAAAGAGAGACTTCTGAACTAATCACTATAGAGAAACACAAGCCACAATAGTTTTCTTCAAGTCTCGTACCTTGTGGAGTCTCGTACTGGAGTCTCGTACTGGAGTCTCGTACCTTGTGGAGTCTCGTACTGCAGTCTTGTACTGGAGTCTCGTACCTTGTGGAGTCTCTTACTGGAGTCTCGTACTGGAGTCTCGTACCTTGTGGAGTCTCGTACTGGAGTCTCGTACTACAGTCTCCTACCTTGTGGAGTCTCGTACTGGAGTCTCGTACTGGAGTCTCGTACTACAGTCTCCTACCTTGTGGAGTCTCGTACTACAGTCTCGTACCTTGTGGAGTCTCGTACCTTGTGGAGTCTCGTACTGCAGTCTTGTACTGGAGTCTCGTACCTTGTGGAGTCTCTTACTGGAGTCTCGTACTGGAGTCTCGTACCTTGTGGAGTCTCCTACTGGAGTCTTGTACTGGAGTCCCGTACTGGAGTCTCGTACCTTGTGGAGTCTCCTACTGGAGTCTTGTACTGGAGTCCCGTACTGCAGTCTCGTACTGGAGTCTCGTACCTTGTGGAGTCTCGTACTGGAGTCTCGTACTACAGTCTCCTACCTTGTGGAGTCTCGTACTGGAGTGTCGTACTGGAGTCTCCTACCTTGTGGAGTCTCGTACCTTGTGCACAGCTCTTCGGGGGTGATTTTGGGGATGAGTGGCTTCTCCAGTGTGATCTCGATGATCACGTATGTTCTTGATTCCAAATACAACTGAAATAGAAGTTTCTGATCAACTCAAAGAGCCACAGTGACAGAGGTTTGAACATCTTACGTTTCTAGTTTGTTCTGCTTCACACTGGAGGGTCTCAGCTCCAGCTTCAGCTTGACCCACTTTGCTGTGTGCAGCCTGAGGGGGAAGTCATATATATATATATATATATATATATATATATACAGTGGGTCAAAAAAGTATTTAGTCAGCCACCAAATGTGCAAGTTCTCCCATTTAAGATAATGACAGAGGTCTGTAATGTTCATCATAGGTACACTTCAACTGTGAGAGACAGAATGTGAAAAAAAAATTCCAGGAATTCACATTGTAGGATTTTTAAAGAATTTATTTGTAAATGATGGTGGAAAATAAGTATTTGGTCACTTCAAACAAGGAAGATCTCTGGCTCTCACAGACCTGTAACTTCTTCTTTAAGAAGCTCTTCTGTCCTCCACCTGTATTAATGGAACCTGTTTGAACTCGTTATCTATGGAAGACTATTGGCACCTTAATTCAATTGTCTATTCATTTGTCAAATTATGTTATTTTAGTATTTATTTTGTATTTGTATTTGTCAAAGTGTAAATTTTGACATTTAATGTTCCATTCCAAAAGTTCTAATGGCAATTCAATATGTAAAGTGTCGATACAATGTCTTTATATATTGCAAATTACAAGATTTTGAAATGAATAGCATATTGACATGGAAATTTGGCCTCTTTATTCATTGTTCTATTAATTCTTAACATGGCATTTAGTTTAGAGTTGTATTTGGCAAAATTGCATGTTATATCCTATTTTGACTTGTATTCCACATTTGAGTATGTTAAGTTTCATTTAATGTGTTGTGAAACAGCACCTCCCTCTGGATTGCATTGCATATTGCATATTGCATTGCCACATGGTTTGAGTGCAACTTAATTCAATATGCTATGCAGTTCTTGACCCCTGGGAAGGCGGGCCCTGGTCCGCTCTCGGCCAATTAGTGTGTGCGTAAAAAGATGTGTGCGTGCGTAACCAGATTTGTATGTACGTATCAAGATTTGTGTGTGTAATGTGGTTGTTCTAGCAGTACACCAGCAGATGTTGCTGTTGTAGCTGGTTATTACCTACAGGCAAACAAACCAAAACCTACTGCCTTGACAAGACACACTACCGCAGCTGTTTATGATATTTTTTTTCCTATATTTAAAATCCTGTCATTCACACCACTGTATAATACATGGATCTATTATAATAACTGGATAGGGTGGTACTAGCTTGGAGCTGAAGGATTCTCACGTACTGCAGACTAAATTCACGTGGGCTACACAGACATTTTCCCCATAGAACTCAAAGTAAACTAAAACAGCTGACAGAGAACGTGACAGAGAACCTGACAGAGAACCTACAGCTTTCATAAAGGTCGGATTTTGTGGGAATTTTTGTGTTCCTTTTCATCCTGAACTTTTCTTCTTAAATCCTTCGGTTTTCTCTATCTACAATTTAGTGCTACAAACTCTGCTGGTTTGCTTGCGTGTATAACCAGCTACAACAGCACCATCTGCTGGTGTACTGCTAGAACAACCACATTACACTTATGAATCTTTTTGACACACGCTAAGCGGCAGAGGTGTGTCAAAAAGAGATTCGTGTAAAACAGAGCCTGTAGCACTGAGGCTTTTGTCCGTTCTTCTCTTCGTACAACGTGGTTATTTACACACAGATTGTTCTGCTACAGATACAAATGTCAAATTACACACACACAAATCTGGGTACAGATGCACACAGTCCAAGTTACACTTGCGAATCTGCGAAGGCAGGACTGCGTCAAAAGATTCGTGTGTAAAAAAAAAAAACTTGTGTGTAAAACTTACTTTTTTTTTACACACATACAAATCTTGATACGTACATACAAATCTGGTTACGCACGCACACATCTTTTTACGTACACACAAATCTGGTTACGCACGGACACATCTTTTTACGCACACACAAATCTGTTCACGCACACACAAATATTATTGAAACAATAATAGCTCCATACGCATCTAGCTAGGAGGATATAGACTCGTCTCTGATTGGCCGAGAGCGGACCAGGGCCCGCCTTCCCAGGGGTCAAGAACTGCATAGCATATTGAATTAAGTTGTACTCAAACCATGTGGCAATGCAATATGCAATATGCAATGCAATCCAGAGGGAGGTGCTGTTTCACAACACATTAAATGAAACTTAACATACTCAAATGTGGAATACAAGTCAAAATAGGATATAACATGCAATTTTGCCAAATACAACTCTAAACTAAATGCCATGTTAAGAATGAATAGAACAATGAATAAAGAGGCCAAATTTCCATGTCAATATGCTATTCATTTCAAAATCGTGTAATTTGCAATATATAAAGACATTGTATCGACACTTTACATATTGAATTGCCATTAGAACTTTTGGAATAGAACATTAAATGTCAAAATTGGATATAACATTACACTTTGACAAATACAAATACAAAATAAATACTAAAATAACATAATGCATTGCCATTTGACAAATGAATAGACAATTGAATTAAGGTGCCAATAGTCTTCCATAGTTATCTGTATAAAAGACACCTGTCCACAGCCTCAAACAGTCAGACTCCAAACTCCACTATGGCCAAGACCAAAGAGCTGTCCAAGGACACCAGGAAAAGAATTGTAGACCTGCACCAGACTGGGAAGAGTGAATCTACAATAGGCAAGCAGCTTGGTGTGAACAAATCAACTGTGGGAGCAATTATCAGAAAATGGAAGACATACAAGACCACTGATAATCTCCCTCGATCTGGGGCTCCACACAAGATCTCATCCCGTGGGGTCAAAATGATCATGAGAACGATGATCAAAAATCCCAGAACCACACGGGGGGACCTGGTGAATGACCTGCAGAGAGCTGGGACCAAAGTAACAAAGGTTACCATCAGTAACACACTACGACGACAGGGAATCAAATCCTGCAGTGCCAGACGTGTCCCACTGCTGAAGCCAGTGCATGTCCAGGCCCGTCTGAAGTTTGCCAGAGAGCACATGGATGATACAGCAGAGGATTGGGAGAATGTCATGTGGTCAGATGAAACCGTTTGGTATAAACTCAACTCGTCGTGTTTGGAGGAAGAAGAATACTGAGTTGCATCCCAAGAACACCATACCTACTGTGAAAGCATGGGGGTGGAAACGTCATGCTTTGGGGCTGTTTTTCTGCTAAGGGGACAGGACGACTGATTCGTGTTAAGGAAAGAATGAACGGGGCCATGTATCGTGAGATTTTGAGCCAAAACTTCCTTCCATCAGTGAGAGCTTTGAAGATGAAACGTGGCTGGGTCTTCCAGCACGACAATGATCCCAAACACACCGCCCGGGCAACGAAGGAGTGGCTCCGTAAGAAGCATTTGAAAGTCCTGGAGTGGCCTAGCCAGTCTCCAGACCTCAACCCCATTGAACATCTGTGGAGGGAGTTGAAAGTCCGCGTTGCTCGGCGACATCCCCGAAACATGGAGGAATGGGCCAAAATACCAGCTACTGTGTGTTCAAACCTGGTAAAGACCTATAGTAATCGTTTGACCTCTGTTATTGCCAACAAAGGTTATATTACAAAGTATTGAGTTGAATTTCTGTTATTGGCCAAATACTTATTTTCCACCATAATTTACAAATAAATTCTTTAAAAATCCTACAATGTGAATTCCTGGATTTTTTTTCACATTCTGTCTCTCACAGTTGAAGTGAACCTATGATGAACATTACAGACCTCTGTCATTATTTTAAGTGGGAGAACTTGCACAATCGGAGGCTGACTAAATACTTTTTTGCCCCACTGTATATACAGTATAATACAGTAAAAACACAAGCATCAGAGAGATTTTAAACCCTAAACAGTAAGTGAGACACCTCCTCTCTCACCTGTGCCACAGAGACACCTCCTCTCTCACCTGTGCCACAGAGACACCTCCTCTCTCACCTGTGCCACAGAGACACCTCCTCTCTCACCTGTGCCACAGAGACACCTCCTCTCTCACCTGTGCCACAGAGACACCTCCTCTCTCACCTGTGACGCAGACACCTCCTCTCTCACCCACAGAGTCACCTCCTCTCTCACCCACAGAGTCACCTCCTCTCTCACCCACAGAGTCACCTCCTCTCTCACCCACAGAGTTACCTCCTCTCTCACCCACAGAGACACCTCCTCTCTCACCCACAGAGTCACCTCCTCTCTCACCTGTGACGCAGAGACACCTCCTCTCTCACCCACAGAGTCACCTCCTCTCTCACCTGTGACGCAGACACCTCCTCTCTCACCCACAGTCACCTCCTCTCTCACCTGTGACGCAGAGACACCTCCTCTCTCACCCACAGAGTCACCTCCTCTCTCACCTGTGACACAGAGACACCTCCTCTCTCACCTGTGACGCAGACACCTCCTCTCTCACCCACAGAGTCACCTCCTCTCTCACCCACAGAGTCACCTCCTCTCTCACCCACAGAGTTACCTCCTCTCTCACCCACAGAGACACCTCCTCTCTCACCCACAGAGTCACCTCCTCTCTCACCTGTGACGCAGAGACACCTCCTGTCTCACCCACAGAGTCACCTCCTCTCTCACCTGTGACGCAGACACCTCCTCTCTCACCCACAGAGACACCTCCTCTCTCACCCACAGTCACCTCCTCTCTCACCTGTGACGCAGAGACACCTCCTCTCTCACCCACAGAGTCACCTCCTCTCTCACCTGTGACGCAGAGACACCTCCTCTCTCACCCACAGAGTCACCTCCTCTCTCACCCACAGAGTTACCTCCTCTCTCACCCACAGAGACACCTCCTCTCTCACCCACAGAGTCACCTCCTCTCTCACCTGTGACGCAGAGACACCTCCTCTCTCACCCACAGAGTCACCTCCTCTCTCACCTGTGACGCAGACACCTCCTCTCTCACCCACAGTCACCTCCTCTCTCACCTGTGACGCAGAGACACCTCCTCTCTCACCCACAGAGTCACCTCCTCTCTCACCTGTGACGCAGAGACACCTCCTCTCTCACCTGTGACGCAGACACCTCCTCTCTCACCCACAGAGTCACCTCCTCTCTCACCCACAGAGTCACCTCCTCTCTCACCCACAGAGTCACCTCCTCTCTCACCCACAGAGTTACCTCCTCTCTCACCCACAGAGACACCTCCTCTCGCACCCACAGAGTCACCTCCTCTCTCACCTGTGACGCAGAGACACCTCCTGTCTCACCCACAGAGTCACCTCCTCTCTCACCTGTGACGCAGACACCTCCTCTCTCACCCAGAGACACCTCCTCTCTCACCCACAGTCACCTCCTCTCTCACCTGTGACGCAGAGACACCTCCTCTCTCACCCACAGAGTCACCTCCTCTCTCACCCACAGAGTTACCTCCTCTCTCACCCACAGAGACACCTCCTCTCTCACCCAGAGTCACCTCCTCTCTCACCTGTGACGCAGAGACACCTCCTCTCTCACCCACAGTGTCACCTCCTCTCTCACCTGTGACGCAGACACCTCCTCTCTCACCCACAGAGACACCTCCTCTCTCACCCACAGTCACCTCCTCTCTCACCTGTGACGCAGAGACACCTCCTCTCTCACCCACAGAGTCACCTCCTCTCTCACCTGTGACGCAGAGACACCTCCTCTCTCACCCACAGAGTCACCTCCTCTCTCACCTGTGACGCAGAGACACCTCCTCTCTTCTTGGCGGCAGCAGGAGCAGACCCTCGCGCTGCAGCCAGTGCTCTCAGGTGCTCCTTCAGGACGCTCTCTCTGCGCTGAGTCTGCCACACAGACCACTTCATAAATGTTTATTTGTAAAGCACTTTTTAAAACTAGATCATTCTTAACGTTCAGACTCCAGCTCTGGCTTTTCGTGGAGCTTTACTTCTGTATGTTACAAAGACCTGGGGTTGTGTGTAGTTCATCACATGAGCCTCTTTCTCACCTGTACGTGGCATCTGTCCAAATGCATATTTTTTACATTTGTTTAGCTAAAATGGAGGCTCAGACATGACTAGTTTTCAAAACTCTAATCACTGTGAAAGCACCAGTCTCTGGCTCTGAATGAAGAGTGTAAACAAAACTCTAATCACTGTGAAAGCACCAGTCTCTGGCTCTGAATGAAGAGTGTAAACAAAACTCTAATCACTGTGAAAGCACCAGTCTCTGGCTCTGAATGAAGAGTGTAAACAAAACTGTAATCACTGTGAAAGCACCAGTCTCTGGCTCTGAATGAAGAGTGTAAACAAAACTCTAATCACTGTGAAAGCACCAGTCTCTGGCTCTGAATGAAGAGTGTAAACAAAACTGTAATCACTGTGAAAGCACCAGTCTCTGGCTCTGAATGAAGAGTGTAAACAAAACTCTAATCACTGTGAAAGCACCAGTCTCTGGCTCTGAATGAAGAGTGTAAACAAAACTGTAATCACTGTGAAAGCACCAGTCTCTGGCTCTGAATGAAGAGTGTAAACAAAACTCTAATCACTGTGAAAGCACCAGTCTCTGGCTCTGAATGAAGAGTGTAAACAAAACTCTAATCACTGTGAAAGCACCAGTCTCTGGCTCTGAATGAAGAGTGTAAACAAAACTGTAATCACTGTGAAAGCACCAGTCTCTGGCTCTGAATGAAGAGTGTAAACAAAACTCTAATCACTGTGAAAGCACCAGTCTCTGGCTCTGAATGAAGAGTGTAAACAAAACTCTAATCACTGTGAAAGCACCAGTCTCTGGCTCTGAATGAAGAGTGTAAACAAAACTGTAATCACTGTGAAAGCACCAGTCTCTGGCTCTGAATGAAGAGTGTAAACAAAACTCTAATCACTGTGAAAGCACCAGTCTCTGGCTCTGAATGAAGAGTGTAAACAAAACTCTAATCACTGTGAAAGCACCAGTCTCTGGCTCTGAATGAAGAGTGTAAACAAAACTCTAATCACTGTGAAAGCACCAGTCTCTGGCTCTGAATGAAGAGTGTAAACAGGTTTTAGCTGCACCTTGTTGCAGAGCAGCTGTTCAGAGAAAGGCTGGACACAGAAGGCTCCTCTGAGGCCCCTGGCTCCAGGGAACAGCAGGCGGCTCACATCCACAAACACCAGGCCATGAAACAGGATCTCTGGGACCTCCTCTGCAGCCTGACACACACACACACACAGAGAGAGAGTAAAGACACACACACAGAGACTAAAGACACACACACACAGAAAGACTAAAGACACGCACACACACAAAAAGAGTAAAGACACACACACACAGACTAAAGACACAAACACACACACACACACACACACAGAAAGACTAAAGACACGCACACACACAGAAAGAGTAAAGACACACACACAGACTAAAGACACAAACACACACACACACACACACACAGAGACTAAAGACACACAAACACACAGAGACAGTTGTGTGTCTTTACCAGAGGCGCAGCCGAGGACCTCATGATCTCCAAGGGCCACAGGCTGCATTTGGTGATGGTCTCCCGTAACCTGAAGGACACACCCCTTTAACGAGCAGAGGGAGGAGCCTGAAGGACACATCCCTTTAATGACCAGAGGGAGGAGCCTGAAGGACACACCCCTTTAACGAGCAGAGGGAGGAGCCTGAAGGACACATCCCTTTAATGAGCAGAGGGAGGAGCATGAAGGACACACCCCTTTAATGAGTAGAGGGAGGAGCCTGAAGGACACATCCCTTTAACGAGCAGAGGGAGGAGCCTGAAGGACACATCCCTTTAATGAGCAGAGGGAGGAGCCTGAAGGACACATCCCTTTAATGAGTAGAGGGAGGAGCCTGAAGGACACATCCCTTTAATGACCAGAGGAAGGAGCCTGAAGGACACACCCCTTTAACGAGCAGAGGGAGGAGCCTGAAGGACACATCCCTTTAATGAGCAGAGGGAGGAGCCTGAAGGACACATCCCTTTAATGACCAGAGGGAGGAGCCTGAAGGACACATCCCTTTAATGAGCAGAGGGAGGAGTCTGAAGGCCACACCCCTTTAATGAGCAGAGGGAGGAGCCTGAAGGACACATCCCTTTAACGAGCAGAGGGAGGAGCCTGAAGGACACATCCCTTTAATGAGCAGAGGGAGGAATCTGAAGGCCACACCCCTTTAATGAGCAGAGGGAGGAGCCTGAAGGACACACCCCTTTAATGAGCAGAGGGAGGAGCCTGAAGGCCACACCCCTTTAATGAGCAGAGGGAGGAGCCTGAAGGCCACACCCCTTTAATGAGCAGAGGGAGGAGCCTGAAGGCCACACCCCTTTAATGAGCAGAGGGAGGAGCCTGAAGGCCACACCCCTTTAATGAGCAGAGGGAGGAGTCTGAAGGCCACACCCCTTTAATGAGCAGAGGGAGGAGCCTGTGGTCTACACTCGTCATGAAGAGCCAAACCTGTGTGTGGCCTCTGCGCTCAGGAAGCAGCTCCTCTCCTGGTCCCAGCCCACGCGAGGCTTGTGGCTCTCCGCACTCTTTCGGAAACAACGATCCTGAAAGCACAGGACCATAATATACTGCATATGTTTGTTTTCACACTGTCACAGTTAGATCGAGTGAAGATTCTACTTCCAAGCTAAAGCCGATTTCAGGAACAGAAGGAGTGAGGTACATTGATCAAACTAGAGGCAGTCACTGAAACCAGATCCACCAACCAGGAAGCTGATGGTGGTGTAGAGGGAGTGGTTTACCGCGGGGCCGGTGAGCTCCCCGTCCTCATCCTCCATGGAGCCTGGCTGGATAAAGGCTCCTGGCACCACTGTGTTTTCTGGCAGCAGCTGAGGCAGAGGCGGCCTCCTCTTCTGTCGGCCCTTCTCCTCTCTCTCTCCTCCAGCTTTGAGCGCCCCGTCACTGAACACCAGTGTCTGACATTTCTGTGGAACACAGTCCATTCAGAGTCAAACAATCATTGGGACAAGTGTTGACGCTGGTGTCTCTGCTCAGCCCTAGTCCTCACAGATAGGACTGTCTCCGTCCAGATGGGACAGTCCTGAATCTCTCTGTTTTTGCCTTTGCATGTTTCGGTACAGCAGCTCGGTACAGAATGTGTTGATTTTTTCAGGAGGTTCAGGAATGAAAGGGCTGTACGATGAGCAGTTAATGCAGTTCTAAAAACACCTATTCCATTGTTCCTACAGAAGACCTTTGATGCTTTGATCTCTCACTCCAAGTTCACTCCAAGTCACCTCCGTGAACACATACTGCTGTTATATAAAGTCACCTCCGTGAACACATACTGCTGTTATATAAAGTCACCGTGAACACATACTGCTGTTATATAAAGTCACCTCCGTGAACACATACTGCTGTTATATAAAGTCACCGTGAACACATACTGCTGTTATATAAAGTCACCGTGAACACATACTGCTGTTATATAAAGTCATCTCCGTGAACACATACTGCTGTTATATAAAGTCACCTCCGTGAACACATACTGCTGTTATATAAAGTCACCTCCGTGAACACATACTGCTGTTATATAAAGTCACCTCCGTGAACACATACTGCTGTTATATAAAGTCACCTCCGTGAACACATACTGCTGTTATATAAAGTCACCTCCGTGAACACATACTGCTGTTATATAAAGTCACCTCCGTGAACACATACTGCTGTTATATAAAGTCACCTCCGTGAACACATACTGCAGTTATATAAAGTCACCTCCGTGAACACATACTGCAGTTATATAAAGTCACCTCCGTGAACACATACTGCTGTTATATAAAGTCACCTCCGTGAACACATACTGCTGTTATATAAAGTCACCGTGAACACATACTGCTGTTATATAAAGTCACCTCCGTGAACACATACTGCTGTTATATAAAGTCACCTCCGTGAACACACACTGCTGTTATATAAAGTCACCTCCGTGAACATATACTGCAGTTATATAAAGTCACCTCCGTGAACACATACTGCTGTTATATAAAGTCACCTCCATGAACACATACTACTGATATATAAAGTCACCGTGAACACATACTGCTGTTATATAAAGATCTGTACACAAGAAGCCGCTAGCATAACTCTGTTAGCAGCAGAGCCTGCCGGCTACTTCCGGCTCTTCCGGTGCTGGCCAGGACGTTCTGGTGTGTCTGAAAACTAGAGAATGCGCGTCTGGTGAGCGGGGCTTCAGCGTTTGAGCGTTTGCGGTCTGAATGCACCATAAGTCTATCTAAGGCATCTTCATATTTATTTGACCTCCTCCAGCCCCTTCTTGTCCCTGGAGCCGAGACCAGAGGAGAAAGGACAGACTGGACCATTGTTGCCTGATTGAAAAGAACATGAGACGTGATGATAGTGTCATAAAGATGAGACCTGTGCAGTGAGAGGCAGCTCCAGAGCAGCTGTGTAGGAGGCTGCAGGAGCTGAGGGCAGGGTCCAGGCCTCGGGGACGGAGAAGGCTGTCTCCACAGTCACCTTCAGCAGGTTACAGCCCCCCAGGGAGGCCCCACACACCATCGCCTCTGACACACACACTGCTACCTCCAGAGTGGGCTGCAAACACACAACAGCAACACAACATCAACACCACCGCCTCAGACGGTGGTGTTGATGTGGCGGCACGGTGGCTGAGTGGATAGCACTCTAGCCTCTCAGCAAGAAGGTCCTGGGTTCGAATCCCGGTTGGACCAGGGCCTTTCTGAGTGGAGTTTGCATGTTCTCCCCGTGTCTGCGTAGGTTTCCTCCGGGTGCTCCGGTTTCCCCTACCACTAAAAATATGTACAATAGGTCTGGCATGCGCCTCCTGTACTGGCCCCCCACTCCCAAAAATAACAATTGTAAACCGCTTTGAGACTCCGATGTGCAGTGAAAAGGCGGTATATAAATAAAGATTACTTACTTAATTACTTACTCAGACAGAGAGGTGTAGGGCCAGATAGGTGTAGGGCCAGAGAGGTGTGCGGCCAGAGAGGTGTGCGGCCAGAGAGGTGTAGTACCAGAGAGGTGTAGGACCAGAGAGGTGTAGGGCCAGAGAGGTGTAGGACCAGAGAGGTGTGCGGCGGAGAGGTGTGCGGCCAGAGAGGTGTAGGGCCAGAGAGGTGCAGGCCCAGAGAGGTGCAGAGTCAGAGAGGTGCAGGGCCAGAGAGGTGTAGGGCCAGAGAGGTGTAGGGCCAGAGAGGTGTGTGGCCAGAGAGGTGTAGGGCCAGAGAGGTGTAGGGCCAGAGAGGTGTAGGGCCAGAGAGGTGTGTGGCCAGAGAGGTGTAGGGCCAGAGAGGTGTGCGGCCAGAGAGGTGTGCGGCCAGAGAGGTGTAGGACCAGAGAGGTGTAGGGCCAGAGAGGTGTAGGGCCAGAGAGGTGTAGGGCCAGAGAGGTGTGTGGCCACAGGGGTGTAGGACCAGAGAGGTGTAGGGCCAGAGAGGTGTGTGGCCAGAGAGGTGTGTGGCCAGAGAGGTTTAGGGCCAGAGAGGTGTGCGGCCAGAGAGGTGTGTGGCCAGAGAGGTGTAGGGCCAGAGAGGTGTAGGGCCAGAGAGGTGTAGGGCCAGAGAGGTGTGTGGCCAGAGAGGTGTAGGACCAGAGAGGTGTAGGGCCAGAGAGGTGTAGGACCAGAGAAGTGTGCGGCCAGAGAGGTGTGCGGACAGAGAGGTGTAGGGCCAGAGAGGTGTGCGGCCAGAGAGGTGTAGGGCCAGAGAGGTGTGCGGCCAGAGAGGTGTGCGGCCAGAGAGGTGTAGTACCAGAGAGGTGTAGGACCAGAGAGGTGTAGGGCCAGAGAGGTGTGCGGCCGGAGAGGTGTGCGGCCGGAGAGGTGTGCGGCCAGAGAGGTGTAGGGCCAGAGAGGTGCAGGCCCAGAGAGGTGCAGAGTCAGAGAGGTGTAGGGCCAGAGAGGTGTGTGACCAGAGAGGTGTAGGGCCAGAGAGGTGTAGGGCCAGAGAAGTGTAGGGCCAGAGAGGTGTAGGACCAGAGAGGTGTAGGGCCAGAGAGGTGTAGGACCAGAGAAGTGTGCGGCCAGAGAGGTGTGCGGCCAGAGAGGTGTAGGGCCAGATGTGTAGGGCCAGAGAGGTGTAGGGCCAGAGAGGTTTAGGGCCAGAGAGGTGCAGGGCCAGAGAGGTGTGCGGCCAGAGAGGTGTAGGACCAGAGAGGTTTAGGGCCAGAGAGGTTTAGGGCCAGAGAGGTGTAGGGCTAGAGAGGTGTGTGGCCACAGAGGTGTAGGGCCAGAGAGGGGTAGGGCCAGAGCCATAGAGGTATGCGGCCAGAGAGGTGTAGGACCAGAGAGGTGTAGGACCAGAGAGGTGTGCGGACAGAGAGGTGTAGGGCCAGAGAGGTGTGTGGCCAGAGAGGTGTAGGGCCAGAGAGGTGTAGGGCCAGAGAGGTGTAGGACCAGAGAGGTGTAGGACCAGAGAAGTGTGCGGCCAGAGAGGTGTAGGGCCAGATGTGTAGGGCCAGAGAGGTGTAGGGCCAGAGAGGTTTAGGGCCAGAGAGGTTTAGGGCCAGAGAGGTGCAGGGCCAGAGAGGTGTGCGGCCAGAGAGGTGTAGGACCAGAGAGGTTTAGGGCCAGAGAGGTGTAGGGCTAGAGAGGTGTGTGGCCACAGAGGTGTAGGGCCAGAGAGGGGTAGGGCCAGAGCCATAGAGGTATGCGGCCAGAGAGGTGTAGGACCAGAGAGGTGTAGGGCCAGAGAGGTGTAGGACCAGAGAGGTGTGCGGACAGAGAGGTGTAGGGCCAGAGAGGTGTAGGGCCAGAGGTGTAGGGCGAGAGCGGTGTAGGGCCAGAGAGGTGTAGGGCCAGAGAGGTGCAGGGCCAGAGAGGTGCAGGGCCAGAGAGGTGTAGGGCCAGAGAGGTGTGCGGCCAGAGAGGTGTGAGGCCAGAGAGGTGTAGGGCCAGAGAGGTGCAGGGCCAGAGAGGTGCAGGGCCAGAGAAGTGTAGGACCAGAGAGGTGTAGGGCCAGAGAGGTTTAGGGCCAGAGAGGTGTGCGGCCAGAGAGGTGTAGGGCCAGAGAGGTGTGTGGCCACAGAGGTGTAGGGCCAGAGAGGTGTAGGGCCAGAGAGGTGTAGGGCCAGAGAGGTTAGGACCAGAGCGGTGTAGGGCCAGAGAGGTGTAGGGCCAGAGAGGTGTAGGACCAGAGAGGCGTGCGGCCAGAGAGGTGTGCGACCAGAGAGGTGTAGGGCCAGATGTGTAGGGCCAGAGAGGTGTAGAGCCAGAGAGGTGTGCGGCCCAGAGAGGTGCAGGGCCAGAGAGGTGTAGGGCCAGAGAGGTGTAGGGCCAGAGAGGTGTGAGTCCAGAGAGGTGTAGGGCCAGAGAGGTGTAGGACCAGAGAGGTGTAGGGCCAGAGAGGTTTAGGGCCAGAGAGGTGTGCGGCCAGAGAGGTGTAGGGCCAGAGAGGTGTAGGGCCAGAGAGGTGTAGGCCCAGAGACGTGTGCGGCCAGAGAGGTGTGCGGCCAGAGAGGTGTAGGACCAGAGAGGTGTAGGACCAGAGAGGTGTAGGACCAGAGAGGTGTAGGACCAGAGAGGTGTAGGGCCAGAGAGGTGTGCGGCCAGAGAGGTGTAGGACCAGAGAGGTGTAGGACCAGAGAGGTGTAGGGCCAGAGAGGTGTAGGACCAGAGAAGTGTGCGGCCAGAGAGGTGTAGGGCCAGAGAGGTTTAGGGCCAGAGAGGTGTAGGGCTAGAGAGGTGTGTGGCCACAGAGGTGTAGGGCCAGAGAGGGGTAGGGCCAGAGCCATAGAGGTATGCGGCCAGAGAGGTGTAGGACCAGAGAGGTGTAGGACCAGAGAGGTGTAGGGCCAGAGAGGTGTAGGACCAGAGAGGTGTGCGGCCAGAGAGGTGTGCGGACAGAGAGGTGTAGGGCCAGAGAGGTGTAGGGCCAGAGAGGTGTAGGGCCAGAGGTGTAGGGCCAGAGAGGTGCAGGGCCAGAGAGGTGCAGGGCCAGAGAGGTGTAGGGCCAGAGAGGTGTGCGGCCAGAGAGGTGTAGGACCAGAGAGGTGTAGGACCAGAGAGGTGTAGGGCTAGAGAGGTGTGTGGCCACAGAGGTGTAGGGCCAGAGAGGGGTAGGGCCAGAGCCATAGAGGTATGCGGCCAGAGAGGTGTAGGACCAGAGAGGTGTAGGACCAGAGAGGTGTGCGGCCAGAGAGGTGTGCGGACAGAGAGGTGTAGGGCCAGAGAGGTGTAGGGCCAGAGGTGTAGGGCCAGAGAGGTGTAGGGCGAGAGAGGTGTAGGGCCAGAGAGGTGTAGGGCCAGAGAGGTGCAGGGCCAGAGAGGTGAAGGGCCAGAGAGGTGTAGGGCCAGAGAGGTGTGCGGCCAGAGAGGTGTAGAACCAGAGAGGTGTAGGACCAGAGAGGTGTAGGGCCAGAGAGCTGTAGGGCCAGAGAGGTGCAGGGCCAGAGAGGTGTAGGGCCAGAGAGGTGTGTGGCCACAGAGGTTTAGGGCCAGAGAGGTGTAGGGCCAGAGAGGTGTAGGGCCAGAGAGGTGTAGGACCAGAGAGGTGTAGGGCCAGAGAGGTGTGCGGCCAGAGAGGTGTAGGACCAGAGAGGTGTAGGGCCAGAGAGGTGTAGGACCAGAGAAGTGTGCGGCCAGAGAGGTGTGCGGCCAGAGAGGTGTAGGGCCAGAGAGGTGTAGGGCCAGAGAGGTGTAGGGCCAGAGAGGTGTAGGGCCAGAGAGGTGTAGGGCCAGAGAGGTGTAGGGCCAGAGAGGTTTAGGGCCAGAGAGGTGCAGGGCCAGAGAGGTGTGCGGCCAGAGAGGTGTAGGACCAGAGAGGTGTAGGGCCAGAGAGGTGTAGGACCAGAGAAGTGTGCGGCCAGAGAGGTGTGCGGCCAGAGAGGTGTAGGGCCAGAGAGGTGTAGGGCCAGAGAGGTGCAGGGCCAGATGTGTAGGGCCAGAGAGGTGTAGGACCAGAGAGGTTTAGGGCCAGAGAGGTTTAGGGCCAGAGAGGTGTAGGGCTAGAGAGGTGTAGGGCCAGAGAGGTGTAGGGCCAGAGAGGTGTAGGGCTAGAGAGGTGTGTGGCCACAGAGGTGTAGGGCCAGAGAGGGGTAGGGCCAGAGCCATAGAGGTATGCGGCCAGAGAGGTGTAGGACCAGAGAGGTGTAGGACCAGAGAGGTGTAGGGCCAGAGAGGTGTAGGACCAGAGAGGTGTGCGGCCAGAGAGGTGTGCGGACAGAGAGGTGTAGGGCCAGAGAGGTGTAGGGCCAGAGGTGTAGGGCCAGAGAGCTGCAGGGCCAGAGAGGTGCAGGGCCAGAGAGGTGTAGGGCCAGAGAGGTGTGCGGCCAGAGAGGTGTAGGACCAGAGAGGTGTAGGACCAGAGAGGTGTAGGACCAGAGAGGTGTAGGGCTAGAGAGGTGTGTGGCCACAGAGGTGTAGGGCCAGAGAGGGGTAGGGCCAGAGCCATAGAGGTATGCGGCCAGAGAGGTGTAGGACCAGAGAGGTGTAGGACCAGAGAGGTGTAGGGCCAGAGAGGTGTAGGACCAGAGAGGTGTGCGGCCAGAGAGGTGTGCGGACAGAGAGGTGTAGGGCCAGAGAGGTGTAGGGCCAGAGGTGCAGGGCCAGAGAGGTGCAGGGCCAGAGAGGTGTAGGGCGAGAGAGGTGTAGGGCCAGAGAGGTGTAGGGCCAGAGAGGTGTAGGGCCAGAGAGGTGCAGGGCCAGAGAGGTGCAGGGCCAGAGAGGTGTAGGGCCAGAGAGGTGTGCGGCCAGAGAGGTGTAGGACCAGAGAGGTGTAGGACCAGAGAGGTGTAGGGCCAGAGAGGTGTGAGGCCAGAGAGGTGTAGGGCCAGAGAGGTGCAGGGCCAGAGAGGTGCAGGGCCAGAGAGGTGCAGGGCCAGAGAAGTGTAGGACCAGAGAGGTGTAGGGCCAGAGAGGTTTAGGGCCAGAGAGGTGTGCGGCCAGAGAGGTGTGTGACCACAGAGGTGTAGGGCCAGAGAGGTGTAGGGCCAGAGAGGTGTAGAGCCAGAGAGGTGTAGGACCAGAGCGGTGTAGGGCCAGAGAGGTGTAGGACCAGAGAGGCGTGCGGCCAGAGAGGTGTGCGGCCAGAGAGGTGTAGGGCCAGATGTGTAGGGCCAGAGAGGTGTAGAGCCAGAGAGGTGTGCGGCCAGAGAGGTGTAGGGCCAGAGAGGTGCAGGGCCAGAGAGCTGTAGGGCCAGAGAGGTGTAGGGCCAGAGAGGTGTGAGGCCAGAGAGATGTAGGGCCAGAGAGGTGCAGGGCCAGAGAGGTGAAGCACCAGAGAGGTGTAGGGCCAGAGAGGTGCAGAGTCAGAGAGGTGCAGGGCCAGAGAGGTGTAGGGCCAGAGAAGTGTAGGGCCAGAGAGGTGCAGGGCCAGAGAGGTGTAGGGCCAGAGAGGTTTAGGGCCAGAGAGGTGTGCGGCCAGAGAGGTGTAGGGCCAGAGAGGTGTAGGGCCAGAGAGGTGTAGGACCAGAGAGGTGTAGGACCAGAGAAGTGTGCGGCCAGAGAGGTGTGCGGCCAGAGAGGTGTGCGGCCAGAGAGGTGCAGGGCCAGAGAGGTGAAGCACCAGAGAGGTGTAGGGCCAGAGAGGTGCAGAGTCAGAGAGGTGCAGGGCCAGAGAGGTGTAGGGCCAGAGAAGTGTAGGGCCAGAGAGGTGCAGGGCCAGAGAGGTGTAGAGCCAGAGAGATACTTTTACCTTGATCATCCACTTGAGTCCAGCTCTGACGGTGGAAGCCCCCGCCTCCCGACTGCTCTGTGACATCACAGGTATTGTTTTTTAACAAATGAGACGGTAAATGTTTCAGCTGACCTCATGTGGCTTACATCGATGGTAGAATCCAAGACTTTGTTTTGTCTGGCGGCTCCTGAACAAAGAGGAACTCGAGACGAGAAGTGAGTCTGACCTGAAAAACAAACCCAGAGGAAAGATTCTAAGTAAGTAAGTAAAGTTTATTTGTATAGCGCCTTTCACACATCGGGATCACAAAGTGCTTCACACATTAAAACACATAAAATACACATACAAGTCAGATAAAAGCAAAACACAGAAAAACACAGTTTACATTCACAGAGGCCTAAAAACAGTGGGCGAGAAAGCCTGTCTAAACAAATACGTCTTTAGTTGGGACTTAAAATCATCAACAGTCTCTAAGATACGCAGAGACTGAGGAAGCTCATTCCAGAGGCGAGGAGCAACTGCCTGGAAGGATCTGTCTCCTCTGGTTTTAAAGCGAGTACGGGGGGCCATCAACAGGTTCTGAGTGGAGGACCTCAGGGTTCTGTTGGAGACATAGGGGTGGATCAGGCCCTGGATGTATTCAGGCGCCTGACCATGAAGTGCCCTGAATGTCAGCACCAGAATTTTAAAATGGATTCTGTGTGAGACAGGGAGCCAGTGTAAGGCTGATTCTTCTGGAGTTTATTTAACGTTCTCTTTCTGTCAGATTCTGCAAAACCAACAGTTTAGAACCACGTCACAGAGCTGGGTCTGAAGAAGGTCCTCCTGGTGCTGTTTCATGCACACGGCTCAACTAATGCGTCTTTGTGAGCCAAGTTTATCTGTATAGCACAGTTCCAGGCAGCTCAAGCTTGAAACACAAGGCTTCATAAATAATCACATTAAAATAACTTAAAATAAAATCCTTCAGTTGCTGCAGAAACAGAGCTGTTTTTAACCTGGATTTGAACATCGTCAGAGAAAAAGTCTGTCTCACATTTTCGAGAAGACTGTACCAACAGGAGGCCAGTCCCTGTGCTCCTCAGAGTCCCAGCAGGAGGCCAGTCCCTGTGCTCCTCAGAGTCCCAGCAGGAGGCCAGTCCCTGTGCTTCTCAAAAAAATCTAATAGTGCTTTGGACATTCTCATTCTTCTTATAAAGCCCTGTCTTGGTTTTATCTCCATCCATGCTCATAGCAGGAGTTTGTTTCCTACTTCCACCACTAGTGGTCACTATCACAGGAAAATGGTTAATATATGTTAAAAAATTAGTTTGAGCCACACACAGTAACGTAGTAACACAGTAACATAGTGACGTAGTAACATTGTTGTGTCCTCCAGAAGTTCTCCGACGACTCTGCCGTCATCGGACTCAGCTCCGAGGACGATGACACAGAGTACAGAGGAGTTATACAGAACTTTGTGGACTGTGTCAGCGGAACCACCTCCTCATCAACGTGAGGAAGACCAAGGAGATGGTGGTGGATTTCCGTAGACGCCACTCTGCCGCTCCAGCTCCAGTGAACATCCAGGGAAAGGACATTGAGAGAGTGGACTCTTACAAGTACCTGGGTGTTCATCTGAACCACAAACTGGACTGGACTCATAACACAGACGCCCTCTTCAAGAAGGGCCAGAGCCGCCTCTACCTACTGAGGAGGCTCAGGTCTTTTGGAGTGCAGGGGCCACTCCTGAAGACCTTCTATGACTCTGTGGTGGCATCAGCCTCTTGTACGGTGTGGTCTGCTGGAACAGCAGCATCACAGAGAGGGACAGGAAGAAGCTGGACAAGGTCATCAGGAAGTCCAGCTCAGTCCTGGGCTGTTCCCTGGACACAGTGCAGCAGGTGGAGGACAGGAGGGTCCTGAGCAAACTAACATCTATGCTGGACCATGACTGTCACCCCCTGCAGGACACTCTCTCTGCTCTGGAGAGCAGTTTCAGTGACAGACTTATTCACCCTCGCTGTGTGAGGGAGAGTTTCCGTAGGTCTTTCCTTCCTGCTGCTGTCAGACTGTACAATAAGAACTGCTGAGCCTGTAAATGTCATTCATCTGTAACTAAGTAAATTCTTAAATCATGTGCAATGTGCAATACTGCAACTTCAGGATGTCACAGAACAATGTCACTTTACCTCATGTCACTTTACTTATATACTTTTTATCCTGCACTATTTAACTGTACAGTATATAACTGCACTACTACATATATATTTTGACTGGTATTGAAGCATTTTCAGCATCTACAGTTAGTTATGTTAGCTAAGAAACATAGCTACCACTTATTTTGTTATATATTGTGTGTGCTCCCTGTGTGCTCTTACTACTGTCCTATATGTGCGATGCAACATCGAAATTTCCCCACTGTGGGACGAATAAAGGAATTCTTATCTTATTTTAACATAGAGACGCAGTAAAATAGTAACACAGAAACATAGAAACATAATAACAAGGTAACGCATTAACGCTGTAGCACCGTAACGCTGTTAGACACATGCAGCCAGCGTAAGTTCAATTTGGTAGACGTCAGCCAAAGGTAACCCCTCCAGGCCGGTTCTCATCCCCAGCCTATCGCACGGCAAACGCCCCCTTCCAATCACCGGTCCAGCCAGGCAAGCTGCTTAAAAGCGGAGGAACTCCCATTCTCGGCCTCTTGAAGCTGCAGCAAAGAGCGAAGCCTTGCAAAGAGTCGTTCTGGAGGAATCGCTTTGTTCTACTCTCACTTACTTCGTGCGTGTCCCTGCTGTCCTCTGTCCTGCTGCGTGTCGTCTGCTCCTCCTCCACGTCGCTGCACCTGCTGCGGGTCTCGTGCTGTGGTCCGTGGGTCTTTGCCGCTCTCCTCCTTTGCGGGCTCTTTCTGCGGGTTCGCCGCTGCTCGTCTCGTCGCGGCCTGCTGCTGCATACGGCCGGTCTGGCCCGGTGCGGTGGGAGCCGTGCGCATCCCTGCCTCCTCGTGCCGGTACGGTGTGGTCCCGTCGTGTTGTCCCTTATCTTCTGGCGTTGCGGGTAAGTATGAGATCTGCGGACGGTTTATTCCCCTCGCATTGTCCTACAGGCTCAGTTGGCCCCGCGCTTGTAATGCAGGCTCAGTTGGCCCCGTGCATTGGTGGGCAAGCATCAGTTTAAAGCCCTCACATTGGTCTGCAGGCTCTCTTAACCAAGCTCCGTTTAAATCCTTCACTCTGACTGCAAGCTCCGTTTAATCCCTCAAATTGGACTGCGAGCTCTCAGTTTAATCCCTCACGGAACTGCTTATATCTGGAACTGCTTACGTATTATGGAACTGCTTACGTATTGTGGAACTGCTTACGTATTATGGAACTGCTTATGTAGTACGGAACTGCTTATGTATTACGGAACTGCTTATGTATTATGGAACTGCTTTTATGGAACTGCTCATATTGGGACTGCTCATACCTGGAACTGATTATATGGTACTGCTTATACCTGGAACCGCTTATACAGTGCATGGAACTGCATATATTGGTTCTGCTTATATCTGGACCTGCTTATATATGGATCTGCTTATATACGGAACTGCTTATACATGGATCTGCTAATATATGGAACTGCCAATATATGGAACTGCTAATATATGGAACTGCTAATATATGGATCTGCTAATATATGGAACTGCTTATATATGGATCTGCTAATATATGGAACTGCTAATATATGGAACTGCTAATATATGGAACTGCTAATATATGGAACTGCTAATATATGGAACTGCTAATATATGGAACTGCTAATATATGGAACTGCTAATATATGGATCTGCTAATATATGGATCTGCTAATATATGGATCTGCTAATATATGGATCTGCTAATATATGGATCTGCTAATATATGGAACTGCTAATATATGGAACTGCTAATATATGGAACTGCTAATATATGGAACTGCTAATATATGGAACTGCTAATATATGGAACTGCTAATATATGGAACTGCTAATATATGGAACTGCTAATATATGGAACTGCTAATATTGGAACTGCTCATATTGGAACTGCTCATATTGGAACTGCTCATATTGGAACTGCTCATATTGGAACTGCTCATATTGGAACTGCTCGTATATGGAACTGCTCGTATATGGAACTGCTCGTATATGGAACTGCTCGTATATGGAACTGCTTATAGATGGAACTGCTTGTATATGGAACTGCTTATATCTGGCTCCGTCTCCTCCCTCAACGACGCTGTCTGCCCGGACGCGGGGTGCCGCTCCGACCTGGCATTCGGGTCCCGTCTGCAGAGCCGCTGGGACGGTGTATCTTTTTTTACAGTGACGTCATCCCGTCCTCAGATGCCCTGCGGTTCTTCACGGACGCAGCCCCGTCCGTGGGTTTTGGGGGTCTCTTCCAGGTCCAGTGGTTCGCCGGGCCCTGGCCCGACGCCTTCCCTCAAAGCATCTCCTCCGCGCTCCCGATAAACCTTCCAATGTCATCCGTCTGTTTCAGAGCCCAACTCAAGTCCGTACTGCTGCTTGTAACCTGTCTCCCCATCTCTACACAGCCCACTCCTTCGGATAGGCGCCGCCACGCGCGCCGCGTCCCTTGGGCTCCCCTATTCCGCCCTCCAGCAGCTGGGCCGCTGGTCATCATCGGCCCTCTCCTCATACATCAGGCCTGACACTTCGACCATCCTGGCAGCCCAGCGCCTCTTTGCATCTCCATAAAACACTTGCAAACTTCCTGGTGGCGGCAGCAGCTGAGTATCCGCAAGCATGGTCGCAGCAGCTGAGTATCCGCAAGCATGGTCGCAGCAGCTGAGTATCCGCAAGCATGGTCGCAGCAGCTGAGTATCCGCAAGCATGGTCGCAGCAGCTGAGTATCCGCAAGCATGGTCGCAGCAGCTGAGTATCCGCAAGCAATGGTCGCCCGCAGAGACTGTTCGGCAGAGACTGTTCGGCAGAGACTGTTCGGCAGAGACTGTTCGGCAGAGACTGTTCGGCAGAGACTGTTCGGCAGAGACTGTTCGGCAGAGACTGTTCGGCAGAGACTGTTCGGCAGAGACTGTTCGGCAGAGACTGTTCGGCAGAGACTGCTCGGCAGAGACTGCTCGGCAGAGACTGCTCGGCAGAGACTGCTCGGCAGAGACTGCTCGGCAGAGACTGCTCGGCAGAGACTGCTCGGCAGAGACTGCTCGGCAGAGACTGCGCAAGTTGGTCACAATAGATAG